CTGCACCTCGTTGCATTGGAGTCTCTAATCAAGCCCACGTGCTTGCCGGTTCTAGAAAGCATTGTGGTCCCCTCTAATACAGGGCTGCAAGCTTGGCCTCAGCTCAGGCTCTCTCTGGAGGGGCGGTGAGATGGAAGCTGACAGTTAATTTCCAGCTTGTTTGTTAATTTGCTTCTAGCAGTTACGCCAGGGCTACCAGGGCTACCAAGGAGAAATGAAGCTGTTTGACTAGTCACCTGCATCGGCCCCTAGAGACACACTGGACTTTTTCTTGATCTTCCTAGCAGTCTCTCAGGTCCTAGTCTCCTCTGTCCCTGTCTGAACTCTGCTCCTATTCACATATCTTACACTGGGGCTGCCTTCCCTCCCTGTGACACCCTCCCCTCAGCCTTCCAGTCCCACAGCATCCTCTGCTGTTCTATAGTTCCTGCTACACATCCAAGCACCCTTTCCCAACCGGCTCCCAGGATCTCCTAGTTGGGCTGCAGCAAACCTCTGGGTCCCTCTGTAACCCTCCCTGTCCCTCTGCTACTTGTGTCCCTTTTTTAAAGTTTCTGAACTCTTTTCTCAGATGGTTTTCCTAGGTGCCAGGCTTTCTCACAGCCCTCATAGACTTTTTAAACTGGAAGACTGAAGAGTGGTTCCCTCCCGCCTCCTTTTTAAGCAGTGGTGGGGCACAGCACTTCCCTAAGAGGCAGTGGGTCCAATCTCCAGCCCTGCAAGAAAAAGGAAAAAAAGATAGCAGTGAGGAGGGGAAGTTTTGGGGCAGAAGTTGAATAATGAGGGCCTGAGAAATAAAGATAAGAGAGTATACCCTTGGCTAGGAGATAAAGGAGACCCTGGATGGAGTGGCAGAAACTCAGAAACTCATTCTCAGCCAGCATCAAGAGGGGTGCTCCACACACCGTCCCAGGCTGGACCAAGAGATTCTGATCACTGCCCTTCTGACCCCTCCCCCACCTCCAGGCTGGCATGGCCACGCCCACCATGCCCAGGGCCAGCCTGCCTTGCCCTTGCGTGACTCACTTCCTTTGTATGGGTTGCTGAGGTGTCCCAAGGCAGAGGACAGGCCAGCCAGACCCAGAGGTCTCAGCAGGCTCCTAAGGCAGGCGAACACCTGACACTCAACTAGGAAAGATACATCTTTCAAGACTAGGCTGGGCTTTGCAGAATTTGGGAGCCTATTTGAGTAAGGTGTACAGCCTGCCTCCTGCCTGAACAGCCTCAGATGCTGGGGGTTCTAACAAGAGGTAAAATAGTCAGAAGAGATTCCCATGTTCTCAAATCTAACAATGTAAGGTACTAGCTGAACAGCAGTTTGAGGCTTGGAGTTAGAAGACCTTTGTAGGCCAGGCATGGTGGCACATGCCGATAATCTCAGCACTTGGAAGGCTGATGTAGGATAACTGCCACTGAGTTTGAGGTTAGCCTGGGCTACGTAACCACTTTTTTTTTCTCAAAAAAAAAAAAAAAAAAAGAATTACCAAACACATATAGTCGTGTTGGGCATATCAGCACATGCATGTAATACCAGCAATCAGGAAGTTGAGGCTCCCTGCAAATTCAAGGCCGGCCTGGGCTATATAGTAAGTTTAAGGCCAAACAGTATAATAAAACCCTGTCTCAAAAAGACAAAATAAAATTAAAAAAAAAAAAACATTTATAAACCAAACAAAAACAAAAAAAATAGAAAACAAAATAGGCCTAGAGTGGTGGTACACATCTGTAATCCCAGCACGCACGAGTCCGAGGCCAGGCTGGGCTACATAGTGATTTTAAGGCCAGCCTGAGGTACAGACCCTGTCTCAAAAACAAAACAAAAGAAAAGGCGGCAGGGATGGGGGCTGGAGCTTTAGCTCAGCGGCATAAGCACCTGCCTTGCAAGCAGGCGGTCGTGACTTCATTCCCCGGTACCGATAAAAATGAAAAAGACAAAAAAAAAAAAAAAAAAAAAAAAAAAAACAAAGAAAGAAAAAAAAGGAAAGAAAAGGCAGGGGTTATAGTTCAGCAGCACATCACCTGGCTGGCAAACTCAAGGTCCTGAGTTTGATTTTAAAACCAAAAAAACAAAAACAACCCCAGAAGACATGTTCACAAACCGATGGCGAAACCACTGTATGTCATTGTTCTGCACCTATATTCCACTAAGAGGAGCCCAAAATCAGTCCTACCACCATCAAGGGGAAAGAAAACCCTGAGAGGGTGTCCTAGCTGCATGCCCCTGGGAAGGCAGTCACAATTTTTTTTTTTTTTTTTTGAAGACAAGTCCTCACTCTGTAGTTCAGGCTGGTCTCAAATTTGCAGTTCTCAGAGCTGGGGATTTAGGTACAGCAGCATAAGCACCTGCCTTGCAAGCAGGTGAGTTCAATCCCCAGTACTGATAAAAAGTTAAAAAAAATTTTTTTGAAAAAAAAATTTGCAATTCTCTAGATGAGCGTGGTGGCTCGTGCCTGTAATCGCAGCACTCGGGAGGCAGAGGCAGGAGGATCATTGCAAGTTCGACACCAGCCTGGGCTACAAAGTGAGCTCAAGGCCATCCTGAACTGCATAGAGACCCTGTCTCAAAAAGACAAAAAAAAAAAAAAAAAAAAAAAAATTGCAGTTCTTCTTTATCAGCCTCCTTAGGGTTGGATCTACTGGTATCAGCTTCCAAGCCTGGGTAGTCTCCTAGAATCAGTGAGGAAGGACAGCAGATTAGGTCATCCCTAAGATGTCCTCCGATCCTGAAATCCTAAATCATAGGGTACAGTGGTGGGAAGTGATTATTAATGTGAAAACAACCTCAGTCTGGGCCTCATATTGAACAAAACAAAGCCCAGAGATTAAAAGTAAGAGAGTTCAGGGCTGGGGATTTAGCTCAGCGGCATAAGCACCTGCCTTGCAAGCAGGCAGTCAGTCGTGAGTTTGATTGATCCCTGGTACCAATAAAAATGAAAAAGACAAAAAAAAAAAAAAAAGTAAGAGAGTTCACTCAAGTTTCAGCAGAGTAGCTGTGAATACAACACACACACACACACACACACACACACACTCACACACACACCACTTGGACTTTTTTCTGCCATGTGATTGGGCTCAGGTGTCTTCTCCAGCCTTGTAGGTCTTTCAGGCATCCCCTGCAAAGGTCAGGACCAGGCAGACAAATGCCCTCACCACTGCTGCTTGTCCTTCTAAGCCTGCTTGGCAGGTGCAGGCAGCAGTGGGTCTGAAGGGTTCTCAGAGCTGAGGGTGTGGGGACCCCAGCTGGGTGGCTGCACTGCATTCACCCAGCCAGAGTGTGGGAACCCAGCCTCCAGCGCTGTCCAAGGTCCACCTCGATGCCACACGGTAAGCAGATAGCTACTGAGGCTCTTTCCTGATACGACCTGCCCACTACGTTCACCCAGGAGGCTGCATAGCTCATCTGGGCAGTGAGAGGCCCTCAACATCTGAGGTGCAGGCAGAGACCTCGCGTGGCCTCAAGAAGATGCGAGACACTCAGTGGCTGCTAATGCCCTCTTGTGGCCACATTGGAAACGGCAGGTTGCTGAACCGTCAAGATCGAGCTTAGAGACAATGTAACAGTAACCGTTATAAAACAGCATTGTAACAGTACTTATTGTTATATACTAGTTAGGGATTTTTGTGACACTAAATGCAGGCTGCTCTGCCACTGACGTCCACATCTATTTTATTTTTTATTTTACTTCATTTTTAAAATTTATTTTGAGACAGGGTCTCCCTATACAGTTCAGGCTGACCTTGAACTCACTAAACAGCTCAGGCTGGCCTCAAACTTGAGTTGATCCTTCTGTCTCAGCCCTCCAAATACTGGGATCACAGGCGTGCACCTCCTTGGCTGGCCAGAAGTTTTGCTTACTGAATCCAACACACTAATTTACAGGACACATCTCTGCCTTCTGTCATCACATCCATTACCTCATCCATTCCTCCCAGGAACCTGTCCTCAGATGCCCCACATGTGTCCCCACTCAGCCTCTCCCATACCCCACTTAGACCTTAGCCAGGTGGTGGAACTGGAGATTGAACTCACATTCTCTAGGTCTAAAACTGGTGCTTGATTTCTTCCATTTTCACAGGAGAGAAGTGGGGTGCAGTGATGCGCGCCATGGATATCTCCCTTTGTGGTGTAAAGTGCCACAGGGGCCCTCCTGGACTGGGTCAAAATGGTGGAGGAGAGGAGGGGGGGAGGGAAGAGAAGGGAAGGTTTCTGTACTCAGATCCATCAAACCTCAGAGGAGGCACACACAAAAAATACCTCCTCCCAGGCCCATGAGAGCTATCGGTGAGTTTAGAGCAGCTAGCTGCTCAGGGACGGTTCATCTGCTGCTCTGTGCACTGACAGCCTGCGACCAGATGTTGGGGTTGCATCACCTGCTGCAGAGCAGCCAGAGCACCTTGGCAGCCAAAAGGCAGTGGAAATTGTTTTAGAAAACTGGGACCAAAAACCACCTGCTTCTCCCAGGTGGTTGCCTTGGGAGCACAGTGATACAGTCCTGAGGAAATTCCCTGAGCATTTTCTCTCAACTCTGCTGATCCAATCCCACCCCTGCATACCTTCCCCTTTTCTTCTCTGACTAGACATCCTGCCCTGCCTGGCTCTCCTAGGCTGGCTGGCTTTTGTCAGGCTGTGGCCAGGGAGTTTCTGGGCTGGGACCCCTTCTGGGATGCAGGCTGGGGTGCCCTGTTGGTATGTGCCCCAACAGGTTTTTCTCTATCAACCTTGAAATCAGCCCAGAGCCCGTCTGACCTGCCCCCTGGGGAGCTGGAGCCAGTGGCAGAGCCAGGTCAGAAGCTGGACTTAGAAACTGGGTCTCTGCGGGCCTACGTGGCCCTCCAGGGAACACAGCATACAAAGCCTCCTGTGTCCATGTCCCCTGCTGGGCACTACCAGGCTGAGCAAGTTCACTTGCATGGGTTCCTGCTTAGCTTCCGGAGGAGAGATGCTAGGCAAGGAGGTGTCCACATGGGGCACCTGGCACAGCCTAGTTCTCTCCCCCGACTGGGAGGGGCCAGGGCCCAAGACAACAGCTGGGTTGGTCTTCAAGAGAGGCCATCTGACTGGCTGCCCTGCCTATGCTGCCCACACCCCCTCTCCTCTACCAGGCTGCACAGGAGCTGGTGCCCACACAAAAGTCCACCCGGCACAACGCCTGCCACACCTTCAGCACCTCTGGGTAAGCCGGATCTCCTGGGTTGTCAGCTGGGGAGGGGCATCACTGATTGCTTGCAGGCGGGAAGAATGTTTTATTTTCCTGCTTTGACACTGCCTGCTCTCTCACTTGCCCAGGTGCCTGTGTCCACAAGGACACAGATTCTCACATCAGCTCAGACCTCACTGCTGCTGACTGAGGAGCCCACTGAGGTTCCCTGGGGAAGGGCAAATAGAAGGTACGCTCTGCGGGCAGGGCTTGGGGCTGCCTTAGCAGAGCTGGACCTGGGGGAGCTGCAGTTGGGGCATCTCCCACTCCCTGGACTTGGCCGTGGCACCTAAACACCCCACACAGCCCCAGGAGAATCCTGCCAGGATGTGGACCTCAGAAGGGGACATAATCTCAGACCCAGGGCTGAGGAACTTGCATTCAGCTTGGAGTTAGGAAGGGTTTGGTTGGTGCTGTTCTAAGGGTCTCCCTGGTCGACCCTCACCTTAGTGAAGGGGATGCCAAGGGGAAACTTTCCCCTTCTCTTTGCTCTTATCCTCTGTTCATGTTCCCAAGCCCACTGAGCAGCTTAGTTTTTTGGTGTTTTGTTTTGTTTTGTTTTGTCTGTAACACAACAAGGGAAAGAATTGGCAGTGAAGTTTAAGCCCAGTGCTGAGGGACACTGGGGGTTGGGGGTCCTGCCTGGGCTCTGTCTCCCACTCTTGCCTTCCTGCCTAAGCCAGCTTGCTGAACCATGTCTGTGAGCCGTGGAGAGATGGGGCCATCACTAACGCAGGAAATCCTCAGCCACCTGGGCCTTGCCAACAAGGTAGGAGCTGCTGGGATTTTAGGGATCAAGTTTGGATTTTGTTTTTTGAGTTTTTTGTTGTCATTAGTATTTGTTTGTTTGTTGTTATGTTTTTGAGACAAGGTTTCACTATGCTGTTCAGGCTGGCCTTGAACTTATTTTATAGCCTAGGCTGCCTCAAACTCCTGCCTCACCTCCAGAGTGCTGAGATTACAGGTGTGCATCACTATTCCCAGATCTGATACTGTTTTTAGAAATAGGGTCTCATTATGTTGCCCAAATTGCCCTCAAATTGCAGATCCTCCTGCCTCAGTCTCCCAAGTAGCTGGGATTATAGATGTGTGCCATCACCCCCAGATAAGAATCTTTTTTTTTTTTTTTTTTGGTGCCGGGGATCGAACTCATGACCTTGCGCTTGCCAGGCAGGCGCTTAAGCCACTGAGCTAAATCCCCAGCCCAAGATTCATTTTTTATGCATCTACTCTGAGACTGTGAGAACATGGGAGAATAAGAAAAGGAAAGTGGCCTAGCTGGGCACTGGGGGTGGCAGGCCCTTCCTAATCGTATCTGCTTTTATAGACTGCAGCATGGGGGACCCTGGGCACTCTCAGGACCTTCTTGAGCTTCAGTGTGGACAAGGATGTCCAGAAGCTACTGAGAGCCATAACAGGCCAAGGTAAGCCTCTTCCCTCTGTACTTGGGTATGCCAGTTGGAAGCCAGGAGGGAGGGAGGTGCTAATAGCTCCCAGATGCTTGTGAAATGCCTTAACCCCTGCATGGGGGTGAGGACCACAGCAGTGTCACATCTGTCCCCACAACACACCTGTGAGGCAGCTTTTTATTCCCACCCTATGGGGAGGACGCAGCTCAGAACAGCACAATGGAGATTCATTTTTTTTTTTCCTCCTTCCCCAGTAATTGAACCCAGAGCCTTTGCACTGAGTTATATCCCCACCCTTGTTCTGTTTTTTTTTGGGGGGGGGCGGGGTTTGTCTTTTTCCTTTTTATCGGTACTGGGGATCAAACTCACGACTGCCTGCTTGCAAGGCAGGCGCTTATGCCACTGAGCTAAATCCCCAGCCCCTGTTTTGTTCTCTATGTAGCCCAGGCTGGAGTTGAACTCCTGGCAATACTCCCGCCTCAGCCTTCCAAGTGCTGGGATCACAGGTGTGTGCCACCACACCTGGTACCATTTTTTATTTTTTAATTTTATCTTATTTTTATTTATTTATTTGTCTTTTTGAGACAGAGTCTCACAATGCAGTTCAGGCTGACCTCAAACTTACTTTGTAACCCAGGTTGGCCTTGAACTGAGTTATCCTCCTGCCTCAGCCTCCTAAGTGCTGAGATTACAGGCATACTTCACCTTGCATTTTTTATTTTTAATTTTGAGACAGGGTCTCATCAACTCCTTAACGTGATCAGGCTGGGCTCACACTGATTTCCTGTCTCAGCCTCCCAGAGAGCTGGGATTATAGGCAGGCATATTCTACTATACCCAGAATTGGGATTCCAAACCAAGTTAGCCAATCCAAAATTTAAAAAAAATTAGGGGTGGGGCAGGAATGCTTGGGCTTGAACCTATAGTGTCACACTAAGCTATATCTCCAACCCTTCTTATTTTTTACTTTTTATTTTGAAACAAGTCCTTGCTAAATTGCTAAATTGACTAGACTGGGCTCAAACGTGTAATCCTCCTGCCTCAACCACTGTACCCAGTTTAGAACTGAGATTCTAGAGCTGGGCATGATAGTGCATGCCTGTAATTCCAGCACTGGAGAGGCTGAGGCAAGAGAATTACCACAAATTTGAGGCCAGCCTAGGTTACATAGTGAATTCAAGGCAAATCTGAACTACATAGTGAGACCTACCCTCAAAAATAAATAAACAAGAGCAAGGTGTGGTGGTTCATGCCTGTAATCCCAGCACTCGGGAGGCTGAAGTGGGAGGATCCTTGGGAGTTCCAGACAAGCCTGGGCTACAAAGTGAGCTCAAGGCCAGCCTGAACTGCATAGTGAGACCCCGTCTCAAAAAAATAAATGAATAAATAAATAAATAAACAGAAAGAACTGAGATCCCAAGCCATGTTAGCCAATGCAAAAAGCCTTTTCTTTCTCCCTTTCTCTCTCTCTCTCTCTTTTTTTTTTTTTTTTCTTTTGGTACTGGGAGTCAGGCTCATGACCTTGCACTTACCAGACAGGTGCTGTGCTGTGCTGCTGAGCTGTATCCTGGGCCCCTCTTTTTTTTTCCTTGACCATCACACCTGGCCCCCTTTACCATAATAGGTGTCAGATTTGCATGCCATTTTGACATTTATTTGCATCTTTTTTTTAGAGAAAATGTAAACAGGGGTGAGGAACCCTAGCTCCTTCCCTTCCTGGCCCTTCCCTAGATGCTGTTGTCTCTCCCATGGAGCAGAGGGTCTCATGTGAGGGCCCTGGCTCCATTCCCACCTTCCCCTGGCTCAGGTGTAGACCACAGTGCCATCATTGAAGTGCTGACCAATCGCAGCAGAGAGCAGAGGCAGCTCCTTTCCCGAGCTTTCTGGGAGCGCACCCAGCAGGTGAGACGCTGATCCCCGGAGCAGAGTCCAGGGTGAGAGTCCTAGCAGGGTTTGGGGTACAGCAAGTGCGGCCGAGGCCAGCCCCTGCCCCCAACTAAGATGAGATAAAAAACCAGCCAAATCCCAAGCCCCCCACACTTCCTGATGCCCCTGACCCCTGGAGCCCTCTTGCCCCTGCTGTGGGGACAATTTACCGTAGGACCTGCTGAAGTCCCTGCAGGCGGCTCTCTCTGGAAACCTGGAGAGGATTGTGGTGGCCCTGCTGCAGCCTTTGGCCCAGTCTGACGCCCAGGAACTGAGGACAGCCTTAAAGGTACAGAACAGGTTCCATGCGGGGGCATCCAGGAATCAGGGACACTGAGGGAAGCAGGAGGGCACTTGTAACCCTCCCAGATCAAGTGAAGTGGCCCATGGCACATCTCAGAGTGGCTCCCCATTTCCCGTAGGCCTCAAGCCCTGCTAAGGATGTAGCCTTGGAAATTCTTGCCACCCGAGCTCCGCCCAGGCTGCAGGAGTGCCTGCAAGCCTATAAACGTGGTGAGAATACTGCAGGGGCCCCTCGGGTGACTAGGGGACAGGGAGCTGTAGGACAGCCCCTTCCACACTCCCTAGATACAGCCATCTGGAATCCTGACTGGCCCAGTTTGCTTCCTCTGGGGTCTCTCTTCCCTTCCCCTTCCATGCCTCAGTGTCCCCGGAGGAGACCCTCGTGTGATCATTAAAGAATGAGAAACAATGATTAGTTTGGGGGTCCAATGACATTGGACCTGTAAAAGTCCCAAACATGCCCGCACCGCACCACCTCCCAACCCCCTTGCTATCCTTGTCGTGGCAGATCTCCAGCTGCAGGTACCCTGGGTGCAGCCTGAGGGGAAGTTAGGGTGTCATCTGTCTGGCCCCTGGCTGGCACCTGCCTCACCGCTAATTTGTAACTGGCTTTGTCTGGTCTTCATCTTGGCCCCTCCCCTTTCCTCTGATGTCTGATCTCAGCCTGTCCCCCCTTCCTCCCTTCTGTCATTTGCCATGGTGGGGATGGAACCCAGGACTTTCACACAGGCTAGACAAACACTCCATCACTAAGCTGTGTCCTCCTGTTTTTTTTTCTTTTCCCCTCTCTTTTCTCTCTCTCCAGCTCTCCCAGCTCCACATCTCCTCCACACATCCTTTTTGCTTGCTGACAGTCATCGATTCGAGGCCATACTGGCCATCTTTCTTACCTCACAGTATGGCTTTCCTGTTCCACTCTTGTCTGGGTGCCCTCTAACAGTGGCTACCTCCTGCCTGGCAATTTGGTGCTGGGAATGAGCACATCTCAAGCTGTGAGATGTTCTCAATGGCATGGTGGACCTAGGCCTCACATCCTGGGAATAGGCAGCTGTCCTGCTATGCTGAGCAGGAGACAGCAGGGCTGGCAGGACACCGTGAGTCAGGCACTTGGTAGGTCCTGGGGCTGTCTACACTGGGGAGGCTCCAGAGGAGTCAGAGAGCTCCTGGCCCCACCCCAGATTTCCAGGTGGAAGCTGAGGAGGACATCAAGTCTGGGACCAGTAGCATCTTGCAGGACCTGCTCCTGGCCCTGGCCAAGGTGAGAAGGACCAGCCTGCCAGGGATGGGAGTTACCCTCATCAGGTCAGGGCATCAGGTCAGAGAGCAAAAGGATCACTACCCTATGATAAACAAAAGGGGACTTTGGGAAGCTGAGATCTGGAGATAAAAGGCTGCCTCTTGGTGGTTCAAGCCTATAATCCCAGCATTCTGGGATGCTGAGGCAGGAGGATCACAAGTTTCAGCCCACCCTGGGTAATTTACTGATTTAGAGACCCTGTCTCAAAATAAATAATAATAATAATAATGGCTGGGCATGTAGCTCAATGAAGAAGCCCTGGGTTCAATCCCCAATAATGCCCAAGAAAGAAAGAAAGAGAGAGAGGAGAGAAGAGGAAAGAAGGAGTGGAGAAGAGAGTAAAAGAGAGGAGAGGAAAAAAGAAGAGGCCCCCTGAGCAGTGTCTCCTTTTAGGGCAGTCGTGAGAGCTACTGTGGCATCACTGACTACAATCTGGCAGAGCAAGATGTCAAGGTGAGCTTGGCCTACACCTCTTCAAGGCCACACATGTAAGATACAACACCCAAGCCCAACCCCCAAAGCCCAGGCTGTGCACCCAGGTCTGTAAACGGGCTCCCCATCCCCACCCCAGGCAGGCATGGCCCAGGAGCCTGTAAGTCATCTCGCAGGAGCTCATCAGCCATCCCTCTCTCAAGACCTGTCCTGGGCATCATTTAATTCCTGGGGCACCCAGAGTTTTCCAAAGCAGAGAATAGAGCTGTGAAGGCAGAGCTGGTATTCTTAGCCACACACACATAAACATGTGTACACATGTGTATGCATACACCTGCATGTGCCCGCACACACACAAGTTAACAGGTTAAAATCCCATTTACCATCCTTAATTTCCTCATGGTGATGATGGATCCTGGGAAAATCCCAGCCATGGCTGATTCCTCTCTCCATCCCAGGTGCTACAGCAGGGGGAAGGGCCTGGCAAGGAAGATCCATGGGTCCAGATCTTCTCCCAGCGCAATCCAGAACACCTCAGGCGAGGTATGCGCAGGCCTTCTCGTCCCCTCAGCTTGCTATAATGATGAGTTGTGGTGGAGGGAGGTAGGAGGGAAACCCTTTCTCTATGACAACTACTTCCGCAACCACCAAGTCATCTTTCTACCTACTCCCCCCATGCAAGTGTTTGATCTGTACCAGTGGCACACTGGGCAAGCGCTGGAGGAGGCTGTGCGAGACCGTTTCCATGGAGATGCCCAGGTGGCCCTGCTCACTCTAGGTAGGGGCCCACCTACGGCATGGAGTAGGGGTCTCTCCTGGGATGGGAATCTTAGGCCCTAGTCCTGGCTCTCTTTCCCTCCCTCTCTGCTTTCAGCCTCAGTGGTCAGGAACACGCCGCTGTACTTTGCTGACAAACTTCACCAGGGCCTCCAGGTGAGAAGCCCACTCCCTTCCCCTCCCATGGCGGGGTGGTAACACAGCAGGCTCACATGTGCTTTCATAAAGCCACAGCAGCTCTCTTCCCCCGAGTTTCTCAACTGTCTTCTTGAGGGTAGAAGGGCCTGAGCTTGGGGCTGGGGATTTAGCTCAGCAGCATAAGCACCTGCCTTGCAAGCAGGCCGTCGTGAGTTCGATCCCTGGTACCGATAAAAATGAAAAAGACAAAAAGAAAGTTTGAGCCCAGCCTATGCAATTTAGTGGCTGAGCAAGACCCTGTCTCAAAATGAAAAATGAAAAATGAAAAAAAAAAAAAAAAAGGGCCAGGGATTTAGCTCAGCAGTGTAAGTACCTAGTTGCCAAGCGCAAGGTCATAAGTGGGATCCCTGGTATGAAAAATAAAAAGTAAATTTTAAAAGTAGGTGGACATGGTAGCACACGCCTATAATCCCAGCACCGGGAAGCTGAAGCAGGAGGACCACTGAGAGTTCCAGACCAGCCTGGGCTATAAAGTCAGTTCAGTGCTTGCCTGGACTGCATAGCGAGACCCTGTCTCAAAAGAAACAAAAAAAGAAAAGAAAAGGTCTGGGGATGAACCTCCATGTGAAAGCCCTGGGTTTACTCTATGCTTTTATTTCCAGTTGTAGGCATCGGTGATAGTACTAAACTAGAATAATGACAGAAGCCTGCTTATTACACACAAGGGATTATCCCGAATGTGTTAAACAGATGTCACCTGATCACCACAAACATGTTCCATCCTTATAACTAAAACACCAAAGAACAAAAAGGTTGAGTACCTTGCCAAAATCACACAGCTAGTAAGTGATACAGCCTCCCTAAGGAACACTTAATAATTCAGGACATTCACAACTTGGGTCACTTAGTCTGCTAGCTTAGCACCTAGGGGCTCCTTTGCCCACTTTGGTCAGCATTTGTTCCATATCAACCATTCTTGAACCAGCAGCCTCAGTTGGAGTAATTCTACCAACAGAATCCAGGCATTCTGCTCTATGAACTAGGTCCCCTGTGAGAATCATCCCCCAAAACCTATATATAAAAATTTACCAAGTTACAGAAAGTAAAATGTGAAGAAGGTAAAAGAGATTGTTTTGGTAGATGGACTAGTTCTTCTGTGTACAGCCTGAGAGGTCATCATGCCTTATTGACAAAAAAAAAAGTTATAAAGCTGTAATCCTAGCTGCTCAGCAGGCTGGGGCAGGAGGATTCAAGTCTAGCCTTGACCTCTTAACAAGACCTTGTTTCAAAGTAAAAACTTAGAAAAGGCTGGGGATGTGGCTCATTGGTAGAGCACTTGTCCAACATATTCAAGGACCTGTGTTCATTGCTATGTAATGCAAGAAAACCAAAAAAGGAAAGACAGTCTATAAGCACTTTCTCTATCATCCAGAGGTTCTCATCCTGACAGTAAATTTTTTTCACATTCAAAAGTTTATTTACTTGACAAAAACACAATGTGATATTATCCTAAACGGAGAGAACCTTAGTAAAAGCCTAAAGTTTATTCTCATTTAAAAAGCTACAAACATCACAAAATGCAGAAAATTATAATGTTTTGACTCATAAACCAAGAACTTATCTAGGAAATTTTTATTTTACCCTTTATGTATATTTGGGTTTCTATATAAGAGAAACCATGTGATATTTAAGCGTGTTCCTAATTTTATTACCTAATGATGATGTCTCCAGGTGTCTTCGTTTTTCTGCAAATGACTTACCTGGTTTTTTTTTAGACAGGATCTTGCTATGAGGTCAAGACTGGCATTAAACTTCATATGTATCCCAGGTTGGTCTCAAACTCACAGGACTCCTCCTGCCTTAACCTCCTGAGTGCAGGGATTGCAGGTGTATACCCCCACGCCTGGCAAGTTTGTCCATTTTTATGGCAGAGTAATATTCTTTTATGTATAAATCCATATTTCCTTTATTCAGTGATGTGTTAATAGACATATAGGCCACTTCCAAGATTTAGCTATTGTTCTGGATGTGATGGTTCACAAGGCAGGAAGACCAGTTTAAGTTTGAGGCCAACATGCACTACATGGCAAGACTCTGTCTCAAAAAAAAAAAAAGAAAAGAAAAAAGAAAAAGAATGTACCAATTAACAAATGGCAATTACATGAAGTGATCTGAACAAAGGTACTTACAAGTAGAAACAAAATGCTTCCCGTATAGGCAAAACAATGGTGCTATAACCAAACCATTGGCCAGCTCATTAGATTCTCTAGAGGACCAAGAGGTGGCCTTCCTGTCCCTATTCTTAACCTTTTATTGTTCAGATTCTGTTGAAGCTTGTGGTACAACTCACTGCCCTTGACCCAGAAAGAGGACTGCAAGCCTGTTAATATTAGCACTGGCAGAGGGACTTTGACATCACAGGATGTGGAATGGGTCTCAGCAGAAAATTGAGCTGTACAGAGATGTAGCTAAAAACCATTCAAAGAATTTATGAGCTTTCAGGCCGCCACGGCTTTCAAAGCAGTGGCACGTGAACTTCCAAGGCACTACATAAATAATGAATAGAAACTATCTGTAGGAAAAGGTCTTTTGATTAAAATGGGGAGGAGTGCAGTGTAAAGATATTTACAAGAAAAAATAAATATTTACAAGAGGAAAACTAGTTAAGAATAAAGTAATATCCCCCCTAAAAAAAAAAAAGATTCCTCTGTAACCATAATGAAACCCCATCAAAAGCACTCAAAACGCTGGCTTTCTTCTGTTCTTTCGAACACTCTTCCCGGGTCTGGAGATGAGGTGGTAAATTTCTCATGCAGGCTCCCTCATTTCATGTGTTGGCTCAGAGAAGCATTGCCTTTGCTTGCAGCCCGGTTTCAGCTTTCTTGGGGGGAGGAAACAAACCTGCCCCGAGATCAGACTTCCTGGTTTCTTCCTGGAGCTGGAGTCTGCCTGTCCTGCTTGTCAACTGGAATGCAGGGATGGCAGCAGCAGCAGCAGCGGTGACCCCTTGGCAGTCTCCAGTGTGGCCTTGGACTGTTCCCAGATGTGGTCACATGTGGAGACTTTCGGGCTAGAGTCTTGGTCAGGGTCGCTCATACTAGTCTTCCCAGGTAGCCTTACATGTATCTTAGCAGCAGAGAAAGTGGAGGAACACTTGGCCAAACCAGGGCAGGCTGGTCTTCGGCTGAACTGGAGGTAGGGCTCTCGCTTAGGGGCAACTGCTGGTTTGCCCTTTGGCTGAGTTGTGTTTCTGAATATACTCATCAGGAGACTCCATTTCCTTAAAAATAAGCTTCATAGGGCTTTTTTAAAGTGTAGACTAGTGACTGTAGTTTGTTTCCCATTCCCAAGTTTGGAAAACCCATCTGTGTAGAGAAAGTTTCTTTCTTTTTTTCTTTTTTTTTTTTTTAAACTTTTTGAGACAAGGTTTTACTATGCAGTTCAGGCTGGCCTTGAGCTCACTTTGTAGCCCAGGCTGGTCTCGAACTCGCAAGAATCCTCCTGCCTCAGCCTCCTAAGTGCTGTGATTATAGACCTGTGCCACCACGCCTGGCTGAGAAAGTTTCTTTCTAAAGGTTCCTTTGAATCATTATTATCATTTATTTCACTTTTTTCCTGAGACAAATGCATTCTCACTCCTTGGGATGAGAGGTGGAATTAAGAAGTGAAACAAAAGATCTTATTAAGGAGAAGGATGTTTATGGAATTAGGTAAAGGTAACAAGAAAACAAATGGGGGCTGGGGATTTAGCTCAGCGGCATAAGGACCTGCCTTGCAAGCAGGTGGTCATGAGTTCAATCCCCGGTACTTATAAAAAGGAAAAAGACAAAAACAAAAACAAAACAATAAAACAAATGAGAAATAGAACATAAAGGTGACTCACGCCTTTAATCCCAGCACTCAGAAGGTTGAGGCAAGAGGATCACTGTGAGTTCAAGACCAGCCTGGGCTATAAAGTGAGCTCAAAGCCAGCCTGAACTGCAGACCCTGTCTCAAAAATAAAGGGAGGGGGAGGGGAGGAGATGTAAGAAGAAGAAGAAAAAGAAATACTATGATGGATAAAAATAGAAAAACAGGAAGAGAAATTCCCCAGGCCCAAAATAATTCAGTGAAGAAAAAAGAGAAAGGGAAATAAAATTTTTTTTTGTCTTTTTCTTTTTTTATCGGTACCAGGGATCGAACTCACGACTGCCTGCTTGCAAGGCAGGTGCTTATGCCTCTGAGCTAAATCCCCAGCCCCATACATTTTTTTTTTTTTTTGGTGCTGAAATCCAGGAACGAACGAAATAAAAATTTTAAAAGGGTGCAAACTTTTATAGATTGGGACTGAGTCCAACTTTCCTTTTTTAACTTGTTGCCTTTCCACAGGCTGCACTTTATAAGAATGAAAACCTCAGGGCTGGAGGTTTAGCTCGGCATAAGCACCTGCCTTACAAGCAGGCAGTCATGAGTTCGATCCCCGGTACTGATAAAAAGGAAAAAGACAAAAAAAAAAAAAAAAAAAAAAAGAATGAAAGTCTCATTTGCAGGTAGCGCCAAGATAAATTTTTCCTCATTTTGGTTTATATTCTTGTGGTAAGACTGTCTCACTAGTTCACAGAGACAATAATCTGACCTGAACTAAATAAAAGTTGAGACACAAATACATAAATAAATAAACACATAAATAAATAAAATAAGGTGCAAAAACAGAGAAAGAAACTTCTCTATACTTTTGAATGAATGTTTTTTCCCTAGAGCCACAGTTTTGGGGTCCAGCAGTTCAGTTTTCTCTGCCTACCCTCATGGCCTGTGACTCTGCAAGGTGCCCCCTCCGTTGCAGAGGACCCCCTTCCTCCAAGGCTTTGGCAACAGGAGCGGTGTCCCCACTGCACCAGCGGACAGGAAGGCAGTCAGACCCCAAAATCTGTGCCAAGTATGGGCAAATGCAGGCTCCCACACTCAATGCTAACTTTGTCAGGCCCCACACAACTCAAGCTGGTCCTGGACTCCTGCTGCTGCAGAGATCAGAGTTCAGCTACTACTTCCTGGCCTGAGTGTGAACCCTCCCAGGGGGGTCTCTTTCTAGCCTGCTCCCTCTTCACAGGGTCACTCATGGCTGTCACTGTGAGAAGGCAACATGGAGGGTGCAGAAGTGAAGTCTCCTCTGCACCCCAATTAATTTCCTTTCTTTTCGGGGATCGAACTCACCCAATTAATTTTCTTTTTTTTTTGATTGGTACCAGGGATCGAACTCATGACTACCTGCTTGCAAGGCAGGCGCTTATGCTGCTGAGCTAAATCCCCAGCCCCCAACTCAATTAATTTTCAATCAACTCTTTCTTGGAATGGCACCCAACCAAGCACTCTCTGGCAACATGCTGGCTGCCTGTGCTATGATGCCTATCTGGCTGTTGTGCCCCGCAGTGAGGAAGCCCCCTTGGAGTAAAACCCTGCACTGTCCTGGAGGTACCTGCCCCTGGAGCCTGCATGGCTGACCCAGTCCACACCATCTGTCCCTGTAGTCCCCAGCACTCACCCTGCTCCTGCAGAACTGGGTTCCTCTCCTGATGAGCCAGAGCCGTGGAGAGTATGCAGACTGTTTCGTTGCCTTCTCTGTGCTTTGGTTTGTCTTTCGAGCTTCTCTATAGCTTTTAATTTTTCCTCTCAGTTTCTTCCCAATTCCTGGCAATCTACTTCGCTTTTTTTCTTCCCTAAATTGTCATTTATTCCAGTGTCTCTAGATTAATGTTCTTGACTAGGAAAGCCTGGATTATAATGAGCCAACTTCAAGATTCATTTGAAGAGTAGTTACCTGTCTATATTCTTGTCATAAAACAAATTTGAAAACCTGGGCATGATGGCACTTGTCTGCAATCCCAGCACTTGAGGGGCTGAGGCAGGAGGATCACTATGAGTTAGAGGTCAACCTGCATGGCCTAGTGAGACCTTGCCTCAATCAATCAATCAATCAATCAGTGTTTTCTAAAAAATAAGCCAGGTGTGGTGACACACACCTGTTATCCCAGCAATGGCAAGGCTGAGGCAAGAGAATCACTGCCAGTTCAAGACCAGCCTGGGCTACACAGTGAGCTCAAGGACAACCTGAACTAAGGCAAGACTTTGTCTCAAAAAGACAATAACAACAACAACAACATAATAATAATAGAGTCACAAAATAATATAGGTCCCTTTTCCTGAAAAATTTTAAAAGGAAAAAACAGGCCAGGAAGAAATCTGAGTGGTAGAGCACTTGCCTAGTATGTGTGAGTCCCTAGGTTCAATTCCCAGTATGAGAGAGAGAGAAACATTTTTCTCAAACACTCCTGTAGATTTTTATTTTGTAGTACTGGGGATTGAACCAAGTCCTTTGTATTGAACTATATCCCCAGGCCTTTTTATTTTGAGACAAGGACTCACTAAATTGAGGCTGGCCTCAAACTTGTGATCGTCCTGCCTCATCCTCCCCAACAGGATTACAAGCCATACTGTTTAGAACATATTGTTCTAATAACATTTCTTTTTCTAATGGTGGAGACTGAATCCAGGCCAGGGCTCATGTATGCTAACTATGTACTCTACTGCTGCACTACCTTTTTTTTTGAGGCAGGGTCTTGCTAAGCCACTAAATGGCCCCGCCTCGTCTTAGTCTTGAACTTGTGCTCTTCCTATCTCAGCTCTCATTACACAGCTGTTTCACTTGTGGCAGGATGAAGGAAGACATGAGGAAGAAACAAGAGAAATGTTTAAATTCTCCCTCAGGGACTAATCTTTCTTGCTGTATCATCTTCTAATGAGAATGTACCAATAAAAATAACTTTTCCCCAGAATAATATTTATGTATACTTCTTTCTCCTTGACCCCGCTTCCTATGCTAAACCTCCAAGTGACTCATTCCTAGTGAAAATCTTACTGTCTAAATATTCCCTCATCTCTTCCTTTCTCTATCAGGAAACTGAGCCCAATTACCAAGTCTTGACGCGCATCCTTATCTCTCGAAGTGAGATTGACCTTCTAAGCATCCGAGCAGAGTTCAAGAAGAAATTTGGGAAGTCCCTCTACTCTTCTCTCCAGGTGAAACAGCCAGGAGCCCTCAGTTTCTCTCCTTGCCGCCACCCCTGACAGACGCTTGCCGCTGAGCATCTACGCCCTGCCTGTGAGGAGCATGTGTTTGGTTAACTGGACGCTGACCCTGCCCTTGGCTGAGCTGTGAACCGGCATGAGGGAGGCATCAGCATGCCAGAGCCCTGGCACGGTGTGTCTTCCTAACACTGACTCCCTTGTCTGTAGGACACAGTGAAAGGAGATTGCCAGCAGGCCCTGCTAGCCCTGTGCAGAGCTGAAGACCTTTGAGACCGCCTTGCCTTCCACCTCACAGCAACATTTAAGAAACTGTAAGTCCTTGTTTGGCTGAGCCTGCAGGAGACCAGCTCAGCCTCCAAACAGGATAACCTTGCACACACACAGCACCACATGCACCAGCTCCTTGTTGAGATCAGGACGCTGCGTTTCTTTCAGATTCCTTAATTCAAGCCTGGGGATTTAGCTCAGCAGCATAAGCGCCTGCCTGGCAAGCACAAGGTCCTGAGTTTGATCCCCAGTACCAAAAAAATAAACACATAAATTCCTTAATTCCCCCTATCTCAAAATAATGTCTGTACCTGAGTCCTCTTGCTCCGTCTTGGGTGTGTGGAAATGGGTATCTTTGATAGTTTCGTTCTGCCCATCCTCTTAGAGCCTGGCCCGAACCTCACTGATACTTAACCTCTGTTTTGCAAACCTCACTACTGTTGTGTTCTAAAGTTTGGGTGGAACAGGACATGGACCAGGAAGAGGCTTCGACCTGGCACACCTCTGATGGACACTTAGCTGTCCAACAGGAATCTTGTGTTTGTCCAGGGCTACAATTGTCAACACACTCTGCCCTGAGGGACTGGCCCCCCTAACATCATTACCCTCTTTTCCCAGGAAATTTCAGGCAAAATAATTGAGAAACAGCTATCAGAACATTAGAAATTGTCAGAGGTAGAGTTCATCTGGTGAACTGGGAAGATAGTAGAGTGTCAAGCTACCCTCCCCAACCTGGGAAATCTTAGTAACTTGCCCAATTCATCTCTGCATGGAAGGATGTTGAAACCCACTTTTCTTTGGGGCAGGATTTCCCATAGAACATCTGTGAAAAACATAAACAAAAGAAGCCAGGCGTGGTGGTGCACGCCCGTAATACCAGCATTTAAGAGGCCAGGGCGGGAATTCAAGGCCAGTCTAAAATATGTAACAACACCTTATCACAAAGAAACAAAACAAACCAATTTTGGTGGTTCATGCTTGTAATATTAGTACTTGATAGGCTGAGGCAAGAGGATCATTGCAAATTCAAAATCAGCAGATGCTACAAAGTGAGCTCAAGGTCTGCCTGAACTGCATAGTGAGACTGTCTCAAAAAAAAAGAAAAGAAAAGAAAAGAAAGAAAACATAAACAAAAGAGAAACAGTTCCCTTGCTGGGCTTCATTAGAATGCAGCCTACCTCTCCCCACCCCCGCCCTTTCTACATTCCTCCAAGGGGTCAAAAACCTCACCCCATAGCTGCAGGGTAAAGCAAACAACAGATCTCAGGAAAGAGGTTTTATTTCCAAACCTTAGGCAGGTATTACAAATAACAGAGATACAAACCCAAATCAAACCCTGAAACAAGTGGAAAGGGGCCTGCAGTAGCCAAGGGCCCCCAGGCACTTGGAGATGGAAGGTAGGAGATCTGCATTCCAGAGAAGGACAGAGCCCTGGAGCCTGAGTCTGTGTGTTCCACAGGCTACCCCAGGAAGGGAACTGGAAACCAGAAATCCTTCCCCACCGATCCCTGATGGGAGGGAGAGAAGATGGCGGCAGCACGTGAGGGCAAGGATGTTGCTGAGTTGGCCCTTAGTATCCTCCTGCCTCAGCCTTGTGGCTGAGTCTGTCCTTGCCTGCCCTGACCCCGTCGACCCATAAATAAGTTACCCTGTATATATCAGGGGCTGAAGTGGGGAAGCAAACCAGCCAACCACAGCCTCTGAACAAAGAGGCAGAACTACAGTAGAACACAGTCAGACTGCTGCTTTGGCCTCTGCCGCCGCTCCCCAGCTGGCCGTCCAGATGTGGCTCCTCGTCCCTGTATGGGATTTAACAACTGGTAATCCAACACCTTTGGAAGGGCCCAGGGTTCTTAAAGAGGTTCACGATCGGTGGGGAAAGAAAGACAGCAACGGGTGCCAGGGAAAGGGCAGGCAGGAGAAAGGCCTGCAAAGGGAAGAGCTCAGTAGATTCACCTGGGGCAGTGGGGCCCGCATCTGCATGGGCTGGGCCACCTGCTGCTGCTGATACTCCTCTTGCTGAAGTTGCTGGGCCAGCTCCAGGTCAGTCAGGCCCACCATGCCTTGTGGCTGCTGCTGCTGCTGTAAGGACAGGGCAATAAGGTAGTCCTGGAAAGAAAAAGAGTTAAAAAAGGTAACACCTGTAATTCCAGCCATTGGGAGGCTGAGGCAGGAGGATCCCCACAAGCTTGAGGTGGGGCTGGGCTGCACAGTAAGACCTTGGCTCAAAAAAAAGTGTTACAAGGTGATGTAAACTGAGGTGGACTGAGATTCAGGCTAGGTTTCCAAACCAGATTTCCTTTCAAAGAGCCAATGTATTCTCTGTGGTGCCAGAAAAATACATACCAAGTGGAGAGATGGTCCACAGGGAACAGAGAGTAAAGGAGCATGGATGTGAGATGTCATGGCCACCAGGTGATAAAACCCATGCGATTCACTTAAGGCCCAAAGCTCTGAGAGCAATGAGACTGATGTACCTTTCCCGAAGGCCACACACACCTGGTCTACCTGCAGCTGCTTTTCCGGGGAGCCACCAGCACCCTCTGCCCCAGCTGCCTCGCCCAGGGAGTGGCTGAGGTGGAAGTCAGAGTCACAGAAGCAGCTGTCCCCATCCACATTGTGCAGGCTCTCCCATACCACCTGCTCCTCCTGTAGAAAACCTTGGTCTGTGACCAGTAGGTACAGGTGATTCTGAAAAGAAAAGGATGGAGCCCATGGGTAGGATAGGACACAGGGGCGACTTTCTGTCCTTGATCAGCTGAGACACACACCTAGAGACCCTCTGAACCCCCTGGCGTGCTGGCCGGAACATGTGCCCTTTTATAAATGGAGAGAAGAGGGCACCCCAAGTGTATGGCCGGGTGGGTGACAGTGCAGTGTTACTGTGGTCAAGTGTGGGGTCCTCGGGGCTGAGGTGCCACCAAGAGTCTGTCTCCACCCTATTCTTCCTGGCTCGCTGAGCTTGCTGATGGCAGTGGGGCTAAACCCCTGAGAACCAGGGGCGTCTCCCTCTTGTATGAGTTCCTTGAGAACTTTGGCCATTTCTAAGTATTCTTTGAAAGTTGCACTTCTCTTTTCTGAGAGAGGAATCTACTAATGGCAGGCTTATCCCGCATGGCTTGCTGTGGCCACTGCAAAGTGGCAAAAATGACAGGCATCATTTCTAGGCAGAAGCACTAAGACTGAATACAGAGTGACCAACTTTCTCTCCCCACATTTCCCAGATAAAGGCTCATTGTCAGCCTAGGTCCAGTGGAAAGATACTAAGAACAGAATGTCACTCATCTGCAGTGGAATGCAGCGTGAATGAGAAATAAATGCTTATCATAGGAAACCAGATTTTAAGGTCAGTTGTACCTACAAATTAGCCTACCTTATCCTAGCTGAGACACTGACCCAAGAGGAAAAAGGTATTAGGGAAAAGACAGAGCTTCAGCCCCCGCCTCCAAATCCTCATCACCTTGTGCTTAGTCATAGTGCTAAAGTGGTTGTTCCGGAAAAAGACGCTAAGTTCATCCTCTTTGGCAGCCGCAGTAAGCTCACACAGGCCATGGTAGGTCAGCTGTGCTGCAGTGGTCTCAAGGAACTGCTCTGCAATCAGACCTGCCAGAAGGCACAAGACAGAAACTTGGCTTCAGTCCAAAGCCCATGATGGGCCTAGTGTGCTACCACACACATATATCTCAGCACTCGAGGCCGAGGCAGGAGGATCACTGTGAGTTCAAGGACAACCTGGGCTACACAGTGAACTCAAGGCCAGTCTGAATTACACAGGGAGACCTTGTCAAAAAAGAAAAGAAAAGAAAAAAAGCCTATGATGGAGTGGGAAAAAAGAGGAGTAAGACTCAGGGGTAGAATATTTGCCTTGAATGCATGAGGCCTTGGATTTGACCTGTAGCACCATCAAAAACAAATAAAACAAAATCCAGGATGGGAACGATCATCCCCACATAGCCTATCAAAAGCCCTCCTGAGTTCCACTTGAAATCCTATTGCTGGGGCTATGGATATACCTCAGTGGCAGAGCACTTGCCTAGTGTGCTTAAGGCTCAGATTTAGTGTGTGTAAATGAGTGGGATGGGGTGGCAGGTGACACACAGTAAAACATGAACCCAAGCAGCCATTCTTCCCAGCATGCGAAACCCTGGAGGCCAAGGGATCTCACCTTCCGTCTCAAGGTCGGGGTCACTGGAGTGTTTGCAGGTGATGATCTTCTCTACCAGCTGGTTATAACTCAATTTCCCAACTGCACTCACAGCCTCAGGACTCTTCAAGGAGTGAAAGTGGGCGGGACCAAAACAAAATCTGAGGTTTTTTTTTTTTTCTTGTTTCATTTTTCAAGGAAGGAAATGAACCAAGCCCACAGGATCAAAGGTTCCTGAATTTTTTTTTTTTTTTTTTCTTTTTTGAGACAGTCTCACTATGCAGTTCAGGATGATCTTGAGCTCACTTTGTAGCCCAGGCTGATCTCAAATTTGCAATGATCCTGCTACCTCCTGAGTACTTGGGATTACAAGCATGCGCCACCACACCCAGCTAGGATCCTGAATTTTTGATGTCTAAAGAACAGATGGGGGCTGGGGATTTAGCTCAGGGCATAAGTGTCGGCCTGGCAAGTGCAAGGCCGGGCCGTGAGTTCCATCCCCAGTACCAAAAAGAAAAAGAACAGATCCTATTTGCACATATTAGAAGGCTGTCTCAAAAAAAAAAAAAAAAACTTGAAAGTTAAGGAATTCTGCAGCTAGAGATTTAGCTCAGCAGCTTAAGTGCCTGCTTGGCAAGCACAAGGTTGTGAGTTTGATCACTGGTACAAAAAAAAAAAGAAAAGAAAGAAACTCAAGGAATTTTGCAGTAGGTCTGGTTTCCAAACCTATTCCCTCCCAGTCAACCTAACTCCTAAATCCCCAACCCCGCCTCACCAAAGTGTGCCTCACTCACACCCAGAGCTACCCTTCACCTGCGGATCCGCCAGCCAGCCGTGGTATAGAGGGATGCCCAGGAGGTCAAAGACGCTGCACTCAGGCGTGTACTCAAAGTCAGAGACCCCTGTGAACCGCACATTCACATCCAGGCCAGTGGCCAGCCTAGGCAGCACTGTCATTGCGTCGTCCACATTCTGGAGACAGAGAAAAAAGTGATGGCTGGCCCAGGCTCCTCTCCCGGCACACTCTGCTCTATCCCCAGAAATTTAAAAAATAACACTATTCGTGTTACTTTTCTTCCCTGCATCTCTTATAAGTCATTCCATTCCTCCTTTATGTCACCAGACCTTCTTAAAATTTTTTATTTTTTTAAATTAATTTATTCTTTTTTTGAGACATGTCTCACTAGTAATTTAGACTGGTCTTGAACTCACTGTGTAGCCCAGGCTGGCCTCAAATTCCAGGTGATTGTCCTGCCTCAACTTCCCAAATGCTATTACAAGTATGCACAGTCATGCCCAGTTTTTTTGTTTTGTTTTGTTTATTGTTTTGGAAACAGAGTCTTACTAACTTGCCTAGGCTGAGTTTTGTTTTGTTTTTCAGTTTTGAGTTTTTGTGTTTGTTGAAACAAGGTCTCACTATGTAGGGCATTGAACTTGCTTATATATCCCAGGCTGACCTCAAATTCATGGTAATCCTCCTGCCTCAGCCTCCTGAGTGCTGGGATTATAGGTACATACTACCATAGTCAGCTCTCAGCACCAAAAATATGTCACCTGCTCTTCTTGCAGAAGTCAAGATTCAAGGAACCTTGTTCAGAAGCAGTAAAAGGCTTTTCTAAGTGGTTCCAGTACCTTTTTACAAACCTGCACAACATTGGCCTCACCTGCTGAAAATTAAGCTGAAGGCCTTCTGATTTCTCCTGGGGCTTGATGGACAGGAGGCAGTCTCCTATAAGACAGAATCCCTTGTCAGCCTACCCTACCAATCACCCCAAACCTCAGCCTCTTTTTCTGGAAAATGATAGTATTGTCATGGGACCACATATTTTCAGAGGTGAAGAGACCTCAGAGTCTAATCCAACTCCTTAGAAATAAGCTTACAAAGGTGAAGGGCCTCCCCAAGGTCACATACAGAAGCTAGGGGTAGAAGGAGGATAGGGATATCACTAACTGGTACAGTGCTTGCCTAGCATGCTCTGAGGGTTGGCCCCAAGTACAGGAAAAAACAAACAAACAAACAAACAAACAACAAATCGCTGAGGATATAGCTCATTGGCGCAGCACCTGCCTGGCAAGCACAGAACCCCGAGTTTGAGTCTCAGTACAAAAACAAAACAAAACAAAATGGTTGGGTATGGTGGCTCATGCCTGTAATCCCAATTACTTGGAAGGCTGAGACAGGAGGACCACTGTGAGTGTGAGGTCATCCTGAGCTATAAAGTGAGCTCAAGAACAGTCTGAACTGGGGGCTGGGGATTTAGCTCAGTGGCATAAGCGCCTGCCTTGCAAGCAGGCAGTCGTGAATTCGATCCCTGGTACCGATAAAAAGGAAAAAGACAAAAAAAAAAAAAAAAAAAAAAAAGATCAGTCTGAACTGCACAGTGAAACTGTCTCAAAAATACAAAACAAAACAAAAAACAAAAAAACAGGATTCCTGACACCTTAACCTTTTTTTTTTTTTTATCTTGATCTTTGCTTTTCGTTGTCCATCCTTGCAAAGAAGCCCTGCAAACCCTTACCCTTTCCAACCACACCATCACTCCCAATGGGGATCCCTCCACAGTCTGGGCTTCTGGCTGAATGGATAGCTCTGGGAGCCCCAAGGTGGCCAGTCTTACCCAGGTGGGCCATTAGCTCTTCTGATGTGATCATTTCCTTTTGGGGGGGCAGCTTCACCTGAAAGCAGAAAAGATGAGCAGGTGTTGCCTCCCTCCCAGAGCCTCATGGTGGGACCTATGGGAAGCTAGACAGGTCCGAAATACTGTAAGGCATTCCTGATGCTAGAAAACAGCAGAGAAAGGAGTCGGATGGAGAACAATCTGGAAAATTTTGACAGGGCTGAGGAAAGATCAAGGTGGTGGCTTGGAAAGAAGAACTCTCAGTATCCTCCCAGTGCCTGTCTGAGCGCCCTCTTACCTTCCACTGAAGAAAGAGGATGTTCATGATGGCAAGCAGAGGGCAAGGGCCGTTAGTGCTCTGCATAATGATGGGCGTCCGTGCTCCCTTCCAGGGGATCCATTTCACGCAGTAGAAGTCGGGCTCAGGCTGCCGGGCCCTGGGACACTGGGGAAGCTCCTGGGGCCCACAGCAGGCCTCGATGGTCTCTACTTCTCGTGGCTTCCCGCCGGGGGACCCAGGTGGACGCACCTGGGCTTCAGGTGGGGGGCACTCAAGGTTCTCCCTGCCCTGGGCAGGGAGCAGAGTTTGGTCTCCCAGCTCCAGCTGTCTTTGGTCTCCCTGCTCCCTCTCCCCACTGGCATCTTTAGCATTCGTGTTCTGAGGCTGCTCCTCGGATCCCAAGGGGACCTCGTGGTTTTCACAGGTGACCTCTTCTGCACTCCTGGGCTTATCAGGGACTTGGTGCTCAGGCTGAGCGTGTTCCATAGTGGGTGAGAGTCAACTAAGGGTCCCTGACAGTGTTCTTGACCTTTACCTAAGCCAGTCCTGATATACAAAGCAGAGCCCTGTCCACCAAGGTCATTGGGTTGCAAAGCAGAGAGACCTGGAAAAGGATTGGGAAGTGAAGTGGTATGGAAGTTGGCTCAGTCTACACAGCCACTCTGAGATAGAAGCAGCACCCGCCTTTCCCCGCTATGTACACAGAAGGACTCAGGCTGAGCTCTCCACCACTAACTTGCCTCGAGATGGGATGGGTACAGGCTGGGCTTCCAGGCTTGACAGGGAGGACTGGGATGGGGGTGGGGATTGAATGCCACAGGTGGACTCAGCTTCACTGAAACACATAATGACAGAGAATGAGGAAAAGACAAAGTGATAGAGGACCTCCAAATGATATAGGAAACTTTTTTTTTTTTTTTTTTTTTGGTGTATTGAGGATCAAGCTCATGACCTCACGCTTACCAGGCAGACGCTGATGTCACTGAGCTAAATCCCTGGCCCAATATAGGAAACTATTATAACTCCCAATCTGATAAGTGTTTGATACATGCAAGTTCCCCAAAATCAAAGAATGAATTCTGAGGAACAATGGAAATTAAGAGTAGGAAATTAAAAAAAAAAAAGAGAGTAGGAAATTTTACTGTGGGGGAGACAGCTCCTGAGAGACAGAGGGGACCAGACAGTGGGTTAACCATGAGCCCAGTCCTCAGAAGTTTTGTTGGTTTTTGTTTTTTGTCTTTTTTTGAGATAAGGTCTTGCTATGTAGTTCAGGCTAGTCTTGAACTTTCTTACATAGGCGAGGCTGGCCTGGAACTCATGGCAATCCTGCCTCAGTCTCCCAAGTACGGGAACTGCAGGCCTGCACCATTATACCCAGCTTCAAAGGAAGATTTATACATTAAAATCACAAGGTAGGTATAACTGTTATACTAAGATGCTGAAAAATTAAAATAACTGATTAAAAGATAATTAGCAAAAATAATTAAAAAGATAGTTATTAGCAATATTGTCATTCTGTACTGAGCTCGTTCGTCACCCTAGTAACCAAGCACCAACCACAGTTATAGATTAACTGACTGCGTAGTTATGCTGTTCTGCATGCATCACCCCCCGCAAGTAACCTGTGTGCTATGTCAACCTTTGTTCCCCCTTGTAAGAGACAAATGATGTGTCAACCATTACTCCCTTTATAAGAGACTAATGTTCCTGGAATTGGTAGACCAAGCTATGAATTGGCTAACCACCCACTGTGAAATGCCTCTTACCTCAAGCAAAGGGGAACAAAGGCCCACCTTGTTTCTGTTTCTCATCACTATGTACTTAATGATCAATGAGCTAATCATAAATGAACTATAAAAATCAGTCAAGGGGCTGGGGATTTAGCTCAGCAGCATAAGCTCCTGCCTTGCAAGCAGGCAGTCATGAGTTCGATCCCCGGTATCGATAAAAAGGAAAAAGACAAAAAAAAAAAAAAAAATCAGTCAAAATTCTAACTCAGTTGCACAGCTTTGCAAATTCCATCTGCACTGTGTCGCTGGGCCAGCTAAAATAAAAGCGCTTCTTCCTAAAAACGATGTTGTTTTGCCCTGTCTTTTCCATTCCATCAAAAATGGGGTTTTGCCCCATTTTTCATCTCGGGGGCCTTTTTGGGGAAGTACAACAATAACATCATAAAATGGATATAAGGTAGGACAAAACTATGGGGAACCAATAAGATTACACGTGGAATCTGCCTGTGTACTGTTGGCCCAGTGGGGCAGCAAGGCCTGTAGCAAGTGTGCATGGGAAGAACAAGGACGTCTTTTGGAAGACATGAGTCTCGAGGTCTCCGCCTCCCAGGTGACTGATGGCCATTTGGAATATTGATCACTACTATTGATCCCTGTGGGAGGTACCTAGGTGTAGTCACTTGTCTTTGTCCTGAGGCTGGCCTGCAATGAATGTACCTCCAGCCACAGTGTCTTCTTATCTTCTGCACTGATTCCATCTAGGGCCTGGCTGCGCTTTCTTTCTTTCTTTCTTTCTTTCTTCCTTTCTTTCTTTCTTTTTTGGTCTCAGGGATCAAAGGTCCTCACACTTGCCAAGGAGGTGCTTGTGCAGCTGAGCTAAATCCCCAGCCCAACCTGGCTTTTCTGACTGGGTAATATGGCTTCCTAACTTAGCTGTCTATAATAAGAGGAGGGGAAAGTGGAAAGGAGAAAAAGCAAAGGAACAGAAATGGAGAAAGAGCCAGGCATGATAATGCACACTCGTAAACCCAGCACTCAGGAGGCTGAGGCAGGATTGCTGTGCTTCAAGGCCAGTCTGGACTACAAAGTGTGACCTTGCCCCCCCCCAAAAAAAAAGAGAGAGAGAATCAATGAGAAAGAAAAGTTAAATTACTGATGGTGGAACAGGCCTCAGCGATTCGAGAGACAGAACCAGGAAGATGAAAAGTTCATGCCATTCTGGGTAACTTAGGAGCCCTGTCACAAAATGAGGGGGCCTGAGATGTTCAACAGTAGAGCACTTGCCTGACCCACACCACAGGCAGGCTGGGCCAATTCCTCTGCCCTTCGCAGAATTCCACAACACACACAGGGCCTTTAGGGGTACCCCCTTCTTGCCTCACCTCAGGGCTAAAAAGGTTCACAATCACATAGTGCTTAGGGTAGAGATGAAGGGCATAACCACGCTCCTGGGGTAACTCCTTGGTGAGGAAACCAGGTTCTGCTGAAATCTACACCACCCAAACCACAGCACAAAGGTCCCGGGAGGGCCTTCCTGTTTGCTGGGAAAAGGTGGGTTACAAAGACTCGAACTGGAAGGTGGGCCTGGTGTACATAACTTCAGGCTGCTGAAACAAAAAGCACTTCCTTCAAATTCTTCCAGCGAGCTTCTCCTCTCGTTTTTTGTTTTTGTTTAGACAGGGTCTTGCCATGTAGCCCAGGCTGGTGTAGAACTCTGCAGCAGTCTTTCTGCCTCAGCCTCCTGAGTGCTAGCATTAGACAAGCACCACCACACAACTCTAGCGAGCTTCTCTTGATACTAGAGTTGAGATAGTTCCTCTTTAAACCCAAATTGCATAAACCCAGAAATATTCCTCTTCCCCTGCTTTTTCTCCTTCCTCTTGTTCTTCTCCTCCCTTTAAATCAATTAGTTGTAAATTCCACTGTACTCAGACCAGCTTTTTTTTTTTTTTTTTTTTGAGATAGGGTTTTACTCTGTAGCCTAGGCTGACCTCAAACTGGAAGCAAGCCTCTTGCCTCTGCCTCCAGATTGCCAACAATGCTCTCAACAACTTTTTCTTTTTTTGTCTTTTTGAGACAAGGTCTCACTATGCAGTTCAGGCTGATCTCAACAATCCTCTTGCCTCAGCCTGCTGAGTGCTGGGATTACAGGTATGCACCACCACGTCTGGCTTTCATCAAATATTTATGTGGAATATTAAAATACTAATTACTGGCTTACATAGAAAAAAATATTCCCTCAGTCAGGTGTGGCACACATGCCTGTAATCTCAGCACTTGGGAGACTTGAGACAGGAAGATGGTGAATTCAAGATCAATCTGAGGGCTGGGGATTTAGCTCAGTGGCAAAAGTGCCTGCCTTGAAAGTGTGTGGTTGTGAGTTCGATCCCTGGTACCGATAAAAAAAAAAAAAAAAAAAAAAAATCAAGATCAATCTGAGCAGCAAAACCCTTTCTCAAAAAAAAAGAAACTGAACTTGACTTTTCTTCAGCTTCCTCCTCACCTGAGATAATGCTGTTTTCTTTTCTTTTCTTTTTCTTTCTTTCTTTCTTTTTTAGTCTTTTTTGAGACAGGGCCTCGCTATGCAGTTCAGGCTGGCCTTAAGCTCACTTTGTAGCCTAGGCTGGTCTCGAACTCACAACGATCCTCCCACCTCAGCATCCTGAGTGCTGGGATTACAGGCATGTACCACCACTCCTGGCAAAACTGTCTTCTTTTTTTTTTTTTTTTAATCGGTACCGGGGATTAAACACACGACCGCGTGCTTGCAAGGCAGGTGCTTATGCCGCTGAGCTAAATCCCCAGCCCCTAAAACTGTCTTCTTATAACCTGCAATAATTTGGGGCAGTAGACAGGGTGGTACATGTCTGTAATCCCAGCATTTGGGAGGCTGAGGCAGGAGGATTGCTGCAAGTTTGAGACCAGCCTGGGCTACATAGTGAGTTCAAAATCAGCCTGAATTACATAGCAAGACCCTATTTCAAAAAAAAAAAATTTTTTTTTCTCTGCTAGCTACATTTCATTTACATGTTAATTTGAATCCAGGCAGTAAAAATTGCCTGCAAGCCTTAAGACTTTTTTTTTTCTCTTTTCCTCCTTTCCTCCGCCCCTTTCACATGGTTCTTAGGGTAAGCCTTGAAACAGATACCAGAGTGAGAAAGTTAAAAAAGCTTGAAGAAAATCAGGCTTATTTTCTGCCCAGTGCTAGAAATGATCAATAATTGAGTGGGGGTTGGAAGCAAGCTGGCCAGAGGGAGTGACCAAAAGAAACTAGAGCCCCCCCCCCCGCAGAGAAAGAGAGAGAGAGAGAGAGAGAGAGAGAGAGAGAGGTCCTCAGAACCCAGGCAGAGGCGAGTAATGTGGGAGATAGGCAGAGAATAAAGAGGGCTTCCACCTGTAAAGTACTCTGGTGGAAAGCCACAGAACACTTCAGACTGGGAATGGACAAGGGGGAGGGTACTCAAGGAAATCAAAATTTCATCCTTTTCCTTCTCTTTTCTCAGCTCAAGTCCTGTACTTTCTCTCCACCTCCGAATTCTGTTGTGGTGGCAGGTGAGGAGTTAAAAGAGCCCCAGCCCCATCTCAAGGGGAGGAAATTGCTCAGAGTAGAACCAGCACATAAAATGGGTGTGACTGTGGTTTCCAGAAGGAGCCCCTTTCTGAGACCTTTCTCTCCCCTCAAGTCCCTTAACGTCCCGGGCCAGTCTCCCCAGTCTGACCTAGATCTTCAAGCAACCAATGGTTTCAATTTTCCCTCTGAATATATCAAACAGTGCACTGTCTATCTGCTCCCAAAGAAAAGGGGAAGAACTTGGTTGGGAGGAAATGAAGGGACCACCAGGATCTCCTTTCCATTCTCCTTCAAGCAAGCCAGACTTCCAGAGACCACTGATCAAAGGAGAGCCAGCTGCCAACTCCCCGGAGCTGTCGAGAAAAAGGAGAACTGTGGGTGAGGGAAGAGGTGAAAAGATGGTTAAAAAAAAAGTTTTTACCTTACAGAAATGGGTGCAGTTCCAGGACCAAGCGAGAGGGTTCAGCTCTGGAGGTTTAAGGAGGAGGAGGTCAGCAAGGGCCACCAGAGCTCACTGCCTCCCGGCTGTCAACGCCAAGCTTATGCAGGTTGACACAGGTTCAGAGCAAGCATGGCTGGGGCTAGCTGCGTTGTGGTCACTTCCGGACTCACACCCAGGGCTCGGGGCACCACAGCAGGGTGAAGGCAAGTAGGACGCAGTCCAGGTGCTCCTGGGCTCACTCTCCAGGCGTATTCAGGATTCCTGAGTGGCTGAGTCTCCAGCATGTGCTCCAGGCCCTGCATCCAAACTGGTTTCCAAAGGAAGTTTGTGGTTTTGCTTTTTCCTCTCCCTGTCTGTGTTCCTCTCTCTCAGTTTTCTATTGGGGAAAAAGAAAAATTAGTCAAGGACAAGCTCCCTGGAGGAGGAGGGGCCTGCCCAGCACTGGAGGATTTCCATCAAACTTAGTCAGCAGCTTAGTGATCAGCAGAGACAGAGACAGAAACAAGCAGAAAAAAACAACAAACCCTTTCTCTTCCCTTTGCCTGCCGCTGGAAGAGACGGTGCACTTGTGCCTCTCTTGGTGAGAACAGGGAAGAGCAAGAGTCCTGCCCAGTGAGGGGGGGGCAGGCTGGACAGCAGCAGCTGTTGGATCTGGGCTTCTCCCTATGCGTGCTGGACAGACCTGTGCTCTAGATCTGCAGAAGCAGGGCCAAAGAGCACAATATTTGCATTTTTACTCACTTAATATAAAAAACAGCCCTACTTCTGTTCCTCTGGAGCCTACTGAGGGCTCCTTCACACACACACACACACACACACACACACACCGTACCATTTTTCTTAGTGTAGAAATGAAACGAGTTGGGCTGTGTGCATCTGGTAGCTCACAGGTGTGGGAGAAGCCCCAGGTTCTGGGGAGAAAGCACAGAAAGGAGAGAAGCAGCTGACAGGAGATCTGACTTCCTGTGCTCACAGGCCTCCCTGCATCAGTCCCCTCCTCAGCTTGGGGAACAAGGAAAAGCTTGTGTGAGGCTGGCAGTAGGAAGCAGAGGGATAGGTTAACAAATGAGGGAACACTTGATGAAGAGGGGACTCTGAAAAGGAAGGACAAAGATGTTGGGAGTGGAAAGTGGCAGTTAAGGGAAGTTGGAACCTACATTCTGAAGGGTCCTCCAATCTCCACCTATACAGCTGCCGTAGAATGAGGCATGAAGCAACTCTGAAGACTGAAAGAGCAGTTGGAACAATCAGGAATAAAAAAAGGTTACAACAGTCCAAGAAAGGAATGAGACAGTATCTGCTGAGGCTGCAGAGGAAGAAACAGCAAGGGAAGCTATTAAGAAGAGAGTTCAAAAACTATTTTAATGTTTTTCTTGTATGTACAACTACAAAATTGGTAGCAATAGATCAGCTGGGTGAACAGAGAATTCTAGAAGATGGAGAGCTGTTGCGTCATGTTGTAAAGTGACAACTAGATTTTTGGTGTCATATATTTTAAGATACTATACTTAGCCCAGTCTGAGAAAGGAAGTTCAGAAGCCACAAAAATGGGTTAATGTGACACGTACACATCTATGTGTCAAAACCCTAAGGAAATTCTCCAAGTGTTGGAATGACTTCGGACCTCCTGGCCTACATTTCCCAGCACGCCCTGCGCCGCGCCCTTTCACCTTCGGGGCGACGTCCCAGGAGTCTCTAGGAGCAGAACTCCGCCTGCGCTGCTGGGGCGGGGAATGTCGGACTCGGAGAGCGCCGCGTGACGCACTTCCTCCCAGGGCTGGCGACCGAATTGCTTTGTGGCGGGTTCGAGTCCCGCCTTCTGACTCTCACTTCTAGACCCTGAATTTTGGATAGGGTGCGTTCGCCCGAGAGCCTCTCAACTAGGGCCGAAGACATCCCTTGGTCTTCACCATGGAGGACTACCTGCAGGGTTGTCGAGCCGCTCTGCAGGTAATAGGTCTCTGTGACTAAGGAATGGAGCTTGGATGGGGTCTGGGAGGGACGAGTATGTGCGATTCGGGGAACCTGGACAGTCCGTGTGGAAGGGATCACCGAGTTGTGGGGAGGGGACGGGGGCTGATCAGGTTTGAAGTGCGAAGAGCGAATTAGCTTACGAGCGAGAGAATGTTGCTTGTTCTCCCCGCGTTAGGTTCCCCGCCTTCGACATCCGCCCAGGAGCGGCAGGGAGGAATGAATCGGGGGTCGGGGACCTAATTGACTTAAGTCTCTGGCTGCTGTCGCCTGTGCCGCCCGAGCGCCCGAGCGCGCTTCCTTTCTCCCCGCCCCTCTGAGTTCCTGGCTCCCCGGGCCTGCCTGAGCCTCCGGCCGCCGAGCAGATCTGAGGGGTGTGCAGGGGGTCTGGGCTCACGCCTCATCTTCCATTGGCAGTGTCTCCCTGGCGAACAGAACTCTTAGATGGAAGGGGTGACCACGGTGTTTTACTTTAAATCTGTTTTTAAGCCAAACATGTAGAACACATCAGCCGTGTCTGTTGATACACAACCTGCATTCCTTTGCTCCCTGACACATTATGGAAAACACCCAACACCACTCCCTCTTGAAAGGGATAAGCGCAAAGTATGTTTGGAATCAAAACCAGAAGCGTGACTGAATACTTTGGAGCTTATTTTGGGTTCTTTCTGAGGCAGTTGGCTTCACCCCATGCTGACTAGTGATGCAGCATTAGGCTATTATCTGCAGTTAGCAGTGGAAAGCTAGCTGGAGAGGCTCCAAGAGTTCACCTGTTCTCTGCTATAACACTACCCCTGCAGAAACCTGGACTATATCTTCATTTTATTTATCTTCTTTATTTTAAAGTACTTTAGGGCTGGGGATTTAGCTCAGCGGCATAAGTGCCTGCCTTGCAAGCACGTGGTCATGAGTTCGATCTCCGGTACCGATAAAACAAAACAAAAAAATAAAATAAAATACCTTAAACCTATCTGTAATCCCAGCACTCTGGGAGGCTAAAACGGAAAGATTGCAAGTTCAAACTTAGCCTGGGCAACTTAGTGAGTTAATGAGACCCTGTTCCCAAGTAAAATAATAATGATAATAATAAAAGGATTGGGCAAGCTGGGTGTGGTAGTGTATGCCTATAATCCCAGCACTTGAGGTAGGTTTGCTACAAATTGTAGACCAACCCTAAACTGCATAGTGAGACTGTCTCAAAAAGACCAAAACATAAAATAATAGTAATAATAAAAATACTAGGAATATAGTTCAGTACAAAGGTTCTGGGCTTAATCCCCAGTACTGCGAATAAACACATAAATAAAATATTTTAAGTGCTTACAAGTTACACTACACAGTAGATTCTGATCTTTGACAAATCCTAAAAATCACCTAATTTCTGCAGCATACTCAGCTTCTGGGATAAATGAATGTTTTCATACTGAGTTAGGGTGAAGTGCAATTTTAACATCAGTTACACCAAGTTTTTTCTTGTGAAAAACAAATTTGAGGAAAGTTGCTCCCCCACCCCACCCCAGGGTTTTGTTATGTACTTCAAATTGTAGCCCAGGCTGGCCCTGAAATCTCCTGGATCCTCCAGACTCTGTCTCAAGAGTGCTGGGATTACAGGAATGCACCACCATAGGTGGCTGAAAGTTGCTTTCATGAATAAGACAACTTGGAACCAATCTTGGTTACCTCTGATTCCATCACAGGAAGCTCACTGAAGGGCTAATGTAGGATTTATGTGATACCATTCTCAACACTAAAGACTTAGATTTTTCACCACCAGCATTCTTTTCCATCTTTCAGTGAAGAGTGGTCAGACCAGAAACCTCACCAGAAACTTACTTCTTTGGCTGATCTACTCCAGTGTCTGCTCTCCTCAGTTCCTCACCCACTTTGGGACAGTATATCTCTGCATTGTGAAGCTGGAAAAAGACTTGATTTTTTTTTTTTCTGGTATTTTACTGATATCTTGACCTGTTTCTTTCACCTGCCAAAGAGCAAGATCTAGATCTTCTCTTCCAAACCTGGAAACTTGTAAAGGTGACATTATGCCTTAAAATGCTAATTATCACACAGTCTCATCAAGATTTGGTGAAAGGAACATGGCTGGGGATTTAGCTCAGCGGCATAAGCGCCTGCCTTGCAAGCAGGCAGTCGTGAGTTCGATCTCTGGTACCGATAAAAAAGAAAAAGACAAAAAAAAAGAAAAAGAAAAAGATTTGGTGAAAGGAACAAATTAGAGTCTCAAGAATACTGGTAAACAGGTGTCAGAATACATTGGTGGGCATATGCCAATGATTTAGATCACTTTTAATTACAGAATAGAATACATATAACCCAGGCATGGAGGTACACACTTCATATTTCAGCAATGTGGAAGGCTAAGGCAGGAGGATTGCAAATTTGAGCATAACCTGGTGAACTTAGTGAAACCTTTTTCTAGAAAAAGGCTGAGTAAAACCTTTTTTCACTTTAGAAAAAGACTGGGCTGCGAATGTAGCTCACTACAAAGACCCTGGATTCAATTCCCAGTAGCCTACCCACACCAAAAAACCAAGTTTAAAAAGATAATTAAGTCAGGATCAGGAATTTAGCTCTGGCATAAAGCTCTTGCCTGGCAACTGAAAGGTCAGGAGTTCGATCCCCAGTATCTCCCCCCCCAAAAAAAGATACTAAGTCAAAAAAGATTAAAAACCTTTTTTTTCTCCATTCCATTCTCCAGAGACCATCCCATCATTTCTTGTATAAAGGGAGACATGTTTCAGACACAATTAAGTTTGCATGTTTCTGTTAAATGATAACTTAGTAGTAAATTTCTTAGGGAATTGTAAATGTTTGACTTTTGTATAGGGTAAAGACAGGTAATAATTCAGCCAAGTCTCCTTTTGATGCCACATTTTTATCACATGCTTTCAGAGAAACTTTCTTTAGCCTCTGCCACACTGCCAATACGTAAAAGGAACCTTGTCTAACTAAATGGTCTATTCCTGGTGACTCATCTTTTACTTTTAAGAGGGTGAAATCTTCAGGGTGGGGCTACATTCAAGTTCAGGTAGCACCAGGGACAAAGTCCCCAATGATCTTTGGATACTAAATTGTGCACACTTCTCAGGCAGGAGACGGAAATCCTGAGTGATTGGCTGTCCTTAGAAATTTGTAGTCCTGTATTGGGCATGGTAAGTTCAACATTAACCTGAGCTACACAGCCAGACTGTCTCAAACAAACAAACCAAAAAGTAATCCTATCTGGGTTTAGTGACACATGCCAGTGATCCATAAAAGAAGGATGTAGCAGCCGGGCGTGGTGGCTCACGCCTGCATTCCCAGCACTCAGGAGGATCAATGGGATAATAATGCCTTGTAAGTTGGGCACCCATACACCCAGTTTTGCCAGGAGTCGATTATCTTGAACATGATCATTAAGGGTACACCTTTCCTTTCCCAGAAGTGCTCTGTTTTGAACAACAAAGGATATAGCCGCCAGATTAGGATTTAAGACACATAGCCGTGATAAGATAGTGATGCTCTGTAGGGCAGAAGTTAAATTCCATCAAAGAGCCACAGGTGCTGGAAGTGGGGTGGTATTTAGAGAAAGAGTGTTTTGGCCTGGATGGTGAGGATGGCATCACAGACAAAAGGACTGGAATGGGGAGGAGAAAGATGAGAGAAAGCCAGAGTCCCACAGCAAATAAGAGGCAGGGCTGGGATTCAGCCCCAGTCTGTGATCTTTTCAAGTGGCAGTTCTGCTTTCAAACACTGCAACAAATAGCGCAGAGGGTAGGCAGAGCTGGGAACGTGCACATCGTGGTTTTGGAGTGGCAAACAGCCCAGACCGCGGGTAATAGTGCTGACAATGAGAAGGGCTGGCTGTGCTACCATCTACCTTTGTGTCCGCTGCCCAAGATGTGCTGAAGGCCTAGAGTCTTGCATTTTGGTTTCTACCAGAGCGCAGCCAAGCACAAAAGGGTGCTTGTTTCCCCACACTCTGGAATTCTTTCTCAGCACAGACACGAGGTTGTATTTGGCGCCTGCCTTTCGCTTTGCTTTGCTTTCTTTCCCTGCCGACTCAGCCGCCTCTTGCAGTGAAGCAGTGCTAGAGTAAGTGAGTGTGGGGGCGAGTTCTCCATGGGCTTCCTTGTCTCCCTGTCTGCTGCACTCTACCTTTTCTCTGTTCTTTTCCTCTTTTCCTCCAGAGTCAGGGCTGAATGGCTCCTTGTGTTTGTATGGTTCCAGAGCACACGGCCCCTCAGTGCTTCAGTGGACAAGTACTTACTGGAGCCACTCAGCTCAAGTGTTTGGCTGTCACTTTGTGCCACAGTCATTGTGGCAGCCCAGCTGTTGCTCTCCAGAAAACAGGCCTCCTCCATAGCAGGGACAGGAATTGCAAATCAAAGGTGCTGATATAGGAGTAGGGTCTGGGTGGCATAATTCTCTCTTTGCTTTAGAAAACAGTTTAATGTGAAGAAAGACTTGCTGGCCAGATGTGATGGCCCATATCTGTAATCCCAGCACTCAGGAGGCTGAGACAGGAGAACTGCTATACGCTTGAAGCCAGCCTGGATTATATAGTGAGTTCAAGTCCAGCCTGGACTATGTACAGCAAGATCTTGCCTCCAAAATGAAGGGAAAAAAACCTTTTTCCATATATATATATATTTGTATATTGAATTGAGATAAAAGAATTATACATACTCATGGGGTACAGTGAACATTCCAGTACATGTAGACAGTGTATAATGATTCATTGATATTGATATCTCTGTCACTCAGGCATTTATCATCTGTTTTTTGGTGTTTTATTTTTTATTGGTACTGGGGGTCAAACTCACGACCATGCGCTTGCAAGGCAGGCGCTTATGCCGCTGAGCTAAATCCTCAGCCCCTTGTTTTGTTTTTTGATACAGGGTCTTACTGCACAGTTCAGGTTGGTCTTGAGCTCCCTTGGTAGCCCAGGCTGGTCTCAAGTTTGCAACGATCCTCCTGCCTCAGCCTCCTGCATGCTGGGATTACAGGCATGAACCACCAGGTCCAGCTTTTTGTTGCTGTTTTTTTTCTTTTCTTTTTATGTTTTTGTCTTTTTCCTTTATATCAGTACTGGGGATCGAACTCACGACTACCTGCTTGCAAGGCAGGCGCTTATGCCACTGAGCTAAAACCCCAGCCCCTGTTGCTGTTTTTAATACAACAAAAATATATTCTCTGCAGCAGAGTTGAACTCCCGCCTGTCATCATTTTGTGTTGGAAACATTCAGAATCCTCTCTACCCAGGATTATTTTGAAATATTTCAATTCATATTTGTCAACAGTAGTTATGTTAGTCCTCCTGTACAACTGAATGTCTGTGCCTGACAACTGACCTTTCGCTGTTTCTCCCCCACATTCTGCCTACAATCTGGTAACCATTATTTTATTCTCTACTTTTTTAGATCAAGTTTTTAGTTTCCATATATAAGTGAGAACACATAATGTTTGGTTTTCTGTTTCGATCTTATTTCATACAACGTAATAACTTGCCATTTTACTCACACTGCTCTGGGTGACATATTTTTCTTTTTTTGAGACAGGGTCTGACTGTGTAGTTTGGGCTGGCCTTTGAGCTTACTGTGTAGCACTCTGGCCTCAGACTCATGGTCATCCTTCTGCCTCAGCCTCCTGAGCACATGGATTACAGGTGCAACTCTATAACTGCCCAGTACCCATTAACACACACAGGATGGCCCCACAACCAAGAATTATCCAGTGCAAATAACAAGGCTGAAGTGTTGTCATTAGTACGTCTATTTTTGGTCTTCTTCATCCTATTCTCTTTGAGAGGCAGACTGAGATAGAACTGTTTTGAAAGAAAAGTGGAAAGAGAATCATTTTGCACTAAACTGAGCCATGGATTTTCTCTCTTCCCCTCTTCTCCACTCGTTCCCAAGGAGGAGAGGGCAGGGGTCAGTCCTTTTGGGCATGGGGTACAGCTCAGTGGTAGAGCATGTGCTGAGCACAGGTAGATTCAAATCCCAGAACCCCCCCCCAAAAAAAAAAGATTCTGCATTTATTTCCTTCTCCCTCCCTCCTTCCCTCCCTCTTGCTTTCTCCCCCTCATTCTTTCCTTCCTTTTCTTTCTCTTCTTCCACCCTCCTACTCCTCTTTTTTTAATGCTGCTGAGGATTGAGTCCAGGACCTTTGCACTGAGCTGCACTGAGCTTTTTTTATTTTTTGAAACAGGGTCTTGCTAAATTGCTCTGGCTGAGCTCCTGCTCTGTTTCCTGGCTCAGCCTCTCAGAGATGACAGGCGTGTGCTGCTACCTGGCTCATTCTGTCTGGCAGCATGCTCCTTTTTGGAATAAAAGAATAATTCTAAAAGTACCTACCTAATTGAGTTGTTTTGAGGATTAAACAATTGTTCATTATTTTCTTTTTTTGTGACAGGGTCTTACTATGTAGCCCAGGCCGGCCTAGAACTCATGATGATCTTCCCAAGTACTAGGATTACAGATGTACACCATCATACCTGTAAAATGATCAGTTAATACTGCAAAAATATTAAATAAACATATTAGAATAATGCCTGGCATATTTACCACATGTTTACAAACAAGACCAAAATCCTGTCTCTACTATTATAGGCACTGTAGTCGAAATGTGTTTTATTTAAAACTACAGGTAAGGAGATGCAAGAGAGCAGGATTAATAAACCATCTATCTGTCCTTACTCAGAGTAGCTGGACTTTTCAAAGCTTTAAAAATAAAATTTCCAGTGGCAACAACTGTTGTTTAATCTGAGTTTGCCTCTTGGATTGTGAGAGCTGTCAGTTATATATAGTTATCATTAAGGCTTCTTAAGGAAGGCAGGATTTCCTTGGACAGTTGAATAAGGGACTAAATCTTTTACCATTATTTCCTAAATCTTCTCACCTGTTCTCATTAGACATAGAAGAGTCACTTTCCTATTTTTAAAATGGAGTCAAGTGGAATGTTGGGTTTATCAGCTACTGAAATGTCCCACTTTTGACTACCTTGAATGCCTAAGAAACATAAGATATCAGCTAATTCTTTTCTCCTGTTCTTCTGAAAGGTAACATTTCAGCAGACAGTTGAGTAGCAATAAAATGCACTTTCCTACCAACTGGTTATGTGTAGAATGCTTAAAGTTTATCTGAAACCCTCGGGCCTTTTTGGTAAGACCCTCCCCTGCCCCAACTCTTCTGCAAGGCTCAGGGAAAGGCTGTGTGCCAGGCCCCACAAGGGCTGAAGATAAGTGCAAATGGACAGAGGCTGAGAAAATCATTTATATGAATTTTTTTTTTTTCTTTTTTCTGGTACTGGGGATTGAACTCACGACCACCTGCTTGCAAGGCAAGTACTTATGCCGCTGAGCTAAATCCCCAGCCCCCGAATTTTATTTTTTATTTTATTTTATTTTTTTTGGCACTGAGGATCAAACTCACGACTACATGCTTGCAAGGCAAGCACTTATGCTGCTGATTTAAATCTCCAGTCCACAAATTTTAAATATAAAACATTGCTCTTCTTCCTCTCCAGGAGTCTCGGCCTCTGCACGTGGTACTAGGAAATGAAGCCTGTGACTTGGACTCCATGGTGTCGGCTCTCACCTTGGCTTTTTATCTGACAAAGGTGAGTACCTAGGAATAAAATCTCTTAGGATGAAAAGATTTAGATGCTGTGCCACTTACCAGCATTTAGCCTAGGGTCAGTTAAATCCCTTGCTTTTGCTAAGTTTTTTTAGACAGAATCTCTATGTTGCCTAGGCTGACCTCAAATTCACAACAATCCTGCCATGTCCTCCCAAGTGCTAACCTTATAGGCATATATCACCATGCCTAGCCTTTGCTAAGTCTTTTGTTTTGTTTTATGTATGATACTGGGGATCGAACTCACGACCTCACGCTTAGGCTGCTGAGCTAAATCCCCAGCCCCTTTTGCTAAATCTTCTCAGTATCTCCTTTTTTTTTTGGTACTGGGGATCAAACTCACAATGTTGTACTTGTCAGGCAGGCGCTTATGCCACTGAGTTAAATCCCCAGCTCAAAACTTAAGAGCCTTTTTTTTTTTTGGTACTGGGGATCGAACTCATGACTGCACTCTTGCAAGGCAGGCACACATGCTGCTGAGCTAAATCCCCAGCTCTCCCTTTTGCGAAGTCTTATGTCACATCCAGAGTAACATTTCACAGTGTTGCTGTGAGGGACAGATGAGGAAATCTATTCTGAGGGGTTTGTAAACCATAAAGCAGCGTACAAACAGCATATGAGTTCCTTCTGGGTGTTTGTGATCTCATCCAGGTTAACTCATAAGGATTGATAATCTCTGTGGCATTGTATGTAAAACCAGGACTTCCCAGGGATTATCTTGTTAACCTTCATGTTACTCCCAAGGAGGAGAGGCCAGGGTCAATCCTTTTGGGCATGGGGTGCAGCTTGTGGTAGAGCATGTGCTGAGCACAGGTAGATTCAAACCCCAGAACCCTCCCCAACAAAAAAAGATTCTCCATTTATTTTCTTGTCTCTCTTTCTCTTTGTTTCTCTCTTAGTATCAGAGCAGTAATGTGCCAGAGTCCTTCATGAACTAAAGGATCATCACCCATTTCTTTCTTTTCTCTCTGAACTCATGACCTCCCTTTTGCCAGGCAGGTGTTGTGCCACTTAGATATATCCCTGTGGGGGCTGGGGATTTAGCTCAGCGGCATAAGCGCCTGCCTTGCAAGCAGGCAGTCGTGAGTTCAATCCCTGGTACCGATAAAAATGAGAAAGACAAAAAAAAAAAAAGATTTATCCCTGTCCTCACCCTTTTATTTTTATGGACTAGATAGTTGCAGCTTTGACAAAGGTGGTGACTTACCTCAGATCATGTCTCCTTTATTGCTCTTATTTTTTGGTGCTAGCATGGAACTGTGGGCCTCACAGATCCTTAGTGTGTGCTCTACCGCCACTGAGCTGCACCTCCAGCCTAGTCTTGCTACTGACTATTTCTCGTCTTCCAAAAGTTTGAGATACCTTCTTTTTACTTTCCTGTCCAGACAACGGAAGCTGAGGAAGTCTTTATACCAGTTTTAAATATAAAACGTTCTGAGCTACCTCTGCGAGGTGACAATGTCTTCTTCCTTCAGAGGGTTCATATTCCAGAGACCCTGTTGATTTTCCGGGATGAGATTGACCTTGATGCATTGCACCAGGCTGGCTTGCTCACCCTCATTCTGGTCGACCATCATGTCTTACCCAAGTAAGTAGAGAGGATTTAAATTGATATGCATGTACCAGATAAAATTTACTAAAATATGAAAAAGAAAGAGCTGGATATGATGGTGCACACCTATAATCCCAGCTCTCGGGAGGCTGAGACAGGAAGATGTCTGTGAGTTCTAGGCCAGTCTGGGCTATATTGCGCCTTCAGGACCAGCCAGGGGTCCTAGGATTTAGCTCAGTGGCATAAGTGCCTGCCTGGCAAATACGAGGTCGTGGGTTCTATCCCCAGTACCAAAAAAAAAAAAAAAAAAAGAACAGCCTGAACTGTGTCAAAAAGGATGATGGATATAATTCAGTGGCACAACACCTACCTGGCAAGCACAAAATTGTAAGTTTGATTTCTGGTACCAAAAGAATCCCAAAAAAAATCAGAAAAAGAAAATCGTGACCAAATGTTGTCATCTCTTAAGTTATATGTATATGTTTATGTCATAAAGATACATACTGTTGGACCAGGGATGTAGCTCAGTGGCACAGCACCTGCCTAGAAAACATGGCCCAGGGCTGGAGATTTAGCTCATCGGCGTAAGCACCTGCCTTGCAAGCAGGCGGTCGTGAGTTCGATCCCCGGTACTGATAAAAATGAAAAAGACAAAAGAAAAAAAGAAAACATGGCCCTGAGTTCAATTCCTAGTACCAAAAAAAACCCATGATATATACCATCATAAAAAGAAATAGAAACATGGTGAGTTCAGACTAAAAAAGAATAACTCAAAAATTGGCTGGCTATGGTGGTGCTTGCATATAGTCCCAGTATCCAAGAGGCTGAGACAATAGGATCACAGTGAATTCAAGTCCAATGTACATAATAAGTGCTTGTCTCACAAAGAAAAATCTTTTTCAGTTAAATCAGCCTTCATTATTGTGTTTTTTTGTTTGTTTGTTTGTTTGTTTTTTTGTCTTTTTTGAGACAGGGTCTCACTGTGCAGTTTGGGCTGGCCTTGAGCTCACTTTGTAGCCTAGGCTGGTGTCGAACTTGTAAGGACCCTCCTGCCTCAGCCTCCTCGAGTGCTGGGATTATAGGCGTGAGCCACCACACCCAGCAATTATTGTTTGTCATTAAGATTTTTGTGACTAAGCATGGTAAAACATGTCTAAAATTCCAGTGGGAGACTCAAACAGAAAGATTAAGAATTCAAAGTCAACCTAGGCTATATATATCCAAGCCCTATCTCAAAAAACCAAAACAAAAAGATTTTTGTGGTGTATTTGTTATAATAGAAACTTTTTGTTTTGTTTTGTTTTGTTTTGTTTGGTCTTTTTGAGACAGGGTCTTGCTATGCAATTCAAGCTGGCCTTTAACTCACTTTGTAGTGCAGACTGGTCTTGAACTTGGAACATCTTCCTGCCTCAGCCTCCTGAGTACTGGGATTACAGGAGTGCCCCACCACACCCTGCATATATTTTGTGTGTGTGTGTGTGTGTTTGAGGTAGACTCTCACTATGCAGTTCAGGCTGGCCTTGAACTCACAGTTAAATGTTCCTGCCCCAGCCTCCTAAGTACTGGAATTATAGGTGTACGCCACCATGCTCGGCTTCAGCTATTGTTTTTTTTTTTTTTTTTTTTTTTTTAAGTTAACAAAGGTATTTCCTGCATAGACTTTTAGTGACTTTGGAATGTGTTATCTGCAACACACATAAGATCTATAAATACCTTATTTGGGTCTAGGGAATGTACCACCGTGCCTAGCTCATTCATGTCTGTTTAACAAATGTGTATAACTATAATAATTCTGCTCCTAATTTAGGACTGGAAAAAACCCTGCCAAAAAAGCAACATGAGGATGAGCTTTGACTAAGACTGTTTGGCTTTTGCTAATCATTTTCTTTGTTTTTTGGTACTAGAGACAAAACCCAAGGCGTCAGATACAAGCAAGTACAATAATCAACTACAGCTATATTCCCAGCTATTTTAAAAGATTTTTATTTTACAAAAGATCTTATCAAATCACTCAGGCTGACTGCAAACATTTTGTTCTGTTTGTTTTTTTGTCTTGTTTTTAGATAGGGTTTTCCTATGTAGTTCAGGCTGGCCTTGAATTCACTATGTACCCCAGGCTGGCCTCAAATTTGCAGTGATTTTCTGGCCTCAGCTCGTTGGGTGCTGGAGTCACAGACATGCACAACCATGCCAGCCTGGCCTCAAATTTGTAATCTTCTTGTCGTCACCTACTAAGCAACCGGGATTATCACCCGTGGCACTATGCCTACCCCTGATTCTGCTTTAGAGCTTAAAATGTGTATTTTTTTCTTTGAGCATACTGCAGTTATACCAGGAAATGACAGAAGGTTATTAGTACATATTGATTCACTCTTGAATGAACTTTTTTTTTTTTTTTTTGTCTTTTTCGTTTTTATCGGTGCCAGGGATCGAACTCACAACTGCCTGCTTGCAAGGCAGGCGCTTATGCCGCCGAGCTAAATCCCCAGCCCCATGAATGAACTTTTGTTTGGAAGATAAAAGTGAGATGGTAACTGGGGATATAACTCAGCAGCACAAGTACCTGCCTCGAAAGCACAAGGACCTGAGTTTGATTCCCAGTAGCAGAAAAAGAAAAAAGTAAGACAGTCTCACTTTTGTTCTTACGAAGCTGTCTGGAAGAGGGAACAAGAAAAACTGGTAATGGATGTTGTGGTAAGTGCTGCCACTGTGAGGGGAGCAGGATAGAGAGTACAATGGTCCATCCCACCAGTGGAGATTTTAGAGCACCTGGAAATGTTTTATAGTAATTGAACCTTAATCTCAGCCTCAAAGAGGAGTAGGTGTTTGCTCCCTGAGTGTGGAGGGAAGGTGATTAGACAAGGCATTCTAGAGGGAACAATTCATAGAAGCAAAGCCATACAGGCATAAAACAGTCTGGGAAGTAGGGGAACTGGAATTTGTTTTGCACAGCTGGAGCATAAAGTGTATGGGGAAGTCAGATGTGAAAACTGGGCATAGTATCACATACCTGTAATTGCAGCACTTGGGCAGCTGAGATGGGAAATCATGAGTTTGAGTCCAGCCTGGGCTACATTGTGAGTTCAAAAACAGCCTGATGCTGGGTATGGTGGTGTACTTCTATAATCCCAACACTCGGGAGGCTGAGGCAAAAGGATTGTTGTGAGTTCAAGGCCGCTTGGGGTACATAGCGAGACCCTGTCTCAAAAAAACAAAATAAAAAGGGGCTGGGGATTTAGCTCAGCGGCATAAGCGCCTGCCTTGCAAGCAGGCAGTCTTGAGTTCAGTCCCCGGTACCGATAAAAAGGAAAATGACAAAAAAAATAAAAAAATAAAAAAATTTAAATAAATAAAAGAACAGGTGGGCCAGGAATTTAGCTCAGTGACATAAGAGCCTGCCTGGCAAGCACAAGGTCATGAGTTCAATCCCTGATACCAAAAAAAAAAAAAAAAAAAAGCAAATAAATAAAAGAACAGCCTGGATTACATAGTATCTCAGAAAAAGCCAAATATGGAAAAGAAAAAGATGAGACTAGAGCAATAGGCCTAAATCATGGAGCCCTTGGACTGGGGATTTAGCTCAGCGGTATAAGCACCTGCCTTGCAAGCAGGTGGTCGTGAGTTTGATCCTCGGTACTGATTAAAAAGAAAAAGACAAAAAGTGGGGGGGGGGGGGGCTGAGGATTTAGCTCAGCGGCATAAGCGCCTGCCTTCCAAGCAGGCAGTCGTGAGTTCGATCCCTGGTACCAATAAAAGCGAAAAAGACAAAAAAAAAAAAAAATCATGGAGCCCTTGAATGAGATTGTACTTTAGTGTAACTAGTGGGGAACTTGATATCACTTCTATTCCAGGTACTCAGGCAGCTCTGTGAAGAATGGCTTCAGAGGACCCTAGTTAGAAGAGGTGATTGGTTAAGAGACTGTTGAAAGATAGAGATTTTTTTTTTTTTTTTGTCTTTTTCATTTTTATCGGTACTGGGGATCGAACTCACAATCGCCTGCTTGCAAGGCAGGTGCTTATGCCGCTGAGCTAAATCCCCAGCCCCAAGATAGAGATTTGTTGAGAGTCCAGTCTAGTTGAGAGGTCCTGAGACCCCACTGATCACCGATGCAGGGCTAGAAAAAAAGGATGCAGAATAGAAGCCGTAGGCCCTGATGAACTGAATAGAATTTGAGTATTGAGTGGACTCAGTGAACAAGAGAGGTTTTTCACTGCTGTTTTTGTGGTACTGGATGATGGATCTGGGTTTTTGCAGTAAGCTATATCCCCATTCTTTTCTTCTTTTGGATATTAGGGTGATCTGGCCGGGACATCTGTTATCCCACTGAATTACAGGTGCATGCCTTCCTGCCTGGCTATTTTTTTTTTTTTTTTTTTTTAATACCCGGGGCTGGAACTCACCAGGCCTTGTAAGCTTGCAAGGCAGGCACTTATGGCACTGAGCTAAATCCCCAGCCCTCCTGGCTACATTCTTGTCATATCAAGGATGTCAGTTAGAAAGGCAACACTGAAGGACAATAAATGTATGGATAAGAGATTTGCAGCAGATATTTCTCAGAATCTACTTACTTGCTATGTAAACATAAACATCACCTCAGGTGCAACATTGATGGCAACATTAATGGAGAAGATGTGCTAGGGATGTAGCTCAGTGGCAGAGCACTTGCCCAGCACATCTGAGCTGAGTCCCCAGCAATGCCAAAAATAAAAAATACAAAAGGAAAGGAAAAAAAAAAATGAAGAATGGAGAAACAGGGTACATGCTTTTAATCCCAGCCTTCTCTGGAGGCTGAGCAAGAGGATTAAAAGTTTTAGAGCAGTTTGAACAATTTAAGGATACCCTGTTTCATAATAAAAATAAGAGGTTTTGGATTATAGCTCAGTGTTCCCTTGGTTCAGTCCCCAGTACCCCCTCCCTGCCCAATACACACGACAGAAGAAAACAGAGAGGGATGAAGGAGATAAAAATGACCAACGTCATTTTGCTTAAACCACCTGTGCTTTCCATTATAAGGGTGCGGGGAGGTGGAGATTGGTTAGAAACAGCCACAATGTCCCTATGTTTCTTTCTCTTCCTGCAACTCCCCTTCTACAGAAGTGACGCAGCTTTGGAGGAGGCAGTAGCAGAAGTGATTGACCATCGACCCATTGATCAGAAACATTGTCCTCCCTGCCATGTTTCGGTTGAGCTGGTGGGGTCCTGTGCCACTCTGGTGACCGAGAGGATCCTGCAGGGGGCACCAGAGATCCTGGATAGAGAGACTGCAGCCCTCCTGCATGGTGAGCGCAACTTTGGGGTTGGACCCAACTAGTTTCTCTAGGGAAAGCAGAGAAGTCTAGATTTTTCCAGTCTAACCCACATGCTTTCCAAACCGTCCAGCTCCCACCAAAGGATGAGATTCTTTTGGGGAACACTTAGGCACTTGTTTAAAGGCCTATGGGTTATTACATTGGAGAAACTTGTTGGAAAGGAAGCACAGGGCAGCAGACCTTAAAGCTTCCTAGTGGCAGCCTTGTTTCACAGAAGGAGCTGGAAAGCATCTGATCCCAGCCCCCACTCCCGGAAAGAGTTCAGTATCCTTGTGCAAACTTCATATCCTGAGCCGGGGTTATAGCTCAGCAGCAGAGTGCCTCCCAGGCAAGTGTGAGGTTGTGAGGTTGTGAGTTTGATTCCTGGTGTGTGTGTGTGTGTGTGTGTGTGTGTGTAAGAGAGAGAGAGAGAGAACAGTAGTCACAGGATTTAAGTTTTGCGACTTCCTTTTTCCACAGGAACCATCATTCTGGACTGTGTCAACATGGACCTTAAAATTGGAAAGGCAACCCTAAAGGACAAGAAGTATGTGGAAAAGCTGGAGAGCCTCTTCCCAGATCTGCCGGACAGAGATGAGATCTTTGATTGCTTACAAAAGGCAAAGTTTGATGTATCAGGTATAAGTTGGCAAGCTGAATTCCCTGCCTCCACATGAGAAAGTAGGTGGCCAAGCTTTGTTCGTTATATTCCGGAATACCATCAAGACAATATCAGCCAACAGGATGGCACTCACCAGGAACCTGTGGCAGGAAGATCACAAGTTCAAGCCCAGCACAGGCAACTTGGTGACTCAGCGAGACCTTGCTTCAAAATTTAACACATTTTAACTAGGACAGGGGATGTAGCTCAGTATGAGGGTTCAATCATCAGTACTGCTGGAAAGAAAAGAGAAAAGAAAAAAGGCAGTCCAGTGACAGAGCACTTGCTGCCTAGTGTATAGAGTGCCCTGAATTCCCATACGAAGTTCTGGGTATATATCTGTGCTTCTGTGCTGAGGGATGGTAAATTATTAGACCAAGAACTGAGGTTAGAGAGGTGAAAGAGACATTTAGAGGGAATACATAAAGGGCAAAGGAAAAGACCCAAAAACTTCTTAATCTACCCAGCTCCTACCTATTGACATAAAAAAGGGAGAAGATAGGCAGAAGAAAAATTCCACAGGTACTTAGAAGGCTAAACAATCCAGAAAGAGGGGACGTTAGTGTTGAAGGTGTAGCTCAGTGGGACATCTCTTGGCTACACGTGCAAGGGTTCAGCTTGCAGCACCACAAATAAAGGGTGGGGAGACTTAAGCTAGAAACTTCTCCTCTTTTATTCTTTTCTCCCAAGTTCCTTGCTCTAAAGGTAACCACTGTAATCCAGTTAAGTAATTGACCACACAGTTACACTTTCAGTGATCTCCAGTATACATCACCCAAAGAGAGGCAATGCTGTTCCTTATCTTCATCTCACACTGCTGGTGTTGGGACCATTTGTTCCCTATTTGACCCTGGTCTGATGTCTGATTGCCAGGCTTGACCACTGAGCAAATGCTGAGAAAGGACCAGAAGGTTGTCTACAGACAAGGCATCAAGGTGGCCGTTAGTGCAGTATATATGGATCTGGTGGTAAGAGCAGGGTGTGGCTGTGGGCGGGGAGGGAAATTTTGAGTTATGGATGTGAGGTTGGCCCTCATTCTAGCTCACCTGGGAAACACCTCTTCTGTGACCCTGACAGCCTGTCATCTTGCAGTATGTCTCTGCAGCAGCCAGCAGAGTGCTGTTAAGATGTGAATCAGATCATATCAAACCACTCCTTTTCCTGCCTTTTCATCGTGCTTTTAATAAAATCTAAAGCCCTTCCTGAGGTTCACATCATCCCACTTGAGTTGACTCTTGTCTTTCTGTCTTGGTCCCTCCTCGCCTAGCCACAGCCCTTGCACTCCTACAGCTACGATGGTTTTCTCTCTTCTCCCACAATTAAGCTCATCCCCCACACGCAGCTTTTGAACTTGCTTCTGTCTTTACAGAGCTTACTCCTCATCACTCAGGCCTCAGCTCAGATACCTCCTGTTCTGAGAGGTTTTTCCTGACTACTGTAATTGAAGTTCTATTTTCTGTGTTCAAAACATCTATAGCTGGGAATGGTGACAGTTGTCTGTATTCCCAGCTGTTTGGGAGGTTGCGGCAGGACTATCAGTTGAGTCAGGAGTTTGAGATCAAGCGTACACCACATAGTCAGACTGCATCTCAAATAAAAATAACAGTAAAAATCTCCAGCTGTTAATTTGTCTTGTTTTCTTCATAACACTTACCACACTGAAATGATCTTGTTTCCTATCTCTTTGTTGTCTATATTCCTCTGCTAATTTATCAACTCTGCCAAGAGCAGGCGCCTCTCTTGTTTTTGTTTTTTTTTTTTTTTTTTTTTTTTTTTTTTTTTCTGCTTTCTCTGACATTTTTGATGATATGTAGCACATAACTGTCTACTTAGTAAAGCCTAGAGAGCCTCCTGCACACTGGGCAAGCACTCTACCACTGAGCTACATCACCAGCCCTTTTTAAAATTTTTTTTTTTTTTTTTTTTTTTTTTTTTTTTGAGGCAGAGTCTGCCTGTGTAGTCCAGAGTGGGTTGGAACTCACTGTGATCCTCCCACTTCAGCTTCCCAAGTAGCTGAAATTACAGTCGTGCACCACCATACCCAGCCTCCATATTGTTTGTTTGTTGTATTTGTATATGTGGTACCTGGGATCAAACTCATGACCTCGTGCTTGCCAGGCAGGTACTTATATCAGTGAACTAAATCCCTAGCCCTGTTTGGTTTTGAGACAGGATTTCACTGTGTAACTAGAGTACATTAGTGAAGGCCAAAGATAGAGAAAAGCCCTGACTTGGGAGAAGAGCGGAGATTCTGAAGAACAGAGAGTCAAGGAGGTAGCATCACATGTCTGCACTTTTTTTTTTTAAAGGTGCTACGAGTTGAATCTAGGACCCTGTTTACTTTTTGTTTTGAGATAGGGTTTTACTTGAGATGCAGTCTGACTACATGGTATATGCGTAATCTCAAACTCCTGACTCAAACGATAGTCCTGCCTCAACCCCAAACAGTTGGGAATACAGACAATTGTCACCATTCCCAGGCTGTGCTTGAACTTGAGATTCTCCTGTCTCAGCTTCCAGAGTGCTAAGATTACAGGCATGTACAATTACACTTAGCATACACCTGCTTTTATTTATGTGCCCTGTTGTTCTGCTTTCTAATAAAAATGCTCACAAAGCAAAAGTCTTGCTTATTTGATTATAAGAACAGAAAAGCCTTTAATGTGTCAGGTTCCATTATCATCTTTAATTCTTTTTGTTTGTTTGTTCTTGTCCTGCAGTTGAACATGCTGATACTATCTATCATTGAACTGCACTCCAGCTCCTCACCTTTTAATTCTGTTTTTTTTTTGTAATGGAAATCAAACTCAGGACCTTGTGTTTGTCAGGCAGGTGCTGTGCCATTAAACTATATCTCCAGCCCCACATTTTAGTTCTTAAAACAATTACTTTGATAATTTGTTTTCTTGTTATGTAATTCAGGCTATCTTTGAACTCTGTGTAACCCAAGCTGGCCATGAACTCCCAGCAATCCTCCTGCTTCAGCCTCTCAAGCACTGGTATTATAGATGTATGCCACCATACTGGCCACCTTTGGTAATTGTTGGTCTCATTTTTTAGATGTCAAAACTCAGGTCCAAGAAGTTAATATAACTACTTGACCATCTAGCTAAGAGTCAATAGAGCTCGTTTTCCAGGCAATTCTGTGTTCCAAATCCAAAACCTGTGTTCTTCATGTTCTCATTGCTTCCCAGCTGGGATATGGCACAGTAGATATCAGATATCTTTCTGATGGACAGGAAGTTGTGATCAAGATGCAAAGAAACCTTAAAGGCTTTTTTGCTGTCAGAGACAGAGGGTCCCACAACAGCTCTCATCCCTCTCTTTTTCCCTCCCAGGCCTTCCTGCAGAGGCCTGACCTCCTCACAGACCTTGGCACTTTCTGCCAGGCTCACAGCTGCGATGCCCTGGTTACGATGACCATCTTTTTCAACACTCACAATGAGCCAGTGCGGCAGTTGGCTGTTTTCTGTCCCCATGTGGCACTTCGAATGATGGTGAGTGTTTCTTTCAGTTTGCCTGTGTGCACCTCTGTTCTGAAGCTCTGAGGACCTCAGTTCTTACCTCTAAGAACTTGAGGCTTCTTGACCTGTGCCTGGAACCCCACTCCCCTTTCTCCATCCTTCACACATGAATGTGTGGCATCATCATACCGCTGTTGAGAAAGGGGGACTCCACAAGAATTAGAGACAGTCCTTGCTTAGAAGGAACTCAAAATCCACTGAGAAGGAAATAGTATAAATCTGGAGTCAGATTTGACTCTTGGCTTAATCATTAATTCTCTGAAAATTCATTTGTTTCTGCTCTGTTGCCTAGATAATTAGAGGATGGGTCAGCATGGCTTGGTGGTAGACCAGGAGGCCTGGCTTCTGTCTCCAGCATTTTTTTTTAATACCATGCAAAGATTAATCATTATAGTGTGAACTCTGTAGAGAAGTGATTGAGGACCATATTTTTTTCCTTTCCTGTTTTCCACTTGTCTGTTTTTCCCAGTGCTTTCCCTTTCTGTTCCTGTTGGTTATTCGCAAGAGAGGAATTTAGAAGTGGACTCGAGGCAGTCCAGGGACTGTTGGGTTGCCAGGGATGCTAGGACCCCACAGAGCCAGGTAACTCTTTGTACTCATGAAAGGAGAGTCTGCCATTTCCCATCCTTTTGCCTTTGTTTTCTCCCCCAGCAAACTAATTTGATATCATCCAGTGTGAGTCTGGCATTGTAGAAAAAACTATTTTTTGAAAGCTGATAGGCATGCTTTTCTGTTCTAGGATTGTCACTTAGTTGCCTTTGAGCTAAGATGTCACTTGACTTCTGAGACTATAGATGGCACAATACGGCGTAGCCCGATGTGACCATTAACATGATATCCTATGTAAAGTACACATGTGAGATCAGGTGAGGCATGAGCACTCAGAGCATAGTGGCTCCTACTAGTCCTGTCATGAAGGGGAGGATGCTTGGCCTATTAAAAAGTGCTACTCTGCTGGGTATGGATGCACACACCTGCAATCACAGCTGCTTAAAAGGCTGGGGCAGGAGGATTGCATGTTTGAGGCCGGCCTAGGCACCTCCCCAGTTTAGGAGTGTGTCTCAAAATAAAAAAGGGCTTAGGGATATAGCTCAGTGTTTCCTGAGTTCAGACCCCATGTCACAAAAAATAAAGAAGTGCTCTTCCCCCTTCCAGAATCTGTTCTCCTGCTGGCCTGAAGCTGTGTGGATGCCTAATGCCTTGTCCATTACCCTGGGTGCCATGGAATCCTTTTCCTAACATACCTCACTACCTGTCCTCTTCCTACCTTAGGAAGAGTGTTAATGTATTGATGTAGAACACTGTTTTGGTTTCAGACCTGGGGTTATGTCAGTTTTTGCTTGACATAAACCATAAGTTACCTAATCTACCTAAACCTCCATTTTCCTATCATAAATGAGGGTAAGGGGCCGGGGATTTAGCTCAGCAACGTAAGCACCTGCCTTGCAAGCGTAAGGTTGTGAGTTCGATCCCCAGTACCCAAAAAGAAAAAAAAAGAGAGACTAAGGTTAAATACCAATACTAATCTTGTGAGGTAGTTGTAAGTGTTAAATGGGATAGTATTTGTACATAGCCAGGCATGGTGTCATGCTTGGCCTGTTTGCTGTCATTGCCTTTCTTTCTTCCTTCCTTCACCAGGGATTGAACTCACAACCTCATGCTCACCAGGCAAACACTTACGCCCCTGAGCTAAATCCCTGGCGTCACTACCTCTTTCTGCCTTCGTCTTCCCGTGGCCTGTAGGGTTATTAGCCCCATCCTGGCTAAGGGACAGCTCAAGTTCTTGTGCACAGGCATGCACTTGCTGGATGTCTCAGCCACTTTCTCCTCACTGGGTCACCCACAGCTCAGAGGAGGAGAGGTTTCTTTTGGCTTGTTGTTACAGTCTATGACTGGCCAGCTCTGGGGCAGAAATAGCATAGTGGAGGGACCTAGTGCGGGACAGCTGCTGGCATCATGACCAGGACACAGAAGGAAGAGAGGAGAGGAAAGAGAGATACATTGACACCTCTAGTGACCTGATTCCTGTGACCAGACCCCTCCTCCTAGGAGCAAGTCTGCTGTATTGCCCCAAGGCTCAACAGCCTTCCAAAGCCCTGCCTACAGGAGAGGAGGCCTTTGGGAGACATTGTTTCATTTTACTTTGATTTGTTTTGTTTTTCTGAGACAAGGTCTCCCTTTGTAGTTCAGGCTAGTGTGACCTCATGGATGATCACAGAAGTGGCCACCATGCCTTGCTTGGAGGACTTTTTTTTTTTTCCTGAGGTGGTCTCCCTATGCAGTTCAAGCTGACCTTGAGCTCACTTTGTAGCACAGGCTGCTGCCTTTGTTTCTTTTCTTTGTGGTACAAGGGACTGGATGGACTCAAGACCTTGCACTTGTTAGGCAAGTACTCTACTCTTGAGTCAAGTCCCCAGCCTGTTTCCTTATTAATAAAAAGAAATATGATCTAAAATGTTCTATTTCTTTCCAGGCATGGTGACTCATGCCTGTAATCCCAGCACTCTGGGAGACTGAGTCAAGCTGCAAATCTGAATCCAGCCTAGGAAATTTAGCAAGACTCTGCCTCAACATAGCAAATAAAAAAGGCCTGAGGATGTAGCTCAGTACAAAGGTCCTGGCTTCTTTTCCCAGTGGTGAGGGAGGGTGGTCCTGTTTCTAAAATAATGTGTGTATTGGAGATGTTCCTTTTGTTGCAATGACCAAACTGAAGTTGAAATGACATGATTAAAGTTTCCTCCTGTATTGGAAGCTTCTCACTTGGAAGCCTGATTTCTCGCTACACTGAGTGACATAGCATTTCCCGTTCTTGTCTTCTCTCTAGATCTGTGGAGCCCTGGAACACTCCCACTCCCCGGTGCTGAAGCTGACTCCTCTCCCAACCACTCACTCTGACCTCCAAGCCTATCTTCAAGGCAACACCCAAGTCTCTCGAAAGAAACTTCTGCCTCTGCTCCAGGAAGCCCTGTCAGCATATTCTGACTCAGGGACGATTCCAGCAGGGCAGCCTGAGACAGTGGGAGTGTCCACAGAGCAGGGGGACAAGGGATCGGACAGGGCAGGTAACTCCCTGACTCCCGGACTGAGTCAAGATGAAGATGACCCCCCACTGCCTCCTACACCCATGAACAGCTTGGTGGATGAGTGCCCTCTGGACCAGGGGCTGCCCAAGCTCTCAGCTGAGGCCGTCTTTGAGAAGTGCAGTCAGATCTCACTGTCGCAGTCTCCCACTGCTGCCTGGTCAAAGAAATGACTCTTGGGACGGGACAGGGCACAGGAGAGTTTGCTTGACCCACTTCAATTGCATGTTTTGAGACATTCGGAGATTTCGGCTATTGGTGTACAGTACTGTCTTCATGCAACTGGGGGTGAAGGAAGGGCAAGAAAGCAGCTGCTGGATTAGTGACTTTTTTTGGGGGGGTAGGGTACCGGGATCGAACTCACGACTTTGTGCTTGCCAGGCAGATGCTGTTATGCCCCTGAGCTAAATCCCCAGCCCACGAAAGCAGCTGCTGAAAGAATGGCTTTCTGCCTTTGCCTCCAGTCTCTTACCAATCAGACAGATGTTATTACTTAATTTTATTATTTAAATCTGTACTGACTTTTCTCTGTTTCGTTTGTCAGGGGGCACAGTGTAATGCAATACACCCACAGTCCCAGCAGAGTGGGAAAAAGAATGTAACCCCAAAAGTGTCCTCAGTAAGGATCTTGAATAGATCAATATTCGTCATGGAACCAGTCATTGATAGTGTCTTCTAGTTCATTTCTTCTTTTACTTATTAAGTATTTATTAAATACCTATTTCAAACTGGATAGAAGGAGGATACACTTTAGAAACTCTCACTCTAGTTTTCAGCCTTCAGCAGATTTTCAGGTTTCTAACTCTTCTTCCTGGCAGGGCTTGTTTGGGAACAGACTGAAGGCCATTAACCATCCGTCCCAATCAGCTTTCTGTTTCTTTGGGTTCCTCAGTCCCAGTGTCACAGGAACCCTGAGGGGACCCTGAAGACCCCTAGTTCTTGAGAGTTGAGTTCTCTTCCTAAAAGGAATGAGAATCCTGAGTTTGTCCCCTGCCATAGCAGGTCAGTGACTTTCTTATCCATTTCTTTCTGTTTGGTTGTATTAAAAGGAAGCACAAGTTCTTATACCAATGGCCATAACCTGTGTGTATTCTGGCAAGACATTGGTGTGTCTAGGTCTCATTATCCTCATCTGTAGAACAGGGTTTGGATTAGATGTTCTCTTGTATGCTGTGATCTGCCTATTGCTGTCTTTTCTCTCTTCAGTTTGTCTGCATCTTTTGTTTGTTTCCCAGGAATGCTCAGGGTCGCTGAATTGTCAGTGTTTTTGTGTGATTGTACCAAGGGTGTAAGTCTTGTGTAGCATGTACCACAGTGACCCTGCAGAAAGCACCCCCACTTGTTCTGCATGTGTAGTCTCCCTTCCTCCTTCAGGCCAGCCCAGCCTGCTCTTCCTGCCCCTTCTTATTTCCCAACAATTTCACTGAACAGTGAGGTATTTGATGGTTTCAGTATGACATCTTCCAGGGTGACGGGGACAATCTGACTTCACTGTAAGGGGATATGCCTGTAGCCATTTGAAGGTAAAACTAGTGGTGTGATCACTGAACCAAAGGAATTTATGTTTTGTAACTTGGGTACTTTATTTTGTATTTTGTTGAAGTATTAAATACTTTTTCCTGTTTGGGGCCTCATTGTATCCTTTTACAACCATAATAGGCCTTCACCTTTGGTAATTGTTTCGATCTCTCACAGGTTTATTTCTCATTTTTCTACTGATTGTCTTCTGTTAACTCTGTCTTTGTGGGGGATGAGCAGACTGGGTAGTGAAGTTGGTGCCATTGCAGTGAGCTTCATCAGCCTTTTTTATTTTTTATTTTGAGACAGGGTTTCACTGAGTCACCAGCGTGCTCAGGCTGGGCTTGAACTCGGTACCCTCCTGCCTCAGCCTCTCAGGGTGCTTACCTGTGCCACTGTACCTAGCTATCTGTCTGTCAAGCATTACTGAAGAATGAGCCTAGTGCCTTCACACGGAGCTACATCCCCAGTCCTTTTTCTTTTTCCTTTAATTTGTATTTTAAAGGAATAAAACTGAACAGTAAAATGAAACCAAGCAGTGATACAGGACAGTGAGAAATCTACGTCGTTACTATGTTGCACATTGTTATCCTCTAAACAGTCGCTCAGACCACTGGCACCTGGTGAGGGGGCTGCATGGCTTCCTTGCTGCTGCTTCCTGGTTTTAATTTTTGTTTATTGGGTTTTATTTTAGGAGTGTGAAGAACAGGGTCTCCCTGTCCAGTTCAGGCTGGCCTTGCCTCAGCCTCCCCAGTGCTGGGATCACAGGCGTATGCCACCCTGCCCAGCTGCCCTTCCCTTTGTTTCTTCTCCCTGAACCTTCCTTACAACATACTTAGACTCCCTAGTTTTGCTTACACTGCACGGTACTTGAAAAGTAGGCCCAAGGCTACATAGTGATCTCAAGTACACCCCTGTCTGGAAGAAAGAAAAGTAGCCCAGATAGTACTCAGTTCTACTGTTCCCCCCACACACACCACCTCTAAGCCACTTCAGGAGTTACCGGATATCTAGGAAAGGGAACACATTTCCTTCCTGGACTCACCCCAGCTCAGTGACTCCGTGGGAAATGTTCCTTCCTCCCCACAGCCCGCCCCTGCGCAGGAGGCAGGGCTGTTCTTTTGGGCAGACCTCCTCCTCAGGAGGGGAGGTGGCAAAACCTGTCTGAAGATGAGGTTGCCTGCCTTCCACACCTTCCTCTTCCAAGGAGGCCAGAGCAACAAGGGCTGGGGCCAAAAAAGGTCAAAAACAGTTAGGGGCCAGGACACCAGCAACTTCTAGGTGTTTAAAAAAGGCAGGAAGACTGTGAAGATGGGAACTGTACAAGAGGCAAGAGAAAAGACATCAGACCTTGGGTAAGTACGAGCATGGCTACCTGACAGGGTGTGGAGCCCAGGATTTCCCACCATCCAGCCCCTTCCTAGGGCTTCTTTTCAGAGGTGGAGAAGACTGAAAGCAGAATCAATTTTCAGAGAAGGGCTAGCTTGCCTTCAGGTAGGAAGTATCAGTACGGTTTGGAACTGAGCAACTGGGCTTCCAGAATAATAACGTGATTTTTTTAATGGAAGTTTCTATACTTCGTATTTGATAAATCTGCCTGTGGTTTGTTGTTTTGTTTGCTGGTTTGTTTTCCTAACTCCCCTACTGAATGCTTGGTCCAGAAGTGAATTTAGATCCAGGTCGTCCTTCCCAGCAAAGCTCCCTGCCTTCCTCCGTGCTCCAGGTGCAGCCACTCCTGGCAGAGCAGAAGCAAAGCAGGCCCAACCAGCTGTGCTGCACCGGCAGTTTCCCTGGCAGCCCGGGAAGGCTTGGCAGGCCGGTCTGGGTTCCAGCCACTCCTCACAGGGACGCTGCTCACCCCTGTGTCATTGGTGGAGCCACAGCCAGAGGGACAATGTGATTGGCTCCTCACGTCATCTTTCCTCTGCCCCTAAACTCAGGGGAAAATAGAGAAACATTGTATAAGAGACCAGAAATCTGAGTTTTTGTTTTGTTTTCTGAGTTGTCTCATTGCATAACCCAGGCTGGCCTTGAACTCCCTACCTGCCTCAACCTCCCCACTACTGGAGTTAGCTGAGTTCTTTTACTCTAAGGTGTGCTCTCTGTAGCTTAACAACTGTCCTCCAACCCAGTGTCTGCTCTTAAAATACTGTCTGTGTTGTTCCGTGATAATCTTTTCTCCTGGGGACTCAGGGTCAGGGAGAATGCAGAAGAGCCAGAGCCAGAGCCAGGCACAGACCTGAGACTTGGGGAGCTGGAGCTGAAGGAAGAATGGCAGGATGAAGACTTCCCTAGGTGAGGAAGGGAGAGAGAGCCTGGGAGAAAGGAAAGATGCCACAAACAGAGGGCAAGTTTGGACTTGAAGGAAAGAGCTGGGAAAAAATGGATGCAGTAATGTGGCAGGGAGAAAGCGGATCATCTGAAGCGACTATGAGCCCCTTATTTTTACTCTGTAGATTGTTGCCTGAGGAGCCTGGACCTTCTGAAGAGCCTAGCAATGGTCAGAGAGACTCACAGGCAGGTGAATGAAGTGGAACCTGGATTCAGTTCCTGGCGGTAGCCCACTTAAGGGCCATGCTGCTATTATCCCTTTGCAGCTCCATTTCCCCCTTTCCCAAATGTCCCATGTCACTTTCGTCTTCAGAGTTCACCCCCTATTGTTCCTATCCACAGGAATTCTAACTATCTTTTTATATATATTATATATATATATATATATATATATATACTTTATATGTGCATTTTTTTTTTTATCTTTTTCTTTTTTTTTTATCAGTATCGGGGATCGAACTCACAACTGCCTGCTTGCAAAGCAGGCGCTTATGCCGCTGAGCTAAATCCCCAGCCCCATATGTGCATCTTTTATATATTTCTCCACTTGATCTACCCCAGCTACCCCCAGCAGTTTAGCCCTATGTGGTCAGCGCCCTATGCGCCCTATGCGGAAGCTCCTGTCTGCCCCGGAACTGACACTGAATCTGCTAGAAGAGCCTGGAGATCAGGGAGCTTCTCCCATCCACTCCACTGCTTCCTCTTCTGAGGGCAGCTCAGACCTGGATGTAGATGAACTGGAGACACCTTCAGACTCGGAGCAGCTGGACAGTGGACATGAATATGAATGGGAAGGTGGGGACAAACCCCAGGACAGAACTAGCCAAAGTAGAGAGACCGGTGGGGCTGGGGACCTAACTCAATGGCCGTGTGCTTGCCCAACATGTGCAAAGCTCTACCTTCAAGCCCCAGCACAAGCAGGAAAAGAAAAAAACATTGCATATAATTCGGTGAGGCAGGGGGGCTGGGGTTTAGCTCAGCAGCATAAGCACCTGCCTTGCAAGCAGACAGTCGTGAGTTCGATCCCTAGTACCGATAAAAAAAAAAATTATAATTCGGTGAGGCCTGCCTAGCTTTTTTTTTTTTTTTTTTTTTTGGTACCAGGAATCAAACTCAGGACCTTGTGCTTGTAGGGCAGGCCTGTGCCACTGAGCTATGTCCCCAGGCCTTTTTTTTTTTTTTTTTTTTTTTTTTGAGACAGGGTCTAGCTGAGTATTTCAGGGTGGCCATGAACTCACTTTGTAACTCAAACTGACCTTGACCTGGTGGTGATTCTCCTGCCTCAGTCTCCCAAATGCTGGGACTACAAACATGCCACCATGCCCATCCTAGCCAACCTTATATTTAAAAAAAAAAAAGTGGCTGTGTAAAAAACAGTGCTGTATAAATTTAAGGGGACTGATGTTAGACCTAATAAGGTAGAGAATAAGAAGGAAAACCAGCAAAATTAACTTCTTCAGAAGAAAAAGAGTTTATAGATCATTGTAACAGGAGCAGGGGAGGGGTTATCTATTGTTTATTAAGGAAAACTACTCAATACCTGTTACATGCTGTCACTGACCTAGAACAGAAGTAATAAAGACAAAGCCTGGTCTGGTGGTGCACACCTGTAATCCCAGAACTCAGCAAGCTGAGGCAGGAGGATGGCCATGAGCTTGAGGCCATGCTGGGCTACAAAGTGAGTTCAAGCCAGCCTGAACTGCATAGTGAGGCCCTGTCTTAAAAAGACTAAATAAATAAATTAAGATAAAGGCCTTACCTTCAGAAAAGCCTCGGTAGAGTAGGAAATAAGCATCCACACAGGGCTGGCCATGGTGGTACACACCAGTGATCTCAGCACTCAAAAGGCTGAAGCAAGAGGATCTCAAATTGGGAATTCAGAGTAGAGAGCACAACTATTCATATCCAACGGGCTGGTAGGTGAAGGCAACAGATTGTACAGCAGTGCTAGCTAAGCAAGTAAAAATGTCGCCATGCTGAGGAGTTTAGATTTTGTGCTATGGGTGTAGGGAGTGTCATGGAAAAGTTTCAATCATGGAAATAATGTGATCAAATTAATAACTGTGCCGGGGGGGCTGGGGGTTTAGCTCAGTGGCGTAAGCGCCTGCCTTGAAAGCAGGCAGTCGTGAGTTCGATCCCCGGTACCGATAAAAAGGAAAAAGACCAAAAAATAAAAATAACGTGGCGGGCGTGATGGCTCACGCCTGTAATCCCAGCACTCGGGAGGCTGAGGTAGGAGGATTGTTTTGAGCTCAAGACCAGCTTGGGTTACAAAGTGAGCTCGAGGCCAGCCTGAACTGCATAGCGAGACCCCGTCTCAAAAAAAAAGGTAATGCAGAAGAAAAAGGTTGTGCTAGCAATGGTGTAGAGGGTAGACTGGCAGAACAACTTAGAGGCAGGGAGAACAGAAACAACCTGAGGGCATCTGAGAGATGTCCACAAGCTAGGCCAGTAGCAGCAGGACAGATGAGGGAAGCAGTAGGAGGAAAAGGCTCTGTAACCCAGTTTGGTCTGCAAATTGATAGAGAAAAGGAGTCTCAGGTGACATTTTTAGGCAGCTGGATGGATGAGTAATTCATCAAGATAGGAAATACAGGGGAACAGGAAGAAGAAAATGATTTTGATTTCTGTTGTATGTCTGTAACTTGTGCTGGGAAGGTGCAAAATAGAGATGTCCTGGCATTTAGGAATATGGAGTTGAAGTTAAAAAGGCCAATTGCGGGACCCTGTCTCAAAAAAGACCAAAAAAAAAAAAAAATTTGTTGCAAGTTCGAGACCAGCCTTGGCTACAAAGTGAGCTCAAGACCAGCCTGAACTGCATAGCAAGACCCTATCTCAAAAAAGACAAAAAAAATAAAGAAAGAAAGAAAGGCCAATTTGCAAGTCATTTCGTGGGTGGTAATGAAAACATGGGAATAGAGGTGCTCACACAGTGAAAAACATGTGAAGAAAGACTTAAGAAAAAAAAACAGCATCTGGCAAGAGTTATAAACCTGCCATTGTGCAAGCCTACCCCAAGGTCACCAACCAGTGAAAAATCGAGGATAAAAAGTTACAGAAGAAAGAGACCAGCAAAAGGTTGGGTTAGTTGGATATTCTGGCTAAGAAGGCAAGGAAATAATTGAGTGAGATGTTAAACTAGTAACCTCAGAACAGATCTAGAGAAGTTAGAAGGTGCCTAAGGCTGGAAGCCTCCCCTTGTTGACCCCTCACCCTCTGTCTTAGATGACCTTCCCCGAGCAGAAGGCCTGGGGGCCAGCAAGGCGGAAGAAGGGCTGGGCCAAGGTTGTGTATGGGATGTGGCTGGAGAAAATGGTCATCGCTGGAGGGTGTTCCGAACAGGACTCCGGGAACAGCACGTGGACATGACTGTCATTGAGCCTTATAAGAAAGTCCTGTCTCATAGAGGTAATAGCGAGTAAAAGCAAGATCTCAGTATTCCTCAACCCAATCCTACTGTCTATGGATACGTATTTGTGGGGAGTGAGTTTTTCCCTTATTGTCCCCAGGTTACCATGGTGATGGCCTTACTGCTGTCATCCTCTTTGCTTCGTGTTATTTACCCCAGAGCAGCATCCCCAACTACACCTACATCATGGAGCACTTGTTTAAGTAAGTGAAAGGTTTGAAAGCTATAAGAAGGGGATTTGAGAGGGAAAAGTGAAAAGCAATCTCTGTTCAGTCAGTAGCTGGTTAGAAGCTACATTAATGTTACTTGAATTCCCTGGGCCCCTGTCACATCCCTTCCCTGCAATGTCTCCCACCCCTCCCTAGGTATATGGTGGGGACTCTGGAATTGCTGGCAGCTGAAAATTATCTGCTTGTTCACTTGAGCGGAGGCACAAGCAGGGCCCAGGTTCCACCCCTGAGCTGGATCCGCCAGTGTTACCGTGCCCTGGATCCTCGGTGAGACCTCAGGCTGAGGGTGCTGTGACTCTTACCTTCCCATTCATCTCCCATCTTTCCAGTCCTCCCTCTGCCAGTTAGTGCCTTCACTATGCTCTCTTCGTCCACACTTTCCCACAGATGCTCATGTGTCCTTCCTCTCAGAAGCGAAAGCTTAGTTTCTTTTTGTTATAACTTGGCCCCCCAGTATAAAATCCAAGGAGGCAAGAGACCGAAAATTTAGGTGGCAAAGGCTTTATTTCCAGGCCTGGCAACCAGTCTCCGGGAGCCAATTTGGAGACTGTCCCCCAGAGACTGAAGGGAGGACTTTAAAAAGAGGCTGGAGGAAAACGGGGGTGGGACAAAGAAACCTGCAGAGCCATCAAACTTGTTGACCCGAGTCTGGAAACTGTATTGCTGTCCACTTAGCTCTGACAATCTCGGGAGTTCCTGGTGTTTCTCAAATTACTCCCATCCTACAGACTGACATTATCTCGGAATGGCACATCTGCAGCAATATTTGGGGAAGAAAGTGGACAGTTAATTATCCCAGGACAGCTCGTTTTCGCTAGTGGGTGTGAAGGGGTCAAGAGTTACAAGAAGCTGAAACTTAAGTTTTACAAAGATCAGGGGCTGGGGGTTTAGCTCAGCGGCATAAGCACCTGCCTTGCAAGCAGGCGGTCGTGAGTTCGATCCCCGCTACCGATAAAAATGAAAAAGAAAAAAAAAAATTTGAAAGTTTTACAAAGATCTGATATCTAACTCATTTGATGCATACAGAACAAAAGGAAAGCATCGATTGGGGTTTGGGCCATAGTATTTCCCGGTAATTTCTTTGAAGCTAAACAGTTCTTAAAATTTGGGGCAGGCTCATTTTATGACAGATCATCACCGGGTCGGGAGGAGGTCACCAGAAACCCAAATTCTTTATGGCCTAGATAGATAGGTGAGGGGAGAGGGAGGCAATAAGGCGCCATACAGAACAGAAAACGGCGGTTATGTATCAAGGTCAGGTAAAGGGTTAAACTCATATGCAAATCTCTCTGCACACAAGCAGGTTACTTTAAACAAGTATAAATTAATGGGCCATTCTAGTTTTCTTTAGCTCTTTAGCGGGAGAATAGAGGCGCCTAACAGTGATTAACAACCCTTGTTAGCTTGTTTTAGCACAACTTCTGAAGTTTGTAGAGGGCAACAATGGTTAACATATCAATTAGGTGAGATTCTTGCAATTCTTTACAGAGGAGAGTATTGCTCAACATATCAATTAGGTCACTTAACATATCAGTTAGGGAAAAAGGATTAAAAAAACACACTTAGTAAGCCACTTTACAGGTTTGCTATAATACACATATAACGAAGCTATTTTCTTAGAGTACAACACTTTTGTCCTGGTTTTATTTTTATTAGTTTGTGTTGGCCTTGCGTAGTGATTTCCTTCATCACAGGGCAGTGGTGCACACATGTCACATGTCGTAGTTCTTTTTCTGTCTGCTGCTCGCCCCCTCTTGGAAATCCTACTTTCAAGTCATATCACTTGTTAGCCAGATGATTTTAGACAAGCCTATATGGGCCTCATGTTTTGATCTGTAAAGTGGTAGCAATCAAACTTCTGTAACTGAGCCTTTGTGGAAAACGGATACCACCATGTGACACCCTGCTGGCACACAGAAATACTCTTGCTTTTCTCCCAGTCTCACATTTTCTTCATTTTGCACAAGTCTATTTCCTAGTTTTCCTTTTTTTTTTTTTTTTTGGCCTTTTTGAGACAGGGTGTTGCCATGCAGTTCAGGCTGGCTTTGGGCTCAATTTGAAGCCCAGGCTGGTCCCAAACTTGCAAAGATCCTCCTGCCTCAGCCTCTCGAGTGCTGGGATTACAGGAGTGCACCGCCACTTCCAGCTGCATACCTGATCTTTATGTATTTTTTCTCTCTCATGTTGTTTTTTTATTTGTTTTCCTATTTTCCTTTTGCTTATTTATTTTGGTACAGGGAATTGAATTTAGGAGCTTGCATTTGCCAGGCAAGCACTTGTGCTGCTAGCTATGTCCCAGGCTCCATTTTGCTTTTTTTTTTTTTTTTTTTTTTTTGGTCTTTTTGAGACAGGCTCTCGCTATGCAGTTCAGGCTGGCTTTGAGCTCACTTTGTAGCCCAGGTTGGTCTTGAATTTGAAACGATCCTCCTGCCTCAGCCTCCTGAGTGCTGGGGATATAGGAGTGCATCACCATGCCCGGCTTACCTTGCTTTTTATCTTATTCGCCCCAAACTTGCCCTGCAGTCAGTTTCCCCCTCACACTTCACTTTTACTTTTTTTAATAAACATTGTCACTGCTTTAAAATAATGAGTAATAAATAATAAAATAAAATAAAATAAAATAAAATATAAGCCAAGCCCAAACAGAAGGAGTCCAAATGGAGATTTTCCTAAAAAAGAGGACATGTCAGGCTGACTGAGATAAGTGGAGCTGAGATTCCAACTAAAAGAATGGGGGATTAAATCCAGTAACTGGCAAAGAATCGAATCATTTAGAGAAGTCAAGGGCGGCTGCAGTATAGGCAAAGGCTCTACCTGATCTGCAAGCATGAAGACAAACCCAGGAATAGAATGATCTCATCACGTTCTCCTTCAGGCTCCGGAAAAACCTGCGGGCCTTGTTGGTTGTCCATGCTGCGTGGTATGTGAAGGCATTTGTGGCGATGCTTCGGCCTTTCATCAGGTATTAGCTCTTTGGTTTTTTGTTTTTTGTTTTTGTTTTTTTTACCATGACTGTGTCTTCCAAATAGGTATTAGCTCTTTGAACAAGGACTTCATTTACCTTCATTCCTTCCTTTCTTCTCCTTCTTCCTCCTCCTCCTCTTCGTCCTCCTCTTCGTCCTCCTCTTCCTCCTCCTCCTCCTACTCTCTCTCTCTCTGTCTTTTTTTCTCTCTCTCTCTCCCCCACCTTTTGTTCTTCGCTCCAGGCTCTTGCTAGTTCAGGCCTTGAACTCTCTGTATAACCTAGGCTATACTCCTTCCTCACCCTTTCCAGTGCTGTGATAATAGGCATGCACCACCATACTCAGCTTCTTTTCCTCATTTTCAAAATGAAGATTAAGCTGGGCATGTTGGCACACACTTGTAATCCTCTGGATGGTGAGGCAAGAAGCTCCTTGTGAGTTCAAGTTTAGCCAGAATTACAGACATTCCTCACTTAATGAGGAATGAACTGGTCACTAAATGAGGAATTGTATATATCTTGTACAATATTCAGGAGAAATTGTCAAAGGAAACTCTTGATGATTTTGCTTTTATTTGCATAACTCTTATGTGCATACTGTAATGTATAACAAAACTATAGTACTATACTACACAGTAAACCAGCAAAAATGACCGTACTGTGTAAACAAATTTTGTACTATACCCTCCAAAAAGACATTGAGGCTCTATAAACAAGATGTATAGAACTACCAAAAAAAGAAAAAAAAAAAAAAAGACGGATCATAAATCCAAAGGATGAGTCATAAATCCAAATAGTCATTCAACAAATAGGCCATTAAACAAGGAATCTACATAGCAAGACTTTGTCTCACAAAAAAAAAAAAAAAAAAAAAAATCAAGATTAAGATTTTAGCTGGAGACCAGGGATGTAGTTCAGTGGCACAGTGTCTGCCTGGCAAGTATAAGTCTTGGTACCCACCCCCTGCCAAATGAAAGAGTTTAGCTGGGTATGATAGCACACATTTGTAATTCCAGCACTCCGGGAGGCTGAGGCAAGACAGTCTCAAATTCAATCCCAACCTGGGTAATTTAGGGTTTAGTGGGACACTGCCCCAAAAATTAATGAATAAAAATAAAAAGGGCTGGGTAAGGAATGTATCTCAGTGCAAAGGCCTTGAATTCAGTCAAGTACTGGTAAAGATATCTGGTCCTGGGGCTGGGGATTTTAGCTCAGCAGCATAAGCACCTGCCTTCCAAGCAGGCAGTCGTGAGTTCGATCCCCAGTACCAATAAAAATGAAAAAGACAAAAAAAAAAAAAAAAAAATCTGGTCCTACCCTTGCTCTTTCTAGCCTTAAATACTCTATTGTAATCCCCAAATATTGAGTACGGTAATCCAAGTATTGTAATCTTTTCCAGTCTTCTTCACAATCCAAAATTATATGTATAATTCCATTGAGTCATTACTGGAATCCCAGCAAGTTAATTCCAGTCTACCACCTCCAATGCAACCTAGAGTGAGAATAAAGACACCAAGACATATTCCAAGTTAAGGGCAGCCAAGGGATTTTAAGTCTAATTCCCGTGAGGATGTGCAGACAAAAGCCTTGATCCTAGGCTGCTCCCAGAATTTATTGTCTCGTGAAGAAGGGAGTGGCTCAAGGATGAGTCACAGTGAGGATGGTGGGGAACTAGTGAGTAATTTGAGCTGGCTGGCCAGGTAGCAAGAAAAGCATCTTTGCAAAATGCAGGGTTAAAGATGTGCAGAAGGATCAATTAGCATAATTCAATTAAACTAGCTACTGAATTGTTTCTAGAGGCTGTTGCTTTAGTTTCTGATATGTAAATTTTTGTGCCCTACCAGTTTATCTCAAGACTCATACCCAGTTGACATTCCTGGAGCTGACTGGCCCTACCATCCCACTGTGTTCATATATTTCACAGAGAACACTTTAAAAGGAAACAGGAGACTGTCTGATGGCTTTAGAGATTATATACCAGTACATCAACTAGCCTTATTTGCAACGGGTACAGCCAATTGAAGTAAGAAGGAAGTACCAGTTAGCTCTGTATATATCAGTATAAGGAAATAAGTCTTGATATAATCAAAGTCTCAGCAATTGTTCAGCATTCAAGGGGAGTCACTCAAAATTGCCTCCCACAATATTCTGCTTGTTACATTTTTCTCTGTAAAGGTCCCCAGGAGCCACCCTGCTGGTATGAAACATGATTTGGTTTATTCTGTCTTTTCAGTTCCAAGTTCACACGAAAGATCCGTTTTCTGGACAGCCTGGGGGAGTTAGGCCAACTCATCTGCCTAGACCAGCTTCACATCCCTGATGCTGTCAGACAGTGAGTCTTGCACTAAAGGATGAAGGTTTGGGGTGCAATGAGTAAAGCCAGTCCCCTCCTCCTAATTGCCTTGGGAAGATACAAAGGTGCTACAAGGTAGAGGTTCTGCTTTCACTGCTTCAGTGTATTTAGGAAAAGTGCATATGCTCAGGGAGATGTGAAGCACAGGACTGTGTTAACAGGAACAAATGAAAACCTTCACGTGTACATGTGCAGAGGCCAAGGCAAAATCACCACATAGAGTTAAAGGGGGCTTAGAGTCGCCCTAGAAATTCAAAAGGGATCTGTGGACAGTGAATCGATCATACTAAGGAGCAAAGGATGCTAAATACTGAATCAAACACCCAGTCTTAGCAGGGTGCTTAGGTGCACTCCTGTAATCCCAGTACTTGGGAAGTTGAGGCAGGAGAATCCTTGCAAGTTCAAGACCAGCCTGGGCTACAAAGTGAGCTCAAGGCCAACCTGAACTGCATAGAGAGATCCTGTCTCAAAAAGAAAACAACAGCAAAAAACAATCTTTTAGCTCATCTAATTCACCAACCAGTGAGTAAAATCCAACTTCTGCCCCAAACAACATTCATCTCCTTACTCCCTCCCCTGTAGGTTGGACCAGGGTCTCTGTGGCTCAAGAGGAATGGACAAAGGACCTTGAACCAAGCAAAGATAATGATCTAAACACTTCCTAATCCCTGAGCTGTTTGCAAACGTTTTCATCCTGAAGCCCAACCTCTCCTTCCACCTTCACTTCTCAATGGGACACTTCCCTGCCCTATCCTGTTTGCCTGCTCAGGGCTGAGTTTGGAGTTCCTGAGGGTAGTGTTGGGAGTGGGAAACTCCGAGTTTTAATCCTGCTTTTGCTCTACAGCCTTCTCGGCTTGGTGTTCTAGCAGTCTGAGGGGAGATGATGGACAGGAAGGGCCTACTTTAGCTCAGCCAGGCTCCCTTTTGAGGGCCAGGAGACAGCTCACAAAATCCTGAAGAACCTGTCTGCCCTTTCTTCCTTCTAAGTCATGTCTGCACCTGTGAGCCTGGGAAGGCATGCTTTGAAAGCCTGTACTGTTTGTTCACACTATACTTGTAGCGATTAATAAACTGGGATATGAGACTGAAGCCTGTGTGCACAGGGCCTTTCCCCCAGCCTTGCATCACAATCGGCCGGGGTTGTGCGCGAGTTGGTGGCCGAGGCTCCCTAGACCAGAGGCTCAGCTGGGGGTGCGGGGTGTGTGTGTGTGGGGGGGCGCGCGCCGGTTCCAACGACCCTGCGAGTCGGTGGAGCGGAGCAGAACGAAGGGTGAGGCGGCAGCAGCCCGGGCCACCCAGCCCCATGGTCCCCGCCGCCTGCACGCTGCTCTGGGCCCTGCTGCTGAGTCTGGGGTCCGCGGCGGCGGCGGCGGGGCACCAAGGTCAGACGCGAGCCCCGGCAGGGACGCGGGGCGTCAGCCTGAGCTTCGGGAGCCCAGCCCGCAGCCGCAGCAGCAGCAGCAGCATGTCGCGCTCGGCCCGGACCCGCTTTCCCCGCAGGACCAGGGTGACCGAGGAGGACGAGAGCGACGCCCACGTCACCGCTGACCGCCTGGCTGGCCCAGCCGCTGAGGAGCTGCTGGCCACGGTGACCGGGATCAGCTCGCCAGCCACGCCCGGCACGGACGAGGATGAGGACGGTTCTCTGGAAGAGGGGGTGGCGATCTACGCCAGAAAGAGCCGCACCCCAGGGGCCGGCTCCCATAAGACCTCCAGCAGAGCGGTCAGTGCCAGTGCCAGCACCACCGGGAAGTTTGCAGCCAACACCCAGGAGCGAGAGATCAGGCTGTCCACCAGCCTGCCGCCGGCCACCACGAGATTCACCAGCCAGGAGGGCGACGTGCTGAGCTCCGAGAGCCTGAGCAAGTGGTCCACGGCTGGCTCCAAGCCCAGCGGCTGGCCACGCCTCTCTCCCACGTCCATGCCGCCCCCTGAGGATCTGCGGCTGGTGCTAATGCCCTGGGGCCCGTGGCACTGCCACTGCAAGGCAGGTACCATGAGCCGGAGCAGGTCTGGGAAGCTGCACGGCCTTTCTGGGCGTCTTCGAGTTGGGGCGCTAAGCCAGCTCCGGACAGAGCACCGGCCTTGCACTTATGAGCACTGTGCCTGCAACCGGCTCCGGGAAGAATGTCCCCTGGACTCGAGTCCCTGCCATGATTCGAGCTGCAGATCTCGGGCCGCCACCACCACCATCACCACCACCACCACCACTTCTCCCATGCCCCCAATCCACGAGAGGCGCAGGCCCAGCCCCCTCCCACCCAGCGCCTACCCCAGCCCCAGTGCAGCTCTGGCTTTTTGGAAACGGGTGAGGACCGGTCTGGAGGATATTTGGAACAGCCTGTCTTCAGTGTTCACAGAAATGCAACCAGTAAGTGTCTTGTCAATGCGCCGGGATCCTTACTGAGGCAGGTGTGAAGGTCTGACACTGCAAGCCCTGGGCTAAGCCAAGCAGTGTGCTTCCTTTTTTCTTTTTTGGTCTTCTTCTTTATCAGTACCGGGGATGGAACTCACGACCACACACTTTCAAGGCAGGTGCTTATGCTGCTGAGCTAAATCCCCAGCCCGAGCAATGTGCTTCCTGAACTGTTAACTTTTTTTTTTTTTTTTAAACTTTTTATTTACTTCTGGTATTGGCAGTTGAGCCCAGAGCCTTTACACTAAGCTACACCCCCAGTCTTTATTTTTTGAGGCAGGGTCTTACCAAATTGCTCAGGCTGTTTGAATTTAGAAACATGCACCACCCAACTTTGCTAATGATTCATAACATGCATTGATATTGTTGTTGCCCACTGATTCTATTACCTTTTTGTTTCATTTTGTTTTTGAAATGAGGTCTCTGGCGGTCCCAGAAACCCTGGATTTAAGCAATTCTCCTCCCTTGGCCTCCTAAGTAATTAGGTGAGGTCACAGGTGTGCACCACCACTACCAGCTACCTATTTTTTTTTTTTTTTTGTCTTTTCCATTTTTATCGGTACCAGGGATCGAACTCACGACTGCCTGCTTGCAAGGCAGGCGCTCATGCCGCTGAGCTAAATCTCCAGCCCCTGGCTACCTATTTTTTGAACTGCTGTTTGGCAACATGTTTTCCTGGCCAATGAGTAATTACTAAGGTGGTAGACAGCCAGGCATGGTGACACACACCTCTAATCCCAGTACTCAGGAGGCTGAGGCAGTTGTTCGAAGCTCGTCTGGGCTACACAGAAAGTTCAACATAAAAGGTTCTTGTTGAACAGATGGTAAATACAGAGGATATTAAAGTTATGATGTAATTAAGTTTCATTTTAACAGGTGATATTTGAGCTTACTGGACTTGTGTGTGTGTGTGTGGATAATGGATATTGAACCCAGGGCCTTGTATGTGCTAAAGGCACGCTACCACTTAGCTAATCCCCAGCTCTATTATGTGAATTTATGATCAGTGTTCATAACCTTGTATCATCCCCACTTTACAGATATCAGGTTTACAAAACTAGTATGTTGCAGAGCCACACGTAAGATCAACACCAGGTTTCACATCAGTGCCCACACTTTATAGCTACCATCATTCAAAGAACTAGCCTGGGCTTCTTCCTCACAATTTAACTAAGAAAAGCCAGGTAGTGGTTCATAACTTAATCCCAGCCCTCTTGGTGATTTATGTCATGTCTCAAAGTAAAAAGGATAAGGTTATAGCTCAGTGGGAAGGCCCTGGATTCAATTCCCAGTAGTAAAAGGAAAGAAAAAAAAAAAAAAAAAAAAAGAACCGGGGAGGAAGGACAGTTCTCTGTTTTACCAAGTTACTGGAGTTCTGTCTGACTGGCCTGATAAAGCAGTCTCAGTTGCTAGGTATGATGATGAAAAAGGCCACAAAGGCTCATCTTGCTGGTTTTTGTTTTTGCCTTTCTCCTTCTGTGTTCCTTACCCATTCCAGTACTGGGGAATTAAACCCTAGGACCTTCACACTGAGTTATATCCTCCTTTATTTCTTGAGACAGGCTCTTGTTAAGATTCTCAGGCAGGGCTCAAAGTCAGGGTACTCCGCCTCAGCCTCCCAAAGTATTAGAATTACAGGTATGCATCACACCTAGCTCCAAATACTGTTTTTTGATAGCTATTGCTGTGTAGTTTAGGCTGGCCTTGAACACATGGCAATCCTCCTGCCTCAGCCTCCCAAGTGCTGAGGTTACAGGTGTGCAATACATCTGGCCCCAGTATTATTTTGAATATTAAAAAACTTAAAAGGCAGGCAGGAGGATTGAAGGAAGAGGGGTGAGGGGCAGGGGTAGGGGTAGGGCAAGGAAAGGCTAAGGCTGTAGATGTGGTTGTAATTCCCTTTTTCCTTATCCAGACAGATATAAACCAGAGGTAACGGCCACTTCATCCACAAGAGGCGATGTCAGCATCTCAAGCTTTTCTCTTTCAATCCTAGCACCCACTAGTTATTTTTAGTACAGAAAAATAAAACTGAAAAAAAAAAAATACTGTTGGTCGTCTTTTTACAAAAGTATCTGAGGGAGAACATAAACCTCAACCCAGAAGCCAGGCTTACTCCACTGCTCTCCATCTCAGGATAAAACACTGATACATCCTTCATCTTCTCATTTACAACACTGCTGCTGGTCTTTAGTGGGCCTGGGCATTGAACCCAGGGACATTTTACCACTGAGCTATATAGCCTAGTCCTTTTCTCTAGTTGGAAATGAAATCTTAATTGCCCCGGTTGGACTTATACTTGTAATTCTTCTGCCTCAGCCTCCTGAGCAGCTGGGCTAAATAAGTACTGTGCTTCTTATTTTTGAAACAGCATCTTGCTATGTAGCTTAGGCTAACTCTGAACTATGCTGCCCCATCCAGCCTTGAACATGTGCTAGTCCTCCTTGTACCTGGCTGCAAGTACCTTTTTTTTTTTTTTTGGAGACAGGGTGTAGGTCAGGGTGTCCTCAAACTCAATAGTGATCCTCCTGCCTCACCCTCTTGAAAGCTGGGATTACAGGCAAATGCCACCAAGTACTTCAAAAGCTTGAAAATCTGAAATCCCAAGAATATATTGCTGGGCATGGTAGCTAAATTTGTCATCCTAACACACTGGGCGGCTGAGACAGGACGATTACAAATTTGAGCCCAGCAATTTAGTGAGACCATCTCCAAATAAGAGTTGGGTCCCCTTAACCCTTTATATTACTAGTCTGACCCTCATGTAGCTTGTGAAGGCCCTTGGTTCAATCCCAGCACAATATACAAAACAAAAAAAGGGAACAAGAACAGGAAAAGGATGTAAGATCTGAACCCTTCAGTGTTTCCTCCTGGCCTTAATGCCTGGGTCTCTTCTGAAAAAGCAAAATGTTTCTATAAAATTCCATTTCAGCATCTCTTTTGCCACATGTAGAAAGACTCACACTCACTGGTTCCGCAATACACCTAAAACTTGTGAAATGTGCATTTCCTACCACACAGCTGCATCTCCATCGTGATGAGGGCCAGTCACTTTCAAGTTGTCTATCAGCTGTATTCACCCTTTAATCCAATGTACACTTGAAATGATTACAACTAATTTGCTTACATTTTTTATTTGAAAAATGCATTTAAAAGTTTAACAATTCTTAATATAAATTAGGACTCTCAACCCCATACACATTACAGACGGTGGCTTGAGGCAAGAGAGCACCAAAGACTGTCCAAAGAATGGCTATTAAGTGAGGCTGGAGATAGGAGTTCCCACCTTTCTACCTTACTGCATCCCCTTTTTCCATCCCTAGTCTAGCCCTCAGGCTACCAAGCTTCTAGGGCAACAAGGTGGGCCATTTCCATCTGGACAACTAGCTTGACTAGAACCGAGAGTACTTGGGAATGCAGCTCTACCATCAATCTTAGACCCTGCAAAACTATACAGTACACTGACGCTTGAAAAACTTCAGTCACTGTAGATGGGGACAAAAAGGATAGCTGTATGGAATCAGGAGAGTGGATCCAATTCCACAGTTCTGACCCTGTTAAAGCCAATGAGATCCCAGCATTCCTGTCTCAGAGCAGGCAGGAGCTCATCTGTCTTGTTCTGCTTTCCTAATCACCCTGCAAAGAAAGGGCCAGAACAAAAAACACCTGAGAAAACAAAGTGCCTGAAGACCCTTCTCCTCCACTGCTTTGCCATCCAAAGAACACTGCAACCAGGTGGGGGTGGGTCCTGATCTTCACATAAAACTCCCTGAGTTTTATTTGTGTCTGGTTCTGGTCTTAGGGCACAGGAACAGAGCTTTGAGCTTGGGGACGGGAGCTAGGGTGTGAGTGCTGCTTTTATCTCCTCCTCCTCCAATCCCAATGCAGCCTGTTCCTGTCTTCACACTGCAAGAAAGAAACTAACACATGACCCTCTTGGTGACCCGAAGCCACACAAAAATAAGGAACACACAGAATAAAGATGATATGGAGTTTTCCTGAGCTTACTTTCCAAGGGGTCCCAGTCTATCCATGGCTCATGAGGAATAACCAGATGAGGAGTAGGGTGGGGATCGAAAACCCACTTACAAGTGCCTGGACTTCAGAGCTGGGATTCTCAGCCTCGGGCAACTTTGCTCCTAGGAGACACCTGGCAGTTTCTGAAGCTATTTTTGGTTGTCAAAACTAGAATGGGCTAGAGATGCTGCTCAACACTGAATCATAAAACAGCCCTCTAGTATAAAGAATTATCCAGTCTACAAGGTCAAATGTGTCTCATTGAGAAGCCTTGCTCCGCTTCTCCCTGTTCCTGTGCTATAATAAGGATCTTACAGAGGCAGTAATTTCTACTCTATGTACCTCACCACAGTCAGGAAGTATACCTTGAGATTAACTCTTACTTTTCTGCATTCGCTTTCTCCTCACATCCCTCTTCCTTTTCTCACCTGGGCCAGCAGGGAGGTAGTAGAGGGTGGGCCAGGTCCTCCAAGACTTAAATGGAATGTTGACAGTTAAGATCCACCACAACTCTTACTCAGTGGGAACCAGTAACAGGAACAGAGTTAACGGCAGCGAGAAGAGTGAGGTGGGGGCAATTAAATCATCTTAAATTAAAATTTTAATAAAAAAAGGACCGCTGGGAAGCTGGTAATGCTACAGAAACAAGATTAGAGAAAGACGGGGGAGAGGGGCTGTGAATTTTTTTTTTGGTTTTTTTCCTTTTTATTGGTACCAGGGATCAAACTCATGACTGCCTGCTTGCAAGGCAGGCGCTTATGCCGCTGAGCTAAATCCCTAGCCCCTGGGGCTGTGAATTTCAAGTCTACAATCTAAAGACAGAGTAGACTGGGCAATGCTGCCCTCCCCAGCCCCTGCTTGACATGTGCTTTAGTTCATCACAGGGAAGAGAGAAAGGCAGGGAGGTAGAGAGCTTCTCAGGAAAGCCAGCCTCAGCTTTGGCACTCTCACCTACCTGCCCTGTCTAAGGAGTTCCAGGCTAAGAGTTAAAAAAAGTTGGCACCCAGACCATCATTCAGGAGGAGGGAACTCATCCCTGATTCCCAGAGAACTCCTCACTCAGATCTTGAGTGTCCAGGGTTTCCACTAAGCTCCTCTGGCCAGCCAGTGGTCACTTGGTCAGTCCTGCTGCCTTGACCCATCTCCAGGAGGGGTGACAGCCAGAGAGAGGAGGAGGAGTCCAGTCCCACACCTCAGAGGCACTGTTAGGCAGAAAGGGGAAAAAGGGGCCAAGAAGGGCCCTTGGGATTTGTACATCCTAGCAGGGATCAGGTGAGGGCAGCGTTTCTTCTGGGCTGGACAGAGTTGGAACTTCAAGATGGCAGAACCTGAATTTAAGAACGGAGACACACAAAAACGGTTTTTTAAGAGATTTGCCTTGGGGCTGGGGATTTAGCTCAGCGGCATAAGCACCTGCCTTTCAAGCAGGCAGTTATGAGTTCGATCCCTGGTACCGGAAAAGGGGTGGGGGGGGAATTTGCCTCAAAAACAGACACATATACACACCCAGAGGACTTTAGGGAGAAGCCACTATACAATGCAGACTTTTCTCTCCAGTTCTGTGTAGCCAACCATCTGGGTGCCCTTCTAATGGGTGCCCACATTCTTCCTCAGCACCTCGAGTGCTAGGATTATAGGCATGTGTCACCATGCCTGGCTGAAGCCCACCTCATTTTTGTACCAGAGATGGAACTCCTGCCCTTGCGCTTGCCAGGCAGGCGCTATGCTACTGAGCTACATCCCCAGCCTGAAGCCCACGTTCTCATTCCTCCCATTCTAACTCTCCCTCCTCTTCCACACCCCTTAGCTTCCCATTCTGGCAGAGGACCAGGGTTCTGCACTGGGCTATAAGGACTTATAGGCACGAGCATGCGATACTCACCATTTATTTCCATAGGAGCTATAAGCCCCTTGAATTACTCCAAGGCCTGTCCCGGTTTCCCTTGGACCTCATCTGCTCCTGAACTGCACCTGACTGTTGAAAAGCATATGTGAGACACTGATGCTTGGTGGCACACGCCTCTAATCCTAGCACTCTGGGAGGCTGAGGCAGGAGGACTGAAATTCAAGCCAAATCCGGGCAACTTAGCAATTCAGACATCTCAAAAAAACAAGCCTCCCTTCATGTCAGTCTTCAAGAGTAGTTAAAGCGGGTCTTTTACTAATAAGACACCCTCACAAAAATTTCACTGTATGTGAATTTCATCATCAGTAGGAAAGTTCCATTACCACCACTAGATCTGTTTCCTTTATCCCAAGGGCAGAAATACAGTACATTTAGGTCAAAGGTTGATCGGTCTTTGACATGCCCAACACTCCCAGCCACAGTAGAACTTACTATGGCTCTGATTCAGCAGTTTTGAGTTATGCTTTTTAGCCAGGGTCACTCTCACTATGCAGCCCACGTTGGCCTCTTGCCTAAGCTTCTGAGTGTTAGGCATGCACCACCACCCTCATCAGCAGTGGTTTTTTTTTTTTGGTCTTTTTCTTTTTTATCAGTACCAGGGATCGAACTCACAACTGCCTGCTTGCAAGGCAGGTGCTTATGCCACTGAGCTAAATCCCCAGCCCGTTTTGTTTTCTTGAGACAGTCTTGCTGTGTAGTACAGGCTGGCCAGGAGCCTATAGTAACCCTGACTCAGCCTATCGAGTGCTGGGATTATAGGAGTGCACCACCATGCTTAGCTCCATCGGCAGTTCTTTTTTGTTTTTGAGACAGGGTCTAGATATGCAGTTCAGGCTGGCCTTGAGCTCACCTTGGAGCCCAGGCTGGTCTCAAACTCAAAACGATCCTCCTGCCTCAGCCTCCAGAGTGCTGGGATTACAGGCGTGAGCCACCATGCCTGGCTACCAGTTCTTTTATCAAACTCACAACCTCATGCTTGTTAGGCAGGTGCTTATGCCACTGAGCTAAATCCTTGGCCTATCAGCAGTTCTTAATTAGAAACTATAGTATTTGCAAAATCCCCCAATATTAAGACACATATTCCGTACCTCAATGAAGACCAATATGCTAACTGCAAAGCTAAAGACCCTAGGCCCAGAGATCTGAAATGCCAGGTCTCAGATTTTATACAACCAGTTAACAGGACTAGAAAACCTGCTTCTTGCTTGTTCACCGAGTATTTTACTATATTTCTCAGCTTTCAAAAGGAGTTACAGATCACACCCCCACACCAACCACGCCCATCCTCATTCCCTCATTACCATAGCAAGTCCGTCTCCAGCCCCCATCTCCCCAGAGCCAATGTGAGTCAGGTGGACAAAATTCATTGGTTCCCCAATCATGGTCCGGTCAATCCGCCTTCTCTTCTTCTGCTTAGAGAAGATAAAAGAGTCATGATAAGAGGCCCCTCCTCAAATCACAGCAGAGGAAGAGGAAAGAGTCTTGAAAATCACTAAGTACAGAAAGTGCTAAGGGCCTGGGGGGAAGAGGGGATGTGGTATACTAAGAACACAGCTCACACTGCAGAGGGCAGTGGCCTGTAGGGTGAGTACTGCACAAAGAGAGGACGTGTCCAAGTCACCTCTGGTGATGAGGAAACAATAGGGAAAGCTGGCTGGCAGGCACTAGGCTGTGCTTACAACCACTCTCCCACACAACATGGATAGGGACAGGAGGTAAAGGCCTGTACTACTACCTTCTTCGGCCACCCAGACCCTCTTACTGCACATACACATCTGCCTGGCCACACAGATCCCTTCCTGACAGAAAGGAGGCGGAACACTTTTCCCAAGGCAGATCCCAGAAGGTACTGTACTTCATAGCATGTAGTCACTGATTTCTTGGGGGTTGGAGGGGATGGGGACCACTCACCGGCTGGGGTTTCTCGACCACACAGCAGCCCAGTTTGTGCCAAAATTCACTCATAGTCCGTGAAGGTGCCAGCTTCAATCCTGAAGCCCCACAGTGGGCTCTTGCTCTGGTACTCTGACGCCCCCACCTCAAGATCCCACTATAACTTCACACTGGGTCCACTCAGCTGGAACCCAGGAAACGCTTAGGCGAGCAGTGTCTCCGAAATGCACAGGGCCACAGAAAGGTGGGCACACACAAGGTTATGTTTTCCTTGGATCCAGAACCCTGAATTTAGAAAGTAAAGAGAAAAGTTACTGAGAATACACATATGCTGCAATGTTTAAGAAACCTCCTAATAAGTCCCTATTTTTCCAGTGCTCTCCTACCGGTCCAATCTTGTACCTCAAAACCAATCTTTCCCAAATACAGGAACCTCAGTTTGACTCTCGAACAAGGAACAGAACCAAAAAGCTACCAAAACGGTAAGGGGTAGTAGCTGCTGGCACCAAACAGGAGTAAAGGGGCTGTTAGGACTTAGGGTGAGAGGACGGGCAAGTCCAAAGGACAGTGACAGAAAGGAATGTTTGGGGGTGCAATGAGCTCCTGTTCCCTTCTCCCTGGGTTCAGGGCAGAAGGGCAGGGGCATTTAAATGACTCTAAAGAGGAAATAGTGGTTTTTTTGTTCTCATAAACAAGGCCTCCACCCTGTTCCTCCCTTTTTCTTACCTTGCCCAGAATACCTAAATTTTCTTTTGAGACCACCAAGGTCCTAGGAAAGACTCGCTATATCAGGCTGGATCTCCAGAAGACTCTACAGTGAGAAATTTTTCCTTCTCTCAATACACTGCCCCATTGCTCCTCACTGCCCTCAACTGAGATCCAGCCTCTCCCAAGAAGCCATTTAGCAACCTCATTACCCTGACCTTGAAACTCTCCCTGAAGGCTCTGTACACTTAGTAGCTGTGTCCTGTGTACACATGCCCCCCATGTGTATGGTCTGGTGCAGACATCTGTGCATGGGACAGGTACATGTGCCAAGTGTCTTTCTATATACGAGGAGCCATTTTCCAGCCTCTCCACCCTCTCCACAGGTCCTATCCTGCAGCTCTGCTCCGCTTCACATGCTGTAGCAGCAAGGGCCTTCTTTCCTCCCATGTTTCCACCAGTCCTCTTGCTGCCTCACCACTTTCACCCCTAAGCTGCAGTGACCAATCAGACACAGGCACTTTCCTGTGTCATCATAGTGTGACTGTCCAACAGAGAACCTCCTTCCTTCTTACTACTGCCAGCCAGGGTAGGGCATATCTACATTTCCCTATCCTATATCTTCCAGTCTCACAGGGCAGGTGACATCAAAGATACCAAAAGGGCGGCTTCGGGAATTTTATTTTTTTTGAGATTTGGTGTGCAGTTTAGGCTGGTCTTGAACTATGTAGCCCAGTCTAAACTCAAACTCATGGTGATCCTTCTGCCTTAGTCTGCTGAGTGCTGGGATTACAGCTGAGCATCACCATGTCCAACATGAATTTTTAAACAAGAGCCCTTCTAACCCTGGACCCTAGACACTAGATACCAGAGCACCCCAGACTGACCAAAACACTGTACTGTTATGTTGTGGGGTTTTTTTTTTAGTAGTCTTAAGATGAGATCAGGCAAATACAGCTTCCAGGGGAGTCTGGGTTTTCTTTCACTTCCTGTCCCACCCTTGGAAGAGCAAAGCAATCAGGTCGGAAGCCAGAACACAACTGTGCAGAGAGGGGCGCTACGGTCAGTGGGCAAGTCAGTCAATCAGTCACAGTGTTTGTCCTGATGGTGGTGGGTGGTGGCAGGTGTAAGGCCTGGAGGGAAATGGAGAAAACAATGAAGAATCAGAGGAAACCCGGACAACACCAGACAGTTTGTAACTGAGCAGACAGTACATTCCCCCTCTGCTCCAAGTTGAGCAGCTCCCGGGTGGATGGTGCTGGGAGGGGAGAGGCGCAGGGGAGTGAAAGGGGCAGTGAAGAAACAAGGACCTTTCTGTTCCTTTCCAGGGCCCTAACCAGAGCTGGGTGGAAGGAAAGTGTGTGTGTGGGACTTGGCAAGAATTGTCCAGTGAGGATGAGAAGTGACCAGGAAATTCCATTCCCTGGGACATTAGGGTCTCTGAAACTCGGGGGTGGAGTCAGGGTGTGAAAAACGCAGGACAAGGCCAATGTGTGGAAAGCTGGGTGGGGGAAGGGAAACAGTGCCAAAAAAGGAAGTAAGAGTGACTGACTGTCACTCTCTTTAAAACAGCCAGAGAAGAGTGAGTTCAGGAAAACTGACGTCCTAATCTGGTAAGCAGAGGAGACAGAGGTGCCAGAATCCATTGCCTATTATTTCCAGAAGGGTCTGCAACCACCCACCTGGTGTGGTGGTGCACAACCTGTAATCATGCCAGCAGCAGGGAGACTGAGGCAGGAGGATTGCTGCAAGTTTGAGACCAGCCTGGATTGCGTAGCGTGACCCTGTCTCAAACACACACACACACTCTCTCTCTCTCTGTCTCTCACCGACAAGAGGGATCCATAATTAACATAAGGACGCATTCCAATAGCCACATAATGCTAGGACTGGGCTCTTAAGTCTAAATGAGTTAAATATGGAACTGGGAAGGGTACCCCCAAATCTTGGCGCAGCCAAGGTCACACTAGGTAAGGCTCAAGAGCCCCAAGCTGTGGGGGCGACTAGCAGAGGGGACTGCGGGAGACCCGTGCCCGGAAGGATGTACAGAGGTAGGTCCCTGGGTCCTGTGGTAGCCTCAAACCGGTTCTCCCGGTCCCGCGGCCTTCAGCCCAAGGCCTCCAACCCCGCTGCCTGACAAGCCTTCACAAGAAGCAGCTGCGAAGAAAGGCGCAGAACTGAGAAAGGAGTGGGCAATTCTGGCTGTCAGCCCAGGGAGGCAGCTAGTCCCTGGCTTGGCGACCCCAGACTTGGAAACGGGACTGGACCCCATATGCCAGCCAAGTGGCATGCATGTACCCAGTACCAACCCTCCCCCCTGCCCAGGAAAGGTCTAGTGGAGTTTTAGGAGGAAAGAACTCAGTCCAGACTTGCCTTCCTTCAAACGAGTCACCCTTACCCCGACATTCTCTGAGTCTTCCAACCTTCACCGAGGCCCGGGACCTCTCCGTGACCCTTCAGACTTCGTCACTGTGCTCCGCGGCTCCCCCGGGCTCCGAGGAGACCGCTCCCGGAACCAAGGTCCCCGTGCTCGGCCCCGCACGCACCGCCAGCGGGGTGGCCCAGGCTGGGCAGCTGGGCCCCTCCCCCTTCCACCCCGGCCCTGCCTCCTTCCGCTCCCAAACGCCCGGGCCGCGGCAGCCTCGCCCGCGACCCGGCATCTCCGCAGTCCCGGTCGCCGTCATCGCCTTCCCCACCCCCGGCATCCGGAGCGTCCCCGCCGGGCTTGCGCCGCCGAGCCGCGCTCCCGGCCTTACCTGCTCCTCTCGGGCATCGAGGCGTCGGCTGCCTCCGGGGAAGCTCCGGACCGCGGTCCGCAGCGTGAGCTTCCTAGCTAGCTCCGCAACCCTACGGCGTAGCCGAGCGCTGTGCGGCAGAGGCGGGGCGGGCCGAGGGCGGAAACGGCGGCGACGTGATTACGAAACCCGCCGGCAGCGGGCGCGCGCACGGCTCCCCGGACCGAGCCGGCTGTGCGGCGCGCGCGCGAGGACGCACATCTGCAGTGCAGTCTGATGGCCGAACCTGAGCCGGCGCCCTGGAGTTTGTGGCCATCGCAGCGAGGCTGGCGCACCGCCTGGGTACCCTTTGTCTCGCGTGGTCTCAGCGCGCCAGGCATTGCGGGGTCCGAGTCGAGCCGCGGCCTCAGACCTAACCGAGTTCACAGGCGCCGAAGCAGCCTCGCCAATCTCTTATTGTGAGGGTGGAAAAGCGAGGCGGGAATAGAGATGGGGGTCAAAGGAAAAAACATATTTTTTTCCCCCAGAACACCTAATAAGTATCCTAAGGTCCTTATTGGGAACAAAGTGACATTCCTGTATTCCATCGCTTAGAATCAAAATTTTTGATCAATAAATCTAAGTCAGAGAACAACGCATTCTCTGCTTTCTGGTCCGCATGGGGGCTATGGTAGAGACCGGGAATGATAGTCGGACCAATAAGCCTATGGAGATGCTGAGCTCCCCCCCCAGCAAACGTTCGGGAGCCTATCATTTGAATTAGCCGAGTCCGGAAGGGAGGGGGCGGGGAGTCCTCCCGCCCTTCTTAGGAGGGGCTGCATTGCAGAGGGAGACCGAGCCCGCAGACTGTCACTGAAGAAGGTGAGGGTGTGAGAAGACAAATTCGTCAAAGCCCCAACAGCTTCCTTTTTCTCCAGTCCAGAGCAGACCCTGAGACCCTCAAGTATTCCATCTTTGGAACACGCTAGTAATTCACTGTTCGCAGGTAAACTGAACTGGGAGGGGTGGGCAGAGGGCTGCAGAGGTAGAATAGCAGTTTCTTCTGCTTAAAGACCCCAAATAAGATTGAGGTGGGGAACTGTTTGAGAAGGGGGCGCTATGAACAATGGGTAGCGATTTGTTCCCAGATTGATATCTCTTTACTAAGATCTCCATCCATCTTATTATTTACCTATTCATTAATTTCTAACAATCTACATGTAATGATTTTTCAGCACTTAGCTCATTTCAAGTATCCATTTTCTTATGATTTATTGCCCTGTGTATTTAATATCGTCAGTTTAGTCATCTATATCTTCCTTTTCTAGCTCTAATTTTTACTATCAGTTCTGTGGTGACTCTTTAGTTCTATATCTCCCTGGTCTCTACTTCTCTGCATTTCCTTTTTTTTTTTTTTTTTTTGTAGTACTCTATTTGTCTCTGTGGGGAGGGGTCTTGAGGGGTGAGATATAGGGTAACATTGGGAGTAACCCCGACATTTAGGGTCTCCTCCCCCTACCTCTCTGATTTTTGCTCCAAAGTGAGGTAAGGAAGGTGGCAGCCTTTGTGTCCAACTGTTTGATCCCATACTGAAATTGGTCCAACCACACAATGTTAATAGGGGCAGATTCTTAGTTGATCCGTGGACTAAGTGGAAGAAGATCATGGCTAGTAGGAAGATTCACGCTCAGAAGAAGGCAAACATGGTGTGCCAGTGTCCATGCCTCCACTCCCGTACACCCTTCCCACCACTGTCTTGGTGGCAGCATGACACAGCAATGCCCTGTGGAGGAGGCCAGTGATGTCCAGACAGAGCATCTGGACAAAGGGTATTTGGGTGTGTCCATGGGGGTCAGAAATAGTGCATCTTTTTAATGTTATTTTAGTCAGGTATCTCTAAGAATAGATAGTTATATATAGAGAGATTAGGTTTGGCTAGAATATCTGGATAATTTCAAATAAAGGACAGTGGGATGCAGTTACTGAGTGCTTAGGGTGCAAGACCAAACCCTTAAGATAAGTAAATAACAGATTAATGACAGATGAGATGAGGTGTGGGTGGAGAACTGGAGAAATGGGAGAAGCCACCTGATAAGCCATCTGCAAATCTGAATGACTGAAGTTAAACCCATACTATATTAAATTAAAAGTTCCATTGTTAATATCTTTATGTTAATAGTCTTGTTTTTAGCAGCAAATTTCTGTGTAGTCTTACATTATGTTTTTTTTTTTTTTTTTTTTTTTTTTTTTACCTTATGTTCTTGACTTGATTTTAAGGCCACATATATTTGTGTATGTCTTTCTAAGTGCATCTGGCACCTGAACATTCTGTGGCTCTGTGACATAGCTGGGGATTCTAGGTCTTTTGAGCTAATATTTCACAAAATTTCTTTTGAATTTTTAAAATTGCAAGATAGTTCCATTAGACACTTAGACTGTTCAGGCAGTTTTATATATAACAAGTTACAAGAAAAGGAGTCAATTTGTCAAAGAGCTTTTTTACTTTTCTCAGATTCTAGCTCATTCTATTGCCTTTTACATTTTTACTACTTAGATAAGGATCAGGAATAATCAATACCTAACCTACTGAATGCTTGCCTGCCTTTCTTTCTTTCTCTCTCTTTCTCTCTTTCTTTCTTTTTCTTTCCTTCTTTCTTTCTTTTCTTTCCTTCTTCCTCTCTTTTCTTTCTTCCTAAGAGAAACATCTTTGTATGAGGTACTGGTGATCAAACCTAGGATATCATGCATGCTAGACAAGTATTCTACATTCCTAGCCCCAGAACATCTGTTCTTCAAGAACTAGAATCTCATCAAGTATGGTGGTGCACACCTAGAATCCCAGCCTGAAGGAAAGGACTGCAGGGTCAAGGGCAGCCTGAGCCATCTAGCAAACCCTTGTCTCAAAAAAAGAAGAAAGAGGGGGCTGGGGATTAAGCTCAGTGGCATAAGCACCTACCTGACAAGCAGGCAGTCGTGAGTTCGATCCCCAGTACCGATTAAAAAAAAAAAAAAAAAAGATAATAAAGTCCCATAAAATTTGAAAATAGTAAAGAATAATCAAGAAATATCATGTACAGGTACAAACTTCCTCTAATGAATGTGGTCACTGGGTGTATCTAAAATGTAGCAATAAAATTAAATTTAAAAAATTGAGACTATTGAGGGCTGGGGATTTAGCTCAGCGGCATAAGCGCCTGCCTTGTAAGCACGTGGTCGTGAGTTCGATCCCTGGTACCAATTAAAAAAAAAAAAAATTGAGACTATTGGGACAGAATTATACAAAGCTTTGGCAAAGACTGGGGACTGTGAGACTTAGGTTTATATAAACTGGCTAGAAATTTTCACAAATCACTAGATAAGTTTTCAGGTTTGGTCTAGTTCTTAACTTCTATTTCTTTTTCTTCTTATTCTATTTTTTAAAGAGCCTATTATGTGCCCAGCATTACACTAAGGTCACTCTGTGGGAGAATTACCAGGGAGATATAACAGAAACCAGCTACCTAGGGACAAAAACTGGAAATACAATAAACAGTCCTAATAGGTAGAGTTAGCAATACTATTGATTTTAACATTTTCTTCTTAGGGTCTCCACAGTCCTAGACCTAAGCAGGGACTGGTTGGTTAACAGGTACAACTATTTTTCTATCTCTTTCTTGTGCACAAGTTTCTGCAAATTACTGTGAAGGCGATGGGAGCTAAGTACCACAGGATGATGACCTTACCTTTCCAGTGTCACTCTCCCACCCCACCCCCATCACCCTCTGCAAGCAGCTTCTCTGCTGAGTAATGCTCAGTTCCCACTTTATTTTGGAGCCTGAACCAAAGAAAAGAACAATTCACAATTAGCCTACTCACTCACCACTCCTGAAATCCCCATATTCTCACACATTACTGTGTTCTAGATTAAAACTTTTTCTCTTTGCTTTAGTACAGATATCTCACATTATATAAGAACATTTTGGAAGCTATTTTTTTGTGGGGGGAGTGAGGATCAACTCAGAGCCTTGTGTATGTCAGGCAAATGCTCTATCACTGAGCTATCTATGTACTCAGCATCAGGCTGTTTAGAAGTCACAGGCTGGTGAGAGCTGACAGGCCTAATAAGTACTGAACAAAGGTCTTTTGAAACAAAAATTCTAATTTTGGAGGCATTAGAATATTTTTTTTTATTTGATGGGACCATTTCAGCTAAGGCTTCCTGCCCCTTCCCTTGGCTGGTAAGTAGGAGGGTGGAGGTTCAGGGAGCTGTATAGCATCAGGCAAGGTGTAGGTAGGATCAGCAGAAGCTACTCATTAAGGCATGGAAAAGTCTTGCCATATAATCTAGACTTCCCTCTATCTGGCATTTCAACCACCCCCCCCACCAATTTTTTTTTTTTTTTTTGAGATAAGAGTCTTGGTATGTATTCCAAACTGGCCTAAACTCACTATTTAGCTCAGGCTGGCCTTGAACTCACAGGGATCCTCCTGCCTCAGCTTCCCTAGTGCTGGGATTACAGTTATGTGCTACTGTGCCCTGCTATCCAACTCATTTGCTCTCCTTATTATCAGGTATACTCTAGCACTAGGGTCAGAGGAGGTCCTGTTTATAACAGAACAATTCTTCTAGCACCTGGATTTTTTTTTAATTAGAATATTTTAATTGCATCAGTATTTTATTTTAATTTTTTTATCGGTATTGGGAATCGAACTCATCGAACTCATAAGCACCTGCTTTCAAGGCAGGTGCTTATGCCGCTGAGCTAAATCCCCAGCCTTGGATTTGGTTTTGAAGAGGTAGATTAGTAAGATTATCTGTAGACTAATAGATGAATGGTAGGGTACTCACTGTGTTAAACACTGAGAGAGCTTAGGATATAGCTGTGTCATAGCACCTGCCTAGCAAGCACAAGGTCCTTCAATTCCCAGTACCAAGAATAAATAAATGCTGAGGGGAAATTAACCAGCTGGTCTTCAATGCCTGGGTGCAAAGCCTAAATTTCCAGAAACTACATTAGTTTTATCCTTAGAGACACTTCCAATCTGTTGAAAGAGCAAGACTATCCTTCTACATCAACACGTTACTAGTAACAGATAACCAACCAGAGTGATGACGTTAAGCAAAACCTTACAGGATGTTGGGAGAGATGGAGAAACGGGGGATATTGAGCCAAGTAAATTTGAAGAAATAGTCCTCGAAGAGTTGTGTTGATAGCGGGGAGGGCCTAGAGGGCAAGAAAGAAAATAGGAAAGAAAAAATCTTGGAAGACCTCTTCAGAAATATCATGACCTTGCTGGGCATGGTGGCAAACAGCTGTAATCCCAGCACCTGGGAGGCTAAGGCAGGACTGCCTAGAATTGGGGGCCAGCCTGAACTACATAGTGAGACCTTATCTAAAAAAAAAAAAAAAAAAGTATCATGAGCTCTTAAAGCAAAAGCAGAGCTGGGTGTGTTGGTGCTCACCTGTAATCCCAGCACTCAGGAGGCTAATACAAAAGGACTGAATGCAAGGCAAGCCTGAACTGCATAGGGAGACCCTGTCTCAAAAAAAACAAAAAGAAAGAAAAACAGATTTAATTTCCCTAGAGATGTGAAGTCTTCAAACCTGGGAAGTATTTTAAGAGTGGAAGGTTTTAAGATAGGAATGTGCATAACTTAACTAGCAGGTCCATATTACATAGCAGGCTTTGAAAATCAGACTCAAGCTTGAGGTGATAGGCCGGGTATTTAGCTCAGTGGCTTAAGTGCTTGCCTGGTAAGCATGAGGTTGTGAGTTCAATCCCCCTACCAAAAAAAAAAAAAAAAAAAAAAAAAAAAACCTTGAAATGGTGGCAGAAATCTGTAAACGCAAATATTCAGGAGGCTGAGGCTGGGCTACATAGTAAAACCCGGTCTCAAAGAGAAACAAAACCTAACCTTTTCTCATTTTGTAGTGACATTTGTTGCCTATTACATTAAATTGATCTTAAGTCTGAATTTTTTGGGGGGAATGAAACAGGATCTTGCTATATATTCTAGGCTGGCCTTGAACTATGTAGCCCAGACTGCCCTCAAACTTACATCTCCTGCCTTAGCCTCTCAAGTGCCAGGATACAGGGGAAAAATTCCTAAAGTTTGTTCTAGAGAGCTTAGATTTTTAAAAAAAATATAAATGAGGATGTTGGGTTTCTAAACTAGAAAATGCTCCATGCAAACTGGGTATGGTAGCACAAGATTCTAACCCTAGTATTCACTCTGGGAGGCTGAGGCAGGAAGACTGCATTTGGAGCCCAGGGACTTAATGGAACCCTGTCTGAAAAAGTAAAAATACTGCTCATTTTTTTTGTTTTTTTGGTACCAGGGATCGAACTCATGACCTTGCTCTTGCTAAGCAGATACTTATACCACTGAGCTAAATTCCTGGCCCAAAATAATGAAGAAGAAAAAAAAAGAAAGACCAGGAGACAGAGACGTTGCTTTCACATGAAGACTGATAAATGTTTTTTTTTTTTCTAGGAAACAATGAGGGACCCCGTGAGCAGCCAGTACAGCTCCTTTCTTTTCTGGAGGATGCCCATTCCGGAACTGGATCTTTCTGAGCTGCAAGGCCTGGGTCTGTCCGATACATCCACCCACAAGATCAAAGACAGCAGCACTGGCAAAATGACTGGGCAAGCAAAAGCAGCACAGCAGGAGAAAAACCCTGAAGGGGACACCCTCCTTGAGTACAGCACCTTCAACTTCTGGAGAACTCCCATTGCCAGCATCCACTCCTTTGAACTGGACTTGCTCTAAGACCAAGACTTCTCTCACCACCTTGCCCTCAGTGTCTGCCCTTCCCACCTCCCTCCTTCCATCCCTTACCATTTTAATCTTGTTCTCTTCCCCCTGTTGTGTTGGTGGTGCTGATGAATCTGCCTGCTGAATTGTATTTATGTATTTATTTATCTATCTATTCATCTCTCTATCTAATCTACTCCATTCCTCTCAAAAAGCCCTCCAGCTACAAAGTAGAGGCTCAAGCAATGGAGTATTGGGAAACAGGGACTCCACAGCATTCTCCCCTGCCCCCCCCCCCACCATCAGCTTCAGAAAGTCCTTATGGGGGCACCAAGGAATAGTAGATAGTGCAAAATAGAAAGCTGATTTTTTTAAAATTCCATTTTAATCAGCTTCAAAGATTGCTCAAACCTTCCTACTTTTTTTGCTCCAGGTCAATAAACATAAATATTTCTTAAAGGGTTGACAAAAATCTTGCAAGTTTTAATTTGAGATGACTTGCTACAAAACAAGATTTCTAAAAGGATAAGATTTGCTTTTGAATCCTGCTTCTTCTTGTAATATATTCTTTTTCCATACAGAAACTGGGTTACTTAAAGGTAAAACAAGAGGAAACAATATGTCATGGAAAATGAAAAGTGTTAAGTCATCTCAGAAAGAGCTAAGATTTTTCAAAAAGAGCATACTTTTAGTCTATTCACTTTACAACTTTGCTCCTAACTGGGTTGAAAACTTGCTGAGAAAAATCAGATTTGAAATCTTAAGATATCTTGCTGACTGCTAAGATAATTTGTAAAGTTTGTCTTCTAAAGGGAATAGTATTTAGCTCTTTGTATTTTAGTCTTGCCCACCTACATTTGCAATATATAATAACAATCTGTGAATCTGAGGCCCAGTTCAACTACTTTGACCATGAAATGAACAACTACCGTTTGACCCTACACCTTTTCCCCACTTCTTCAACATCATTACTGATTTGTGCTGCTATTTACTTGTTTGTTTAATAAAGACACTCAGTCCCAGGACTGGATTCTATTTTTTTTCTCTCTGTAGGCCTTAACAGGAGCCAGGTTTTCATATTCAGCTTATGTATTCATCTAATATTCAACTATCAGGAATAATGACTTAAATAGATGTATACATTAAATGGTGAACTTTGGGTTGAACCAATAGGTAAAACGAAAAGGGAGAAAAAAAAGAGTGAAATCTATTTGTAATTAAATTCTAACTATTTTTATGCTTGCCCACGGATTGCCAACATATTTCTGATAAAATTTTCCTAGGTGCCCAAAAAATAAACTAACTCACTCAAATTTATCTGCTCATTTGTAATTTACCTCTTTCCAAAAAACTATTTGAAATAACTTAAAAAGTCTTTATTATGGCGGGCACTTTTTGAGGCCAAGGCAGGATTGTAAACTCAAGCCAGCCTAGCCAATTTAGCAAAACACTTCAAAATTTAAAAAAAAATAAAGGGACTGGGAGATAGCTCACTGCAAAGGTTTAGGCCTTAGTACTGTTTTTTTTTTTTGTTTTTTTTTTAAGGCTTTTGTGTTGCTACTATTTGAAAAACACTAACTCAGACAGAGTAAGAGGCTACAAATAGGATTGAAGATTCTCATTTAGTGACTTCGACCCTGTCTGAAAAAAGGGGGTGTGGGCGTCAGGTGATGTAGTTCATGGTGAAGGTAAGGGTTTAAGCCCTAGCAATAAAAAAATTTTTTAAAAATCTTGCGCTCTATTCTCAAAAATATCAGCCTTAATAGTTATTAATGTCATAAAGATGACATTTAAAATAGGATTTAAAGAAGTCTGCACAAGGGAGAGACATCAATTCTCTTATATAGGCTTTAAAAGACCTACCATCCAAAAACCCAAATCTAAACCGGGCGTGGTAGTTCACGCCTGTAATCCCAGCACTCGGGAGGCTGAGGCAGGAGGTTCGTTGCGAATTCGAGACCAGCCTGGGCTACAAAGTGAGTTGAAGGCCAGCCTGAACTGCAAAGGGGCCTTTTTGTCTCAAAAAGACAAAAAAAAAAAAAAAAAAAAAAAAAACCAAACCCAAGTCTACTCTAAGCAATGGGATAAGGAATGACAAGAGGTCCTTTTTCAGATGGGCTATTCTGACCTCAAGTCCTTTAATCATGGAAACTGGTGGGTGGAGATAGGATCAACTGATACGTGATAAAATAAATGTGCAAATTCATATTTCATCTTATGGACTCCCAGAACGAATATGGGACAGGTATTTGTTTTACGATCTGAGAGCCTGCTGCTGCAGGCGGTCACGAAATACGCGATCCTCCAGCAACAGAGCCTAAGTCATGCACAGAGCCCAGGAACACCCCTTAAGCATCATTCGAATTTAGAGCAAGGACGCAAGGTTTTTCCCATCAACCATAACGCTAGGTCCCCCTGAGAAGTTGCGAAGTAGAATCAAAACTCCTACAACCCTTGACTCGTTAGCGGTTTCTGGGTTCTTGCAGCCAAAACCACCTTCAAGGTCCATCCCTTACCGGAACTATACAATCGTAAAACACGTAATCAATAGTCCTCCGCCTCACTAAATAGTCCCTCCTGAGATGTCGCCGATACACACTTGTCCGAATCAAGAGCCCTTCGATACTTAAAGAGATGAACTTCAGAATCGCATCACTTTCACATCCGAATGCAATTGTGAGCTTTCTCATCAATTTTCCTCCACAGATTCCTCCGCCGAAACACGTACTCGCGACCTTCACTTCCGGGTCCGCCATTTTGTTGCCTCCATTTCTCCACGAGGGGGGGGTAAAGGCCCCCAAAATATGCATACATGAAAAGGCCATAAAAGTAACCGTCATTGACAGGGAGTTTTTAATTAGAGGAGAAAACGAGACCAAACTGGCGGGCTCGGTGAAAGCGCGGCCGGCAGCGTCCGGGACGAGGAGGTGAGGGGAGAAGAAATGCGCGGACTCGGGGGCATCAGGGTGGAGTGTACGGTGCCATGAGAAGTCATGCCGCTTACCAGCCCTGCCCGGACTTCTGGGTGCTCGCCGAGCGGCGCCCCCTCATCGAAGCGGCGGGGAGGGGGACGCAGAGGAAGGGGATGCCGTCGAGAGGAAGGGGAGGGACTGGAGGAGGTGAAGATGGGGGTGGGTTAGACCTGGGACTGGGGAGCCGGACCACGCGACGCCCGGACCACTGAGGTGACCGCCAGGGGGCGGCGTCCGCGGACGGCCCGGGGCTGCCGGTGGCGGGACGGGGCTGCCTGCCGAGCGGGGATACGGAGAACTGGAATTCCGTGGTGGGAGAAAATGGGCTGTCGAATTCTCTGACTCCAGTGGTAAACTAAAGATTTAGTGAGCTCCGTAACCGATGTAACAGGAGCGGCGAGGACGGCACCGCGGGTCTCTGCACTGTTTGCACAGCTGGCCGCCGGCGCACCGTGCAGTCTCTCATTGGATTGCTCTTTTCCTTGTTAGCAGAATTCTTTCAGCTGTCAGCCCTTTTCCTCTTTACTTCTTAAATGCTACTCTATAGATTGGCACTCTGCGCCCTCCCAGTGCAAAACGGGATTCTGTGGTGTACCTTCAATTGTTCAACCATTTGGCCATATTTGCATCGTGCTGGGTCCACCCAGTCCAGTTGAGATTTTTTTTTTTTTTTTTTTTTGTACCAAGGATCGAACTCAAGACCTGTGCTTGCCAGGCAGGCGCTTAGGCCACCGAGCTAAATCCCCAGCTCCAGTTGAGATGTTCTTAAGCATCTGTTTTCCTACTTGCTTTGATAACAGTGAGAGAACTGCACCACCCAAATTCTTACATTAAAGTAATTATTCTTTGATAACAGCGACTGTTTTTAAGAGCTCAAGCTTTCACACTTACCGAGAGTTCTTGTGTTTTTATTAGGAAGGAGAAGTGAGTGCCTTTTCATTTAATTCATCTTCAAAATCGTAGGAGATGGCAGGAGATGTAGCTCAGAGGTGGGGCACTTGCCTACTAGATATGAAGAACAGGGTTTAACTCCATTGGAGGAGGGTAAGAAGGTCGTAGGAGACAGTTTAGACCAGATTTGTCTTCTCACTATCCGTGGGGAAAGTGAGGCACCTTCAGTAAGGAAAAATTTCTTTTTCTTGTCTTTTCGTTTTTATCGTACCAGGGATCGAACTCACGGCCGCACACTTGCAAGGCAGGTGCTTATGCCGCTGAGCTAAATCTCCAGCCTCTCATTTGTTCAACTTTAATAAAATCAGAGAGTGGCATGAGTTCCCCCAAAATGTGGTATTTTAAAAATACCTGCTAATTTTAAACCTTGCCTACCAGTACATGCTTGTAATCCAACCTCACAAGAGGATCTGTGAATTTGAGGCCAGCATTGACTACATAATGGGTTCAAGACCAGCTTGTACTATATCACAAGTCTCTATCTCAAAAAATCAAAATAAATAAGTAAGCAGGTAGAATATATTATTTTTACTTGAGATAAGCGCTGCAGATCAAATCAAGAGTGAGTGAGGAGGGGGCTGGAGGTTTAGCTCAGCGGCATAAGTGCCTGCCTTGCAAGCAGGCAGTCATGAGTTCGATCCCGGTACCGATAAAAAGGAAAAAGACAAAAAAAAAAAAAAAAAAAAAAAAAGAGTGAGTGAGGGTAGCAGGACATACACAGATCTATTATCCCAGCACTCATCGGGAGGCTGAGGCAGGAGGATTGTTGCAAGTTCAAGACCAGCCTCAACTGTATAATGAGACTGTCTCAAAGACAAAAAAAAGAAAAAAAAGATTTCATCAGTCAAGGATATGTGAATAACTATGCTGCCCTGCTAGAACCTCCAAACAAGCTATCAAGAAGACTGAGGCAGGAAGTTTATGCAAGTTGGAGGCCAACCTGGAATACATAATGAGACTCTATCTCAAAAAACCAAAAGAATGAACATAACAAAGCAAATAAATAAAATAAAAAGGGGTTGACATGTAGCTAAATGCAGAGACCCTGGGTTTAATTCCTAATTGGGCTAGAGGTATAGAGTGAAAAGGCCAGTACTGAAAGGTGGGTGGAGGTTGGTAAGGATATGGCTTACTGGTATAGTGCCTCTGGGTTCGGAACACAATATGGAAAGGAAAAAAAATTTTTTTTGCAGGTGTATACCTGCTGACCAGGGATATATCTCAGCAGCATAGTACCTGCCTGGCAAGCTCGATCCCTCATTCAAGAAAAAAAAGTTTACCTGCTGAAGATACCAATTACAGTGGGATAAAAATCATTTTACTTAACCCAGGCATGGTGGCACCTGCTTGTAATCCCAGTGAACTCGAAATGATCCTCCTGCCTCAGCCTCCTGAGTGCTGGGATTACAGGCATGAGCCACCAACACCCAGCTCCAGAGACCTTGTTTCAAAAACAACAAAACAAACCCCATATTTGAAAGATTTGACTTTCTAGTAGTATTAGCTTTCCAGGAATTTGAAGCAAACCAGAATTCTCCTTATGCAAATAGTTTTAGGAAAAAGGAAAAGAAACAAGTACAAGTTCAACAGGACAGGTTTATTTCACAACAAACCTGAGAGGTACTGCTCTGGCATTAGAGTCCAAACCAGGTACTTTTTCACAGGCTCTTTTGTAGGGTTATGGGGAGGGGAGAGTTCAGTGAGAGGGAGTTGTGACTGTCTCCCAAGAATGAGACTTTAGAGAACGCAAGCCATATAAGTTGCCCAAGGACGGGGCTGGGGAAAGCTTAGGGAGTGGTGGCTACTATCAGTGTTAAGGTGTTACAAGTTCTCAGGTACAGCTGTACTGGGAGGGAAGAAGTTTAGAGGGAGTTGCTGATCAGGCTGGTTGAGGTCAGATTTCCTTCAGATACTCAAACCAACTGAGAATTTGTGTATGTAAGAGAGAATGTGCAGTAGAGACTAGCACTAAAATGTTATTAGGATAGATTAATCCTGTTTTGATCCAGCATTTCTGAGCAACACCCTCTAGGTCATTCTTTCTATTTATCATCTGTTTTTATTTTTTGTGGTTTTTTTTGTTTTGGAGGCAGGGTCTTTCTATGTAGTTCAAGCTGGTCTCCAATACAGGGCAGTCCTCTCCTCCTAGTTCAGGCTGTCCTTGAACTCACTGTGTTACCCAAGCTGGCCTTGAACTCCCTGCAATCCTCTTGCCTCAACCTCCCAAGTGCTAGGATTGAACTGCACACTAGGCCAAGTTTTAAAAAATACATACTGAGAAAGGGAGAGAAGAATGACATTATTTGTTTGATTTGATTTTGCTTTGTTTTTCATCACATCTCCATTTAATTGAACCAGATGAATCATGATGGTGAATGGTGATGAACTTTACTCTTCATAGCTTCAGCTATACAGTTGATGAGCTGAATATAGTATTTTTATTTAGTCAGGTGTGGTGGTGCATACCTATAATCCCAGCACTTGGGAGGCTGAGGCAATAAGATTGCTGTGAGCTCAAGACCACCTGAGAGTCGTGAGACTCTCTCAAAAAGAAAAAAAAAATTTTGGTGGTTTTGTGTGTGTGTATATGTTTTTTTATTGGTACATTTTAGATATACATAATGATAACATTCATAATAGAGAATGTATACCTATATATATTTAGCTTCTTTTCCAAATCCCCTCCCATCCCTTCAAAGCTTTTTCCCCTCCTTTTTTTTTTTTTTTTTTTTTTTTTGAGTCAGGTACTTACTATGTATTTCAGATTTGCTTGGACTCATGATGCATCTCAGGCTGAACTTGCACTGATCCTCCTGAGAGCTGCAATTACAGGCATGTGCCACCATGCCTGGCTTCCTGGCCTTATTTACAAAAGCTTTGCCTCCATTCTTCTGTTCTTTTTTCTTCTTTCCTTTCCTCTTCCTCCTGTATTCTTCCCTTTGTCATTTGAACATTTTCTTCCCATTTCTCAATATCTATTCTATATTTTGGTCCTTATTTACACTTTTAGTTTCACACACCAGAGAAACAATGTGTTATTTAAATATATGTGTGTGGTTTATTTCACTTAAGAGTATGATCTCTGTACTCTTGTAATCCCAGCACTCAGGAGGCTGAGGCAGGAGGATCATTGAGAGTTTGAGATCAGCCTGGGCTACAAAGTGAGCCCAAGGCCAGCCTGAACCACATATGTGAGACCCTATCTCAAAAAGAAAAAAAAAAAATGATCTCAAAGTACATCCATTTAGCTAGAAATGTTTCGAGTTTATCCTTCTTTGTTTCAGGCTAGTACTCCTTGTATAAAAACCATCTTCTTCATCTATTCTTCTGTCAGTAGGTGTTTGGGCTGTTTCTAAGAAGCTATTAGAAACTGTGCCACTTAAACAGGAGTGTGCATATATCATTGTGATATGACGCTTTGAGTTTTTGACAGGAAGATACCAAGAAGGGGAATAGCTGAGTAGAATGGAACCTCTAGTTTTAGTTTTTTGAGAAATCACCAGATTACACACCCACCAACAATAGAAAAGGGTTCCTTTTTTCCCCACAGCCCTGCCACCATTTATTATTGGTTGATTTTGTGATTACAACCTTTCTTTCTGGAATAAGATGGATTCTCAGCATTGTTTTAATTTGTGTCTCTCGAAGATGAGGTTGTTGAAATGTTTTCCCTGTAATTATTAGCTGTATCTACTCTTTCATCTGGGAAGTGTCTCTTCATTTCAGATGCTCATTTTTAGACTGAAGTTTGATTTTTTTTTAGTTTATGGATTCTAGGTACTAGTCCTTTGAGGAACAGCTGACAAAACTTTTGTCTTATACTTAGGTTATCTTTTTCCCTCCATTAGTTTCTTTTGCTATGAAAAAGCTTTTTTTTTTTTTTTTTTTTTTTTTTAACCGGTACCAGAGATCGAACTCATGACCACGCGCTTGCAAGGCAGGCGCTTATGCCGCTGAGCTAAATCCCTAACCCCTTTTTTTGTCTTTTTGAGACAGGGTCTCAC